TGGCTACGCACAAAGACCAATTACCATATACACAAGAGCCAGGGTCTGCCTTCTTTCACCGTGTTTGCTCAAGCGTGGGTCGAGAATAATAGCTGAAAAGCGGGCTGAGGATCTCAATTTTTACGGTGTGTTTAGCCGCCTCCCGGAGCGAAGGGGTTAATTTGTCATCCTAATGATATGAACACATACGTTATTTGCGCAATGCATTTAGAGTACATTATTTGGAATTCGTTCCATCTTGTTTCATAATCTCACTACAGGGAATGAGTTAGCACTCTAGTAATCAATTGTGGTCCTAAAAAATGGTCCTAACTGAGACCCGACTCACCGTCAAACTGGTAGTGCATGGTCTGGTTGATGCGCTCCGTCACGCTGGCCAGCCACTTGACGAAGCTGACGGAGACATTCTCCCCGTCTTGGGGCTGGGGCAGCGCCTTGTTGGGGGTGGTCGCGGGGGTCGGCTGGTTCCGCTTGGTGGCCTGCTTCTTGGCGGGCGAGGCAGCGCTCTCTTGGAGGGTGAGGAGGGCACTGCTGGCCTGAGCTGCAAGAGTTGTGCACGTCAATGGGTGTCAGAGAGAAGGACAGGTGGCTTTGGGTGATTAGAAGATTTTCACACTTCTCTATTTACTTCTTCCCCCACAATAAAAAAAAATTCTCTAGCACAGACATTATTACAGTAATGAGACATTACACATCGCAAGGACTACCAAGTATTGGCTCACGGCACCCTCTAATTCACTCAATTTGGGGTCTTTGCAAATGGAATACTGCATTGTCAAAATCACTCCGTATCAAGGGTAAGTCCTGCACTGCCAAAACAGCCAAGGTTACACGAGACATTGTCGGTCAGCATCTTTATAAAGTTTAATAGTCATTTTCTCTCACACCCTGACAACTGGGCTACAGTCTGAAAACTCAATTTGATGCCTGCTGTCAGCCTGAGCCTACTTTGGCTGAGAATACTTTTCTCTGCTGTTGGAAAGCCAAGGTTGATAAAAGAGGCTTGTTGATTATAGAGGCTTTGCGTGGTAGTTCTTTTGTTCCACAATGAAATCTCCTTTGTGCATACCAAGATGGCAGCCACACAAAACTTTCTTTTGGTTCCAATTTTCCATGTCCAATGCAGAGTTTCTCTTGAACTCACAAAAACTGTACAGGCAAAAAGTAACTTTCCATGCACATCTGCAGTCCCTCACCTAACATGTCGTCCTTCCGCTGTATTTTGACCAAGAGATTTGGGTTGTTCTCTTCCGTGATCACCTGATCAAGCTGTACTGGCTCACTGATCACAGCCATAGTGGTCGTCGATACTGTAGAAAACATGAATAATAATTAACATTGGCCCTTACCGAACTCACAAGTACAATAACGCCTTATTTCAAGGGCATTTGCTGTGGCTTGTTCAAGCACTGTCCAGAAGTCAATGGGGCATCCTTGTCACTCAAACCAAATTGAGACATCAGGCTCATGTCAAGCAAAGTGGTCTCGCTATAATTTTCTCAATCTTCTTAAAATACAGAAAATCATGGACAGCAATTTAACACAAATTAACGAACTAAATGTATTAGAATGACTCGAGCTAAAAAATAACATGAAAAGATGATCTTAACTTTCCTAGGCAAAGATGCATTCTGCACAAAGTTGTCCTAACAGTGAAAATCAGTCAAACGATTGCTAGATACTGTAGAGAGAGAAGTGGAAGGAATTTGTCACCATCGGTGAGAGTTGTGACAGCTGGAAAGTTCATCATCTTACCCACAGAGTCCAGATTGATGAAGAACTCAAATTCTTTGGCTAGAGCATCATCACTTGCAAATGCACAAATGCAGGCATAGAAGTGCACACAGCGCCGCTGAAGTTCTTCTCCCGGCGAAGCCCTGAAATTCCGAAAGTGTCGGCAGGAGCATTGGAACTTGTGCTCTATGGTGCCGTTCTTGCGCTGGCTCTCTGAGAAAGAGAAGTGGAGGAATCCCAGCAGGTTCTTGGGCTGGGCCTTGCACTTAACCACCATGACATTCTTGCTGACCCGCTGGACCAAGGGGCCCGTGGTCTCGGTGGCCAGCAGCCAGATGGCCTGCTTGATCTCATTGGACACGGGCAACCCGTTCAGGACCGAGTTTTTGAGGGTCAGCGGCACGGCTTCCGTCTCGCTTTCCAGGGCCAGCCGGATGTGGTTGCAGTTCAGGACTTCAGCGCCAGCTGGGGTGGCAGTAGCAGCAGTGGCCGTGGCGTCAGTGGGCTTCTGACAGAGGTCCACGTAGCAGCGGGCCCCCTGCAACACCTGACCCTGCAGGTCCATCAACGGGTGGAGGGGCAGCTCCACGAAGCCCCGGTAATCGGGCCCCCGGTCCCTGAGTCTGACCGAGAACACCTGGACAGTGGAGCCTGTGATGATCTTCACCGCGTCGGCGCTGTGCCCCTTTTTCCTGCCTGCCCCCCGCAGGACCATGTTGCATGCCTTGTTCTTGCAGCTCAGGCCCCGGATGCCATTGTAGAAACCACAGTTGGGGCATTTTTTCACGCCACGCAGCGTTGGTTTGCCAAGGTCCTTCAGCAACTCTTTCGTTTTGACATTTGTCTTGTCCTTGTCTGCCACAGCCATGGTCAGAAACCTACATGGACATTAAATGAAACCAAAACATCGGAACATACATTATGTTCTTTCAGGTCATGAACTTTTCTACACAAAGACTGGTTGAAACAGATCACCTGCTTCCAAGAAAATGGCAGTCATGGCAGGAATTGAGCTGTCGTACAGGAGGTGATTGCATATTCTCTTAAACTGTATTAGTGCACGTTCCCCTGTGTCATATTTGAGTCCATCACAAGTCCCTGGAAGTCCATCACTAGTCATTCAATCTTAAGCCAATTCAAAAGCTATTCAAATGAACTGTGACAAAAATATTCTCTTGTCATTGCTATCCCTGTTACTTGTAACCGGCCTTGTGAGAGGACTTGTAACCGGCCTTGTGAGGGGACTTGTAACCGGCCTTGTGAGGAGACTTGTAACCGGCCATGTGAGGGGACTTGTTACTGGACTTGTGATAGACTCAAATGCAACACTGCAGTTCCCCCAAAACTTACTACACCAAAGAATCCGCCTTGAAATTACACTTAAGTCAGGTGTCCAGAAGCATCCTAATAATATTTTTACTACCAACATAATAGAGCCAATCTACAGTGCATGACTCTTCCCAATTCATCAACCGCACTCCTTTCAAAATTGGTTGAACCAACATATAGAACACCGAGCAAGCTTGGCCATTGGCCGTATGCATGCGCAATGTGATTTACACAAACAGTGTGATTATCGTTGGGTGGAAATGAGAGACTGGTGAGTAAAAATGTCAGATTTTTCACAAAATATTTGGGCTCATGGCCTGAAACTATTGTACAACCATTTTCAAGAGCTATAGGTACCTCAAGGTTGTTCTCACAGAACATCTGATTGAAAAAGCGGACTTTACATAGGATCATTTACCGCAAAAGCTCAATTAAAAAAAGCATAGCATTACGACCCGTGTAAACAACAATGGCTCCAAAGTCACACAGAGTATCAATAACCTGTCAGCTTCTAGTATATGAATGGGGCTATGGTAGGACTATCACGTGCTGGTAATGTTATCAAGGTATAAGTTGGTATTACATTTTGAAATACGCTTAGATAGAGAGCTGGCTTGTACATGTATTTCTCTTATCTAAATGAGTTTTGAAGAAATTCAATATGGGTTATTTTTGGAAGGAGTTGTCAAGAAGGAGATTCCATCTGGGGACTGTCCATGGATGTAGTGAGCTGGTGAGTGAGGGTAGTTGTTGTTATGGAAAGAGTTCCACATGCTGACAACTCTAATTTTCTCTTAAAATGTTACATGTACAATAGCCATAAGATAGTAATAACATGTCCCAAAACATGAAATTTAGCAAGGAAAATTCCAAAACATTTACTTAGAAAATTTTTTTTTTCAGACAAGTCTCATAGGTTTGTGCACGGGGGCACCAACTTTTGTCTGTATATGGAACTCTTTCCGTTCTTGTTTGCCTGGATCTCTTAAAGGTTTAATGTGTCTGCCTTGTTTATAAGTGGAATGGAAGGATGGTTTTGCAAATAGGAAATATTACAACGGATTATACCATAAAGTTCCTTATACTTATAGATGGTGCATAGTTGAGCTCTGGTGCATCTGTCTGTTAAAGATTCCAAACCTAGCTCACTGAGCATTGCAGAGACACTTGATGAGCAGCAATCATTCTTTAAGACAAATCGGCTGTTCATCTTTGGACCTTTTCAAGTACACTAGGCCTGTGTTTTGTTGATGAGGGTCGCATACTGCACGACAGTACTCAAGCAGTGGTCATACAAGCGCTTTGTAAAAAGGTAAGCTAGTTTCCTTGGTGTGTTTATCACAGGCATGAAGAGCTCGTTTTCAGGAGACCAGAACTCTTCACGCCTGTGACAAACACACAAAGGAAGTAGCTTACAAAGTGCTTGAACACCTAACATGACTAACGTTAGTAGTGACTACTAGAGTTCACCTATGTAACTTCAGTAGCCCAAATATTAAGTTATATGGAACTCTAAACCTTTCCGGGAAAAGTTCCATATACAAATGCCAGCAATTATTCCCTACAGTGACCAATCAACTGTAAGAAATCAAAAACATGTTCAGAAAAGTTCTATTTAGGAGGGAAAAAACACTTTCCAGTCATTGTACATCACCCCTAACCACTTTGCCCCATCTCCACTTCGCCCCATCCCCACTACGCCCCACTTCCACTTTGCACCGTCCATGCTCAAGGGTGTTACAATCACAAGCTTCTTCAAAACATGGTTGAGAGAGGAGTTCCACAAACGGCATGGAGTTATGCATATTTCTAGAAAACACTACGGCATTCACGAAATTAATGTCGACTTCGTTGTCAATGGTGAATTAATAAATATGGTTGGACTAGCATTGGGTTTATTTCTCATCCTCTTCGAGTTTATCTCAAAGCCATAAACAATTCGGTACACATTGTTCTGGTAATTTTCGATGCATCTAGACAGGTGCCCCGGTGCGGATAATCTTGAGCACCGCAGCAGGAAATTTTGTGGAAACATGCTCGCTTCAAAGAGCAAAATAACCTAAAATAAACTCATGAACACAGAAAATACACAGACAAGATACTAAGTTCTGTGAATTAACTTGAAGAAATCTTACAACAACAATTTTTTTTGTGATGCGTGAGGTCATATACATGTACGATACCCGTGGGATGATTAGACTGGTTGCCACTCATTCTTTTGCATTTGTGCAGCAAGGTGGGAACCAGCACGAAACACGAAGAGAACTCGGGAAATTAACAGAAATTGTTTTTTACATGTTGCAAATGTAACTGGGAAAATTTAATGAGAAAAAGGTTGTTCTGAGGTATTTGTTAAGACAGAAAAAAACAGCATTTATTAATTTGTCATTTTTGGATTTATTGAATTTGTTTTTAAAAGTTGCAAATAAATATTTTTTGAGTCTCGCCGAAAAAATAGGGTCAGTCGGGAAATCAGAAGCATTGTTTTGGCCCTTGCAAAATGGATTCCCCAATGGTTACTTGATAACTAAAACCTTGATGTTATTATTTGTTGCATTTAGGCCTATGTCTCTATTGCTAAAGAACAGAATGAACGATAATCGGTGGGACGAAGTGGGGATGGGGCAAAGTGGAAACAGGGCGAAGTGACCAACACCCAAAAAAACAAGTTATTTACTCAGAAAACACTTGGAGTTTTTCAGACCAGTCTCAGGATTTGTGCACAGGGTGTCAAGCAGTGTATCATGTGTATGTAATTCTCTCCATCTTTTCTGTTTGGCATGTTTGGCCATATGCATTAGGGCCTACATCATGCACAGGCCTAGGCCTACTGCAAAATAATCCAAGCGGAATTTGAGGTGAGGCCCCAAAATGCCGATCACGCCCAATTTTCGCAATGTTCGGACAATTACTTAGTTTGGATCAGCACAGCATTTAACTTAGCGTAGTACATGTATTACATGTAAGTAGCAGGCCTGAGCTGTACTACGGCAACGTAAACATAGTAAACTCCAGCACGTTCAGGCGAAGGGTTCACGAAGGCAAATCTTGACTCTCAACAAACGCTGGAAAGAATACAATACTGAAACAACAATCCTACCTTTTTGACTAATACCTCTGAATGGAAATGTGATTAAACAGTCGCAACTTAAATGAAAAATATTACATATTCGGTCGCTGTTTCTAAAATCTTGTTACCCATCCGCCGCCATGTTGGTAAGAAATAGCGCGACGACAGCGGTAAAAACGCAGCATTTGATTGGCCAATTTTAATCACATGCTACCTTGACTTTCTGATGTCAATTTCAATTGGGTATCCACTAGAAGTTTGCAAGGTGTACAAAAAATCCTGTGCAAATAAAAATTGACCTTAAATTGCTGCAATATGACCATACAAGTGAATAATTATACACAAGGGCATTGATGCAAATAATGTCACTGTGCAACTTAGGAAAACATTTCCCTCATTCTGATCGCGTGAATGTTCCATTCGAGTTCGACTTGTCAGCAAATGGATGTTAAATTTTTCACTCTTTGCATCAGATGGCTCCCTTTCATTTCTTTCAAATTCTTCTTCTTTTTTTTCTTTTTAAATGACGCAGGTTATACGGGGGTTCCCCAGGGGGAACCCCCGTATAACCTGAACTGGTACTGAATTAACAACCCTGGATCATTTATTTAAGTATGTGGAGAGCTACATGCGATGATGCAAAATGGAACGTTCAATTGCTGCTGCGGTGCGCGTGCGGCCGCGGCTGCGCCTTGAGTTGACGGATAATTCGACAGTGCCTTGTGATCAATGATCTATCAATCAGAGAACAGCGTTTTACCCAGAGGTGTTAAATAAAAAAATATACATGTACATCATGCAAAATATCTCACAACGCGTCCAGTCGGCTTTGCCGCATGAACCAGTGACTTACTACAGTGGCGCAAACCTGGGGGGGGGGCGCTTCGGGGTTCTCCCTAGGTGCTTTTGTTTCCTTCCTGAAAAACAAACGTGCAATACACGTAGAATTTAGAGTTAACCACTCGGACATGTGTAAGACGACATTGCCTCCTGTGTTTAGACTTAACGTTTTAACTTTCCGAACCCGGTGATTCACGCTACTCGTGAACTTGGTTTTATTGTGTTGCAGTCATTTCGCCCATTACCACTTTGCTTACAATACACAACTTCGTCACAACCACTTTGCCCATTTACCACTTGGCCCAATTGCCACTTTTCCCATTGCCCACGCGCCACTTGTTCGCCCACAGCTTTGAGGCCGTCCATAAAGTACGTACGCACGAGGGGGGGGGCGTACTGAGGGGGAAGGGGTTCAGGCCAGTGCGGACCGCACGCAAATCGAAAATCTGCCTTTAATGAATCTTCATCAAATCAAGACACTTTCTCATACAAATACCAGGATAAGCTTTTGTGCATCCTCCACTGTCCACCCCACCATTTTATCTTCCTGCGCCTACGCCCATTATGAGTAAACCGCACATTTCCTGTGACACAAAGACCGGCAGCGTAATTTTTTTCCTAGGAAGGTAAAGGGTAATTATCACATACATGTATGGGCGTGGTTAACTGCAGGCTTGATCAATTTAGTGGACACTTAGAAACTTAAGTGCTAAAGGTAAATGTCCGGCTTTACTTTCCTATTTTCAAAACATCCTCCAACCAACTAATTCCCCACCAAGAAAAAATTACTACGTGTTGACTCAAACTCTTAATTGTTCTACGTATAACGCTCTTCTAACAGAGCTACCATGCAAGTCGGCCAGAAGAGCAATTTTGGTGTGTCCTTACTTAAAAGTTTGTATACCCCATTTATGATAATTGCCCCCAATCTTCGTAGGCGAAAAACGCATGCACAACGGTTACGATACACCCATTTTATACCCCTAACCTTCCTAGGGAAAAAAAATTACGCCGACCGGTAGCGTCTTCCAGAACAAACAGGTGCCCTCTACGCGTGCAAAAGAGAAAAAAAAGACGCCGTTATTTTTTGTTTTTATTCAAAAACATCTTTTTAAAGTTTCCAGCAAAGTAAATATTTTCCAGGACAGTTCATAGAGAAATACCGATATAAAAAAACTGTTATTACTCTGGTCATTTATTTCAGAATTTGGAATCGACGTGCGAATAACAGTGCTACGGTAGATGTACAATGTACTGTGACATTTATGATGCTTAAGCAAGGTTCCATCATAAGTCAAAGATATGTGAAATACGTATGCGTACAGGGCCGGGGGAGGGGGTTGGTGGAGCCACTGCGTACGCCATGCGTACAGGGGAGGGGGTACTTTATGGACGGCCTCTTTTGTCAAAATTGAAAAGGGAAGATACAGAAAATCAACTGCCAATCCCTCAAGAATTCATCCAAAATGCCAGAAAAAGAGATAAAAGATCAAATAGGAATACTAAAATATAGTGAATTCTCAGAACTTCAAGGTTTTCTTTGATGTGAAGTCGATGCAAAGCTGAAAGAACTGCATGAAAAAGCTGGAAGCCTGAGCGACTCCTGCAACAATATAAAGTACATTTCGAATTCGACATAAAAGGATCAGCAACTCATTTCAGAAATATTTCAGTGAGTTAGTTCATTGAACTGGAGTCGTCGGGTTTGGGTACACTCTAGCTCTGTTGCGAAACTTCGGAGCGTTGTAAGAGAAACCATGCTTTTAAAAATGCATTTGTTATGTCTGAGTCTTGGTATTTTTTATTGGATACGAATTATAACATAGGATAAATCTATTTAAAAGATGCAGAGATGTGTCAGTTGATCATAGGCCCATTTGCTTGTGAACTTGGGCGTACTTATGTCGGCGAAGGGGCGCGCGGCGTGAGCAAAGTGGCAACTGGGCGGAGTGGCAAATGGGCTAAGTGGCAAATGGGCGAAGTGGTAAAGAGGAGAAGTAACACACCGGCTTCATTGATGACACTTACATTGTGTGCAAGGACATCTTATGAGTATGATTAACATTGCAGTACATTATATTACAGATATCATGACATTAACGAACTTTGCATATAAGGTACCGTACAGATCGAAATTTGCACGTTTCACAAATGCACAAATTGTTCTTGTGTACAACTTGTGCACGGCAAATAAATTAGTGCAAGAATGATAATTAATTTCAGTGACAGCATCTAGCATCTTCGGGTGGTGGAATTTCATGAGACTAATTATATGCAAATTCAAAAGAGCAAATTATAAACAGATATTAAAAGTGTAGGCCTGCACCCGATGATGCTGTTGTTGTGTTGATTGGGAAAAATTGTGGATCGATCTCAAACGAGCCTGTCCAAGTATCCGCCCCGAGTTGAAGTGCACCCCTAAGCGGCATATGGTAGTAAGTTTTCCAAGTGCTTTTCTTGCATGCGTTCTACGTGTACGCAAAGACCATGCATTATCATCTTCTGATATCTGTGCATTGATCTCATTGTCTAAATAACGGAGATCAATGATTTATCTCCATTATAATGGAAATCAATGTATTTTGTGTACATTAAAGAATAAATTCTGTACGCGTACTTAGCTCGCTCCACGTCAATCTTCATCACAAACGCGCGCCTATATTTCTATATGCGGTGAGAACATCCGGCGGCGCAACTAAAAGCAGGTGGACTTGACTGCTGTTCACACCCCTCCACATTGCTTCGCTTATATAGTGCATATATGCAACCCTGTGTAGGGTGTAAAACACCGCTTGGTGAAGGGTACAGGACTGCTGAGATAAAATGAGAGATTGTTTTCAAAATGTAAAGAAAAATGCATTTGTGTGTTTGACCGTAAAGACTCCTATTATGTAATTGTTTGGACACGTATTTCTCTTTGTGAGATTGTAGACCAGTGATCTCTCCCCCAAAGTTAAAATGGAACATTCGATCGTAATGACATTTTGCTGCTGCCAGCTTTAAATAGCACTTTGCATATTGCAAGTTCTGTCAGCCGTCGTCGGTCTGTCACCGAAACGATCAGCGAAATGTGCTGAACACAACACCTTGTGATCCGCATTTATCAGGTTGCAGACTTCATTTTCAAATAGAAACCATGGGGAGTTTTAGGGGCATTTGGTTGTTCTTTCTCCTGTCGTTGTGTCACCTTCTCGGGACAGAATGCAGAATTTACGAACTGGGTGCACGGCTGTTGTACGGGCAATCGGATGCTGCATTGGCTTTCCTTGGCAATGCCGGGGATGTCCTGCAGGACAAACATTTCGGTTTTGGATTGGAAGGGTCACTGGATTTCGAACTCGAGTGCGAACCAACAACACATGTGAGGACGACTGTGTGTATTTCGTTGATTATTTAGTCGTATATAGAAAATAATTATCGATATCTGGTTGGAGGCTCTTCAACCTCCATTATGAACTGATGAATGTACACAGGTCCGCCGGGAAGGCCTCGGTACTGGGAATTAGGGAATTACTTCGTTTGTTCTTTATTACAGCAGCATCAAAACATGAATACAACTGTTTGTGTATGATGTGGGACATATTAATATTGCGTGAATTGGGAAATTTGGGGGGGGGGGTTGATGAAAAGGTAAGTTGTCAGGTAGTGTTGAGACAATAATCAACAAAGTATCAACAAAGTCTGCCAACTGCTGAATTCAGTATTTCCGAGTCCTGCCAGGGTGTGGCATTGAATGCATGTAGCAGTCTTCATAAATGTGCTTAGATATACTTTATTTTGTAACAGTCGTCAGGTTTTGTTTTCATGTACAGTACATCATTGGTGTAAGCAGCCAGCAGTAAAAGACAGGATATAAGCTCAGACATCCGGTTGAAATCAGTCACATTTTTTTTTACGCCCATATTTTTGTATACATCTTTCAGAAGAATTCAGAGATTGCCATCCCAAACCTGTGGCTTCTGGGCTGCACAGCATTAGAGAAAAGAGAGGTAAGACAGCAGACTGCTTGCATCTGACAGCTACACATAGTCTCTATGTATGCACTCTATGGTCATTTCTCCAGACTACTGTAGTCACAAGGCCAGACAGAAGACTGGTCAGAAGTAACAGGGAGAACAGTAGCAGAGGAATGTTTTTGCTTTATAGTTTATTTGAATGGCTTGTGACGCACAGTGAGACTGGAGGTCTTGTGTTAGCCATTGGGTGCACAAAGCCGATCAACAGGAACCGTTCACTGTGCGACAGCGCGCTCATGTGCACTGGTACCCAACGGCCGTTGCTTGTCTACCTTCAGTTTGGGCATAAATAATGAGGAGCCCTGTGATTGGTCAGTGTGACCCTCAGCGCGCCGCAGCCAACTGCCATTTCAACCAGCGCGGCTAAGAATTGCACACACACACATGTACGGAAAGTGGCTGCAGCCAGTTTCCATGTCTTGTGTATCGATCGCAGCCGTAGTCAAGGATTTGGTCGCGGCTCGTCTTCGCAAGTACATATGTGAACCGTGAGACTCTAAGACACTGATCAGGAAATATTTGCTCCTTTTTTTTGGAAAATGGCATGCTTTTGGCCCTTTTTTTTCTTTGGTACTCAAAACAAAGGTATGTAAGCCATCTTACATAACATTTTTGGGGGAAATGAAGCAACATTTCTGTGGGTACACAACTCGATTGGAATCCCTGTTCGTCATGCATAACCTATGGCAGAAAAGGCTCTTTTTCTGTGGGGTTCATGGGAGAGGAGTGGACGTCGAACCCCACAGTTCTGGGGGTAAGGTCCGATTGGTTCAATGTCAGAACAACAACAACTGTGTGTAATCCAGAGTGGCTATTTATACCTGTACAAAGAACAAAACATTCGATCCTCACATCAAACAAGGGAAAAGCATAAGAAAGAACAAATACAGCATGTAGTGTGGCAAAGACAACTTTACAGGCTCGATCACAAGAGGGCGCTAGCACAACCCAGCAATTTGCGCTATTTACATGAATCTCTGGCTCACACACACATGGTAGTGATGCATAATGCACTGTCAGCACAGCAGGTCTTGATGGTGCAAACGTAGCGTGAACGCACTGGCTAGATGCCATGCATGCTATCAGGTAATATTAGAGATAACCAGTAATCATTAACGAATAGTCAATAACTGAACTAGGACCTCTTACTTGTTCTTGACTAATTGAATGCACGTACTGAGGCCCTTTTCTTTTCTTTGTGGGAATTTTCGAAAACTTTGATGGCTGATGATTGAGTAAAGTTAGGCTGATTTTATTTTGTATGTTATTTTTCTGCTCCTGGGGCTGGGTCTGGTTGGGACCACACGTTTTGCTCATTGGTCACACTGTGGAACAGAACTCTGTTATGATATACCAAAGCCCCCCTACAATTCTTTGTTGAAGAAATCTTCCCATGGCATCGTGCCAGCCAGGGCTCATTTATTAACCTCCTTGGAAAGTATGCCATTTGTCAATTAGTGAGTTAGCAAATATATTTGTGTACTTAGTGACTGGCACTCTAGTATCTGCCACTGTCATGATGTGGCTACACAAAAATGCACTTTGAAGTGTATTGTATATTGCTGTTTTTGAAATTCGCTCATCGCCTAGCGCCCGAACAGGGCGCTGTGAAGGGCTGATGGCCTTGCATAGATTTTAGTGAAGGAAATCCATCACGCGGTCAAAGCTAACAATATGCAGAGCATTGCTGGTAAGTTTCTGCCAGGTGCAGAACATATTCTCACTATACTTTATTAGTTCATCCAAAACTGATCAGGATAACCAATGATTTGAAATATATTGCCAAAAGACGTGATCAATGACACTTAAAAAGAAGATAAATTACCGTGATTGCATCAAGGCCATGTTTTTATTATATAAGCCGACACTTTGGCCGTATCAAAGAACACGTATTGCCGTTGGCTAACCAGAAACTTAAAATGACGCCCCGTTAACAGGAAGTTATAATCTTGTGGTTGGAGGTCGTGCACTAAGTAGCCAATCACAGTGCAAAGGGCACTGGGAGATGAGCGAATTTTTGAAACTATTATGGACATCCAACAGAGGTCAAAGTTTAAGTCTGCCTCTCTGCTCTTGTGATACATACATGTAGATAATGGAAGCCGGCCGTACAGGCTTAAACCAAGCCTGTCAGAAACTGCAGTTTCCCGAGGCCGAGGAGAACTTCACCATGCTGTGCGAGGCTATACCCATGCAGCCCCTGGGCCAGTCCCCGGGGGGCAACCTCTGGGACGCCCACCACAGCATCCACCGGGACACCTTCCTGAGGTTCGTCATGCTGCAGTGTCCCCGGGAGGTGCCCAACAAGACCCGGACCAGGGTCGCCGAGGCCCAGTGCAAGGTGATTGCAGTGGAGAAATCAAGATTGGGGCTGGATTATCTGATACAGGCACTATGCTCAAGACCCATGAGAAATGTGAAGGCCCGTGAAAGTTTGAGAGCCCACAAAAATATTACAATATGCCATAAAACACATATCAGCAGACCTTTCACGAATAGAAAAGGCACTTTTTAAAAGTTAGAGTCTTTCTCTGAAATTTCAGTTTTTGGAAAGCTTCACCCTGGAGCTACTACATTAACATAAATGTAATGTAAGTCTCTGTTGCTTGCCAGTGCCTTGAAATTGTTGATGGAACATTGGTGCAGACCTTGCTGTCTCTGACCAGTGGTTAATCTGTACAGTTGTCTCATGCACCTTTACAGTGTTGTCTTCATGAGCCCTAATGCACTGTAAGAAGTGCATTCAAGAATCCTTCAGTGTGTTTTGTTGTAGAGACAATCAGTGATGGATCCTGTTTGGTTTGGTCATATTGGGCATCAAATGGAGCTTTGCGTCAAATCAAACTGGCTGTGCTCTAGACCCTCCTCAGTCCTACGAAACCCTTCAAACCCTCGCACTGGATTCTGAAGAGTCTGGGGGGTTCAGGGTCAGTGTCATCTTCATCAGTAATTGTCAGTGTGCAGAAGCCATCCGTTGCCGTCCCCACAACAGCCCACTTATCCCCTTGGACATAATAATCACCCTTGCAATGTGGACATTTCACAGGGGAGGCTGGTGCTGATGAACAACAAGGGCTACAGCCACCTGAGCAAGGATGAAGGATCCCTCCCGCCCATCTACAAGACCCTGTTGGTGTTGTGGATCGTCCTCCTTGCCCTCTGGATTGTGAACTGGTTCAAGTTCAGACAGGTACAAAAAACCAAAAAAACGCAGTACAAAATCTGAGCAGTATCATCTGCTGAGCAGGTGGTACTGCTCAGCAAATGTATGTGATCATGCAGACATCAACTGGGAACCGGTCCTAACTAACATATTGTATGACATCTTTGCTTGTAATCCGTTTTTGTGAAGCAAATATTTCCTTTGCTTTACAAATCTGTGTGTTCAGCAACTCAATGAAATTTTACGCTATACAAGCTCAGGTCAGCAGTTCGTAAGATGAAAAGAAGCTAATGCTCATCTGTAGCGGCTTAACTCTAGGGAGTAAGGCGTGTAATAGTAGAAGTCTGTGCCCCATGGGTGGCTGGCTGCCCCCCCTCCCCATTGCCCACCATCCCGTTTGAAATGTTGGAACATGCACAGCCCCAGTCATTTGCTTTCAATGCCTCCTTGGAAAAAAATGTGTGCACCCCTGGGTGCCCCTTCAGAATTTTCGCCCGAGTTGCGCTACTGCCCATCTGTGAAATTACTCTCTGCGCTCAGGTTTACATTTGATAAATTTACCAAAGCCACGCACCGGACACAGGTGCGACTATCATGGAGCCCCTCTGCATCAAACTACATGTACTAGTGCTTGTGGATGGCCTGCGCCCTTGACCCCTCACTTCATCATTGTTTAGATGTGGAGCTGATTTGTTCCATTTTAAGGGTAAAAACGTAAACTTAAATTGCCCTTTATATCTGCAAAAATGAGTCTTTTTAAAACGACTTTGTGCATTTTTGTTGCCCGTCTTTCTTGGCAGTATTCCAACCGCCTGCACAAGTTACTCTTTGTTGCCCCTTCGTTTAAGTTCCTGCTTCTCATCCTGACCCTGGCATGGTGGGAAGTCATTGCAGCCACAGGTAGGCCATCACAGAGGGTACGGCAGATGATAAGGGCCAGTTCATACCTGGCACATGAGCAGACATGAGCACAATTTTGTGATGTCTGATCGAAATACTTGTGCTGTGAAGTTCCTGAAGTTGAACATGTTCCAACTGGGCGATTATCACTGCAAACATTTCTTGGCATTTGCCTGAAGTACGAGTCGGTCTTTTAACCCCTTCATGCCGGGATTCTTTTGACCGTGACTGCTGGGCTGCGGTATGCCCAGTGTGCAAAGCCCTGTCCAGCAGCAGGCCCACAGATGCATGATGAATAGAGTGTATGTGTGCTATGCACTAATCCTCACACAAAGCCGCTGGTGTCGACGTCTCCCGGAACGAAGGGATTAAAGGGGTTATGTAGCAAACTTGCATGTTGTCACCGGGCCACTCTGTGCTAATATGCAAAAGAATGAAAAGTATTTTACATAGACCTTTGTGCAACAGTAAAGCATCAAAATTGTAGCTCCCAACTTCCAAGTCATTCCTAGGACGTGACCCCAGATAAAGTCAGGTTGGCCTCCCAGTTTCCTCACTCTTCTGGTTCAGTCTCAGTTATCCAACGGTCAAATGTTGAATCCCTGCAGTTCCATAGAATCTTATTAACAGCATTCGTTTCTCCAGATACATGTAGTGGTGTCAGCAGACTACTTCATCACCAAGTACCATTTTCAAACTACGTAGTGTTCAAAAACCAACTAAGTCTCAAGTTTGTATGGAGTCAGTTGCTGAGATTGCTGAGGTAATGGTCAATGTTTAGAACCAACACTAAGGCAACTGACGTCACCCTTCATCACTCCATTTGTGTCATTGCTAATGATCTGTTTAAGCACTGAATAAGACTCAATGAGTTTCTCAGCAGTAGAAGCGGCACACGTGTATTTACGATATATCATTTCATTGGTTGACTTGCAGGCTACGAGAATACCTCCCTACAGATGTGTCGGGACATGGTGCAGAGTACAGAGATCGCCATGCTGTTCATGAGCATGATGCTGGCCGCCGAGGGTTGGTGTGTCATTAGGCCTCGCATCAGGAACATACGCTGTGTCCTGATACCAGGTGAGTAAATTAAACCTACCTGGGGAACCTCACAGGAGAGCGTCAGGCAAAGCCTACATTAAACGTGCGGCCAGTCAAGGGTTAATCCTGGATTTGAAGAAAAGTGGGGTGGGCGTTCCAACTTCAGAAGCCCAAGTTGATACACACAGTTATGACTCTCAGAGCTCACATTGCATTGGGTTTTGTGTCTGTTTATTTTTCTGTTGTAGGATTATTTCTTGTGTTCCTCGGCTCCTCAATATGTGTCATCTGGGTGCACAATTACTTCATGGTGAGTTGAAATTTGCCTTTTATGCATTGGAGCATTTTTTGGTGCATGTATGTTTGAGTTAGAGACAGACTTTCACATCACAGGCAAAATTTGAAATGTCATAAACGTGCCTTGTTGGTATGTAATTTAGATATACAGCGAAACAAATTTCAGGTGTCTCTGGACACCTTCACTCTAATGCTCCTGGATTCTTCCAAAGCCAGCATGAGGATTCATCAGGGGATTTATCTTACACAGAACATGCTGCAAGTAATGTTGTAGCATTTAGAAGGTGCACAGTATCTCACAGTTCCTGTCATTCAAAGGTGCCAATAGGTGCGCAGTATCTCACAGTCCCTGTCATTCAAAGGTGCCAATAGGTGCACAGTATCTCACAGTTCCTGTCATTCAAAGGTGCCAATATTTATCATTATCCCTGTACATCGGACTCATGTCATCTAAACATTCCTGGAACCATCTCAGCACCCTGGGGAGTATACTAGCTCAATGCTGCCATATCAAGTGTAAAAGGCTAAACACAATAACCATATCTGCCTTCCCAGGTACCCAATTAGAGGCATAGAGAGGTTAATGTAACTTGCTAAAGGTCACATATAATCACCTGCTAGGATCTGAAACCCCCACTCTGTGATCAGAAACCGCACACCTTAACTGCTAGGCCACATATCCCCACGTCGCGTTGACTTCCTGCACGATTTTTTGGAAATGCTTAGCTAAGTCTGCCTGTAGGGGTTTGTATGGATATTTGGAAGAGTTTTTTTTTTCTGTCCTCTGCTGATCTAGGCATTTGCTGTGTGTAGTATTGTGTTCGTTATCTACCGTGCCCTTAAGTGGTGCACCTACAACCTGGACTACCTAACACAGCAGGTCCTGCGCAGCCTGCACACCGCCGCCGAGAAGCGCCTCCGATTCCGTGGCGTCAGCATCGCCAAACAGCTCACGGAGAAGCGCAACATCTTTGTCCGGTTGCGGCTGGTCTGTGCCATCTACACCATTGTCTTTGCCGTGACGGTTACCATGTCCACCTTCCTGACAGAGTACGCCTGGGCCCGGACACTAGCCGCCGAGTTGCCCGAAGTTGCGGCCTTTGCCGCCCTGGGGCTGATCTTCAGGCTGCGGGACTTTGGGCCGTTTGAGCGCATCGAGGTCATCCAGCCCAAGGAGAGCTCGGTGCTCATGCTGCTGCCATTCTCAAGCAAAAAGTGTCCGATCAGACAAAAAATTGTGCTCGGTGATCCGGTGGAAAGTTCCACTGAGTATTCGGACGACGACGGCTATGAGGATGATAAGACATGAAGAGAAAAGTGGTAAACAGTCTCCATACCACAAGCCAACTCACAGCTTGAAAAGCTGACTTCTGTCTACAACCCCAAGAGGCTCCACCTACGTGATCATTGTGTTAATTCCTTTTCATCACCTGTATTGTGGTAGCATGGCAGTTTATGGAGGTTTACATGGTCAGAGTTTGAATATTGGCCTTTACCCTTTTGCCAACACTGTGTTTGAAGGGCTGTACTGGTATATTCATTGTTTCACCCAGTGGCCTCTCTAGGTCTTAGATTGGGGGGGTGTTGCATAATGGAGGTTTCTTCATCTGCAAAAGAATCCTACTCCCCAGAAAGGTGACAGTCCTGAAATCGCCCATGCTTTCATTCCTATTTATAAAATTAAAACTATTGGTAACAAGTCATTAGCAAATCCCCCCGAACTTGATCGGCCTCTGGTTTTACCAAGAATTTGTTACATAAATCTTCACAACCATACTGTGGTGGGACTCAAACCCGTCACCTCCTACTCATGCAGAGATCTTGGCATTCAACCACTGAGCTTAATAGCGGGGTAAATGCCGGTCCTAATCCAGTCTAGCAACAGAATAGGCAGTAATCCTTTTGTGAGATAAATTTGAATAAAATCTAGTACCCTGAGCTTTATAATTACACGTAAACATAATAATTCGAATTCCCCAGACTAAAGACACTGTTGCCATACCCCGTGATTCGGAGCAAGCTTTTGCATAGCGACCACCATCTCTGGAATGGACTGGTTCCTTTGTGCCCTTCTTATCCATTGAAAACTGTGTATTGATACAAGGCGTCTCTTGTGTAACTAAGCAAAAGCTTGCCCCGAATCACGAGGTATAGAAACAGTGTCTCTAGTATCGATAATTCAAATTACTTTGTTCACATGAATTTAAAGAACTCAGTGTACCAGATTTTATTCAAATTTAACTCGCAAAAGGCTTCTTGACAACTTCAAAGAATTTTTATGTGAAGATCAGATGAACTATCTGAGGCAAACATAAAGTAAGTTTCATAATTTTCAAAGTAGTTGAAAACCTCACTCATGCATGTGTTTCCAATGTAACAGTGCCCATCATCCACCGATGGAGATCAAAAGTCACACATTGCCTTCCTAACTGGAGTATTTTTTTGGTGAGAATATTTATATCTGGTTGTAGTCTTCAAGACTGTTCTTTTTTTAATTGTGACATGGGCAACATTAACCAAAGCATTTCCACGTGTATATTTTTTCTTTGACCTCTGGACGCCCAGATTTTTTTTCAAAATGAACCTAGCTGGAGAATCATTCATGGCTCAGAGCTACCATGTTTGACATAAGCTAGGCTGTTTAAAGAAAGCCAGATGCCACAAATAGTCTCGAGGGGGGAGCAGCTGCACAATATCTGTTCCGTTCTTCTCACTTCAACTTTTGCAATACTCAGAATCTCATCATTTCCACCATGGAGCAAAATTTGCCATGATGACAGGCTGCATATGGTGGCCAAGTTCAACACGGGTCTGCCTCCTTCCACTTGTTTGTGTATGTGCTAAATGAACGAGATGTTTGACGTTTTCACCACACTTGTCACCCACATTTATGAAGATACCAACGTGCCCTCCGTGAAAATGTCTTTGAAAATCATTATTAGTATTTATTCATCCTGTACTGTCAGTTGGTTATAGTAACCGCGTACTCTGAATAATGTTCCTTTTATATTTAACTTTAGACACAACTAACTCTGGATGTAATTTTTTTGTGGTCCACCGGCGAAGCTGAAGGAGCTTCCTGTATTTGTTTTTGGACCCCCCATTATGTCAACAGTCATGATTAAAACAATAGAAATGGATTTACCATCATAACTCGAGAAGAACTGGGCATATTAGCTGCCAACTTGGTATGCGGATTGGTCTTGGTGTCTTCTGGAAGCCTATTGATTTTTCAACTTTATAGGCTAAAGGTCATATATTTTAAACAACAGAAATGGCTTTTCCAACGGAGATGCTTTGTGATGAAAAATTAAAGTCGTGGTTGTAAGCATGGGGTTTTGAGGGGCACCCCTGTATGGGTAATACTCCATTCTTGGTTTTTAAAAGTATAAATATGTAAATATTCAACTCATGAATAAATTACCGTATCATGGACGCATACTTTAATCAGCTATTCAGCATTATTGGTGAAGGTGCTTTTACTGAGCGTGCAGATGTTTTTATCAATTATAATATGGCACAACGATAACGTACATGCAAGGCTACACTATGCTTGCACAATTCTTTGTCGGCACCGTCCCATTTCAAATGTTTTTGTGTGCAAACGATAGGATCATTTGATCAATCGTGAATTTTAAGTGCATTGTGTAATAAATTCTCACTAATTTAATGTGCTTAAATTTTATTTAGTGCAATTCTGCATCCTGATACTTGTTTTTACTGTTTGTTCTGGATTTCTGGATAATGAAATTTTATAAATGTATAGATTGTATTGGGATTGCTAAATTATAAGCTGTGAAACCACGAGGCTAATTTTAAACTGCGCAAGTGAATGTAGCTGAGAGCAACCATGTTAATATGTAATTGGTCTCTGGCCTCAAGGTGAATCCACATTTGTGGCATCACTATTTTTATGTGTGCTGCCAAGTCACAAAAAATTAATACATTTTAAGGTGGATGAATTTTAGCAAATGCTTTGTGCATGAATTTTTACACGTGTTCACTTTTACATTATCAACTAGTTGCAAACTGCAGTGCCACAAAGTCAGGGACTAGCTGTAACCTAAGAAAGATTTCATACTGAACCTCCTGGAAAGAAGCAATCAAGTAACGAGAATGTAAAGTTTGTTAAAACTTTGGTTTGTTTTAATTTGGATCATGCATCAGAATTCAGAATTGTGTTCATTTTTACAAAATAAATATCAACTTTTATTTATATTTGATAGAGCACCAAAGTGTACATGCATCTGTGAATTGTATTTCCACTAGGAAAGAAAAATAAACTTAGGAACATTAACAACTATAACATCAACGGCGATGACTGAAAATTTGGTGTTAAAATGTGGTGGCTGTCTTTATTCCGTGAACACATTGAACAGCCTTGTGCTCAACATTCTAATAAACAATACAGAGGAGTGCTCCTTTTCCGGAACTGAATACGTTTAAACCTATTGCCAAAGACAATTTTGGCTTGGATGCATCCATCCTCAGTCCTTCAAAATCCTCCCATTGCATCCATGGAAAATTTAGATACAGTCTCAATCCTCCAAAATCCTGTCATTTTCCTGAACGTTTTCTTGGAGGGGTGACCACTGCCTTGATCCTTCAAAGTCTTCCTGCAATTCCTGTCATGTTATTGTGCAAGTGGTATCCTTGAGCAGCGTGGATGATGTCGCATGTAGTCTAGGTCTGAATTAATGCGTGGCTCGGCATACACAGCACAAGGTCTAGCCCAGGACCTTAACACAACATACCCTTCACGATCAGCCACTCTCTTGGTGATTAAGCTTAAATCCTCCCAAATCCTCCAAAACTGCCTACAGAATTGTGGGTTGAGGAGGTTAGAGTAAACGAATTGGACCATCCTTATGAAAGCCTCTCCCCTGCTTGTTCAGCCTGTTACATCCTACCATACACGTGATTTATGCACATGACAATTTTCTTCTTTCATCTCTCTGTATATTACAAATTAAATAATTTAGATTAGATTAATGACAACTGAAAACAGTTTCATACTGAATACATAAAACCTCTTCGCAAACCAGTCTCCAGCCTTCCTACTGGCAAGCATACAAGTGTACTAAAAGTTTCTTTAATGTTTAAGGCCTTAAAAGACAAGCTACTTTAACCACTTGCTGCTGGGTGGTTTGTCACAAGGCCCAGTTCCCTTTGTCCGATTTCGGAGACCCCGGCCACGCGTATAAACACACGGTGCGCAAAACTGGAGTCCCCGGCAGCAAGTGGTTAAATGTTTATCACCAGCTGCAGTGAAAGGAAATGACAATAGGTAAATAAAGAGCTCAACCATTACTCAAACATGCAATGGGACATACTTCAACCAAAGTAAAAAGTCAATATAAAAATCTGAGATATGATGGTGCACAACGAACACAAATCTATTGGCAAGACCAGTGTTAACCAGTCAAGACCATCACGACATTTCACCTGACCACAGACAAGACCAAGTGTAAGACCCGTCACAAGACCCGTCACAAGTAACAGGGTGAACAATGACAAAGGGAAGCTTTTGTTGCAGTTTGTTTAAATGGCTTGTGACTTGAATTCGGGCTTGGGGTCTAGTGTTGGTCTTTGATGGTCTTATTGGGTCTTGTAATTGTCTCGACTACAACCATGTTTTTGACAACAAAACAGGGGCATCACCATGAGTTTGTTTATTTTTTGGGGGAGGGGACACTTTGCAGTGATCTGACAAATTGTAAATGGCAGGAGTAAATTCCAAGGTACTTTCAAACACATTGGTGATTTTCACCCCCTTTCCCTCGCGTTTTTCCATTTGTTTGTTTCTCCTTCCTCTTTTCCAAAAATAAATTGGGAGAGGGGGGTCGACAAGTGCCTCCTTCCCCTCCCCACCCTGTGATTATAGTTGCCAGTGGATTTTTTTTGCTTAGCACAAAAAATACACCAAACAATGTCTCCTACTTAGCACGAACTAGATACAACTGCTCATGAAATCCACAAGTTTCTCATTCTGACAGGAAAGTGGCCTTTTCCCATCATGTGGATCTTAAATTGACACCTACAGGCATGAACCCACACAACTCATCATCAGATACGTCAAACAAAATATGCTTGCTTTCTTTGCCAGAGTTCACTCCTTTTTTTCAATTCAACAAGAATATGAAATATAAGTGGTAAAGTGGGTATAAACTTCATGGACCATCTTGCTTGTTTTCCATTCAAAGTAATGTGACCAACCTGAGGCTGGAAGGAAAATTAGTCTGTTCCCTTTCATCAAAATTTGAAGTTGTATTATTATTGCTCAAGGGGCTACAGGAAACAAGACAAACATGGCAGCATCAGGATGAAGGTCTTTAGAACAGAAAGCGTTCAGGCTATTCAAGTTGCTTCCAATTACAAGACTGAACTCGAGTAAACAGGTGTACCAGAAATGTCATGAGAATTTGCAAACAGACTCTGAGTCCGAGTACTGAGGTTGAGTACTTTTACAAATATCTGCATATTTCGTGTTTATCCGTGTCACCTGTGTGCCCAAGTACTTGTTTTCCCTTCTTACATGAGGAACTCAGCCAACTTTGTCGTGGTACTTTGGTCTATTCCTGATGGCTACATTTAAACTTAATTGGGGGCTTGGAAATGAACTAGGCCACTGCCCTGCTATTCCCCAAAGCTCATGCCCAACGGATAGAAGACTTCGGCTGTGTCCTCCCCATCCAGATCCTCCCGCAGTCTCTCGGACAACACATGGGGCAGCGAACGGGGCACGGCGTGGTTGATGAACCGCAGGGTCAGCTGGTAGAGCAGGGAGCGTTGGCTGGGCGGCTTGCAAATCTCCAGGTGGTTGACGTCCAGGGAGTGATACTCACCGTATCCAGGATCTGGGATGTTTTGGTCATAAAGAATATACAGCCAAGTTAGTCACTGGGACAACGAGCGAGTTCAAACGACAACTGATACTGACCATGAGACAGCTTCTGGTCAATTTTCCTTGGTAACCTGAGAGCAAACTATATCTTGGGTACCAGGCAAAATCAACCAGTGGTTAGCAAACGGTCTTTGCTCAAACTTGTTCAGAGTTTGAAGGTCTTCCGGTATTCCCTGTATCACAAAGCATAGTGCTGTTCACCTTTTCTCATATTCCTTTTAATGTAAAATCACAAGCAACACCATGAATGACAGGAAGGCAGCCCCATTTCTAGACAGCCGGGGAACATCACTGAAGAGATGCGCCAAAAAGCAATACGTGTGTGCACAGCCCCAAATGAGACTGACGCAACGAGCGATGGTATTTGGTCAGGACAAGTGACATAGAGAATGGTGCAAAGGACAGATAGCTAGGAGAGATGGGTAAAAGAACAGCTTTGCTCCAGAAATGCACCTGGCTCTAACTGGTCATTCACTTATGTTGCTTTGCTTCATGCCACACAGCCGTTCTAAGGCAAACATTTTAGCAATTTGATCTCAACAGATCTCTTCTGCCCACTGAGGCTGCATCCGAATCGCTTGTCTAGAGTTAGGTCTAGGTCTTCGCTCCATTGGAAATGCGTAGAGACGCGAAGACAATAGACCTAGCCATAGCTCTGGAAGTGCGTTTCGGACACGGCCTAAGCTAAGCATCGGCATCTCACGTGAGGATTCGACAGGCACCACCACAGTCTTGACTCCCAGCCCGATACTCATGGGCTTGGTTTCACCAAAGCTGAGTACAGGCAGACGTCTGGACTGCACAAACGCCCGGAAACGCCCATGGAGATTCTTCAGGGACGGGGAATCTGGTAAAAAAAGACCATAAGCAAACAACTCCAACTTTAAATTACCTTTTTTTCAATTAACGGTATTTGGAAATTACAAAAATAAGAGCTAATTAATTTCTACCAAAGAGAAACCAGAGGAAAATATAGGAAATCAATGAATTCTGGAAAAGAGAGACAACTTTTTTTGAATATGCACAATCATTTGTCTAAACTATGTCACAGCTTGGCTCAAACATACATGTATCATCATATAATTTTCGTTCAGTAAACTCAAGGTTTTTCCAAACATTTCCGTTGGTAAGTTTTCAGGTCACAACTTACCATGTACACCCTCAAAACTGATTCCTGAAATATCCTTTAAAATATTCCGAGTCTAACAGGACTAACAAGGTAACGACAGTGCTCAAACATAGCATGGAAAGTGGAATTCTAACCATTTTCTCTCACAAACCACAATATCATTTCACCTTATACCTTGGATTAGTTCCTTGACTTCCACTGATGGGTATATAAGGAGCTTGGCCTGCTGCGATGCCGCGGCCAGCGCAGAGCCATGGTGGGGCGTGCTGAAGAACACCACACCATGTGTTTGGTCGGCAACCTCCTGAAGTTCCGACCGCTCGCAGGCATCCAAAAGCATCTGTTTCACCAGAAGTCCTGTCATTGAAAAAACAAGATATCCTAGCTTATGGTATGTAGCAGGTCAAGGTGTGATTTTCATGGATACAAGCGTTTTGGGGGAGAAAATGACATGAAGAGGGAGCTCACCTGAAAATTAGAATATTTTTCATCATGGTTGTGCATCTTACCTCCCATGGAGTGCGACACCCAAATGATTGGTCTTTGGCCCACACCTGCGCGATGTAATTTATTCAGTATCTCTGTCGAACGATTGGCAAGTGAGCGTCTACAAAAAAATTTTTTTAATGTAATCTTTTAACTGAAGTTGTCTTAATAACAGGAATAAGCAAGATGTAAGTGTTCATTTCCCTGTCAGTTTGCACCTGATGTGACAAGCACAACAACTGCCTTTGCTAATATTTCTGGCTTTCAAGTTGGACAATTATGTTCGAATGATACACCGTCATAACCAATTCCAAGGTGTAACCACTGACCCCTAAATGACACTTTTTTCTCCAACGTTCATATTTTGTCTGATCCCTGCAGCATACTATGCATAGAGAAGCACAAAAAGTGTCCTTTGTAATGCACATGCTGTGATTCTGAATGGCTGAGCTACTTCAAGTATAGGACTTAGGGTCAATATTTGTATCATTCAAAATAAAACCCCGTTCAACGGTGTTCAAAGCTCTCATCCCAACTAGTACGGGGGTTTACCCTACCAAACGTTCTCTAATGCACTTACTTTTCACTCTCAAAGGGGCACTTGGCGGACCACTCTGACATGTGGGTGTCATAAGAGATGGTCAGTACGCGCATGTGGGGGCAGTCCTTGGCCAACCAGGTCTAGATGAATTTGAAAAGCAGATATACCAATCAGGTACTCACCTCTATCAATCAACAGAAATCCAAACCTTGTTGAGAAGCCATAATTTAATATTGTACTTTGTTAAGTATCTGTGCGAAGTGTGAAACAGATATATAAGATGTTTTTACAATGGGGCAACATCAAACTTCCAGATGACAAACCTTAGCTAAAACCTCTCTTGTTTGGTTTGAAACCTAACTTATTTTTCCCCAAACAGTCACTTTCCATGTTATTCAAAAACCTTCATCCCTACACAGAAAGGTACTTGTGAATGTTAAGACTTTATGGGGAAGAAAAAAATGAGATATACGATCAGCCTCAGGTCAGGAACATGGCAAAAACACTTCATGGTAAACAGGGGAATGGACAGAAAAATTGCTCCAGTCTCTTTCTGAACCTTTGGCCAGCAGTCTGTCCATTTCTCATCGGCCGGGCTCATCTCATCTTCCTTTGCCTCTTCACGCTGGGGCTCTTTGGTTTCCTTGTTGGCCTTGTCCTGCTGCCGCCACGTCTTGAAAGCTCCTCCCAGGAGCCCGTGCACAAAGACCACATCGGCCTCCAGCACTTGCCTTGGAGAAGCGTGAAATTAAATAACGCCTTAACTCGATTTCAGTAACTTTCAATAGCTTATGTCAGACGGGAAAAGTTATCAAGAAATGTACTTAAGAAATCAGTTGAATAAAGCAAACACCAAATATCTATTATTAGCAAGGTTTTGAGCTATACAACCTTTGGATGGTATTATTTTGTCTGAAAATTTGGACTTAAAAAATGACACAGAAGTTAATTTTTGTTCGGCTGCAAAATGCCACAAAACTAACTTGCTAGAGTCCTATTAGCAATATTTTTGCGGTCAGCAGTATTTTTCTTGTCGGAATCTCATATGTTTCAATACCACCAAGTGTGTCTGCAGTGTGATATTTGCGACTGTAACAGGCTGTGCCCAGCGGTCGTATTCAAGTTCAACACACAGGCTGCCTTCAAAGACAATTTCGTGCTTGTATGAAATAAATGGCAAACTGGCTTGTACAAACATCACCCAGAGGTGGATCTGGGCGTGCATGGCGATTTAACCCATCATGCGTGCCTGCGTGCATACATATAGCTTGATCATTTTTACACGTTCTCCATCACGAATGTGGTAACAACTCTCTCAAATCAGCAAAACTCACACACATCTGGATATTTGCCAAGGAGTCTTTACTTGGAATAAATGATGACAAAAGGATTTCATGATATCTTTGATACAATTCCAAGAAGTTCACTTTCTGGTCATTCTCGTTGGTGTTTTCCGCACTTTTTTGAAAAAGAAATGTAGATCTCCTCACCTCGTTCTGGTTTGGGGATGCAGGAGGAAAATACCGTCATCTAGCTTCTCTGTCGCACCATCACGGTCAAGATTGATCAGAGCCCTGGCAGCGTGAGCCGCAAGGGGGATATAATTGGACTTCATCCACGAGGCAAGAACGGTGACCCAGCCTGAACAGGGCAAAACGTGGCATTCAAGTAACACTGCAAAATGTTACTGACTGCCACCACTGTGATTGGACAAGTGCTTAAATGAACTTATTATGTCATTCCACATTGACAAAGTGTTGTACAAGTACTCTTTTTTTTTGGCACCCACCTGCCTGAACAATCTTGATGTGCAGGTGCTCATTGAGCGCCATGTTGGCCAGGATGCGAGCGATGTAGCACTGCACCTTGAGGCTGCCCACTGCTGCCTTGGACATGCACAGCTTCATCAGCAGCTGCAGGCCTCCCAGCTTCACTATCTCCTCACAGTGGCTTGGGACCTTGGGATCCGATTAAAAAGGTTTTTTAGATCACACCTAAATCTTCGTATCGCGTAGAAGAGAAGTGGCAGGGTTGATCTGGTTTGCCCTGGAAAACCCAGGTTATTTGAATTCTGATTGAAGCATCATAGTGTGGGCACTTGAATGAGGAGCAAGAGGAACAAGAATTGCCGATGAAAGATCTTGCAAAGTCAAGGGCAATCCACAGCACTCCTCTCGTGTGACTACACTACTTTTCGTGCACATTCCGGTGAAAAATTCTTTACTCACCTTCTTGTGCTCCGCATATGGGAGTTTACCATTTGACATGCATACCCTAATGTACAAACATGATGAGCTCTCACAGCACACTTGCTCCCAATCAGGGTATAAATGGCATGGAACTCCCTTCTACATGTGAAGCAAGTCTAAGTGTCAAAGGCTCTGAAATGGACATGGAGCAATGGTGCTCTGTGCACGTGACAGAAAGGCCAAGCTAACAACTGAGCACTGCTGCCATCATCGGCCGTCAAAGACCATACTGGTTACACATGCATTCACAGCAGGCACATGCTGTGCTATAGACATGCACGCGATTGCATGCACTTGGTGTGTCAGCCCCCATGGGGTGTTACTTCCGAGTACCCTTCCTGGTTTATGCAAGGAACCAATGAGCATACCTCGGAGTGACTGACCAGGGCCTGCAGATTGACTGCCTCCCTGGCCTCCTCGGGGATCTTGCTCAGACCGGTGACAAAGGTCAGGGTGTTCCCGCCAAAAGACAGCATCCCGCTCTGGTCGAGGGAGAGAACAGACACTCTTAAGGGTCCAATTCCGATCCAGCTGTTCAGAATTACCGGTACTTGTAGTCTTAAGAGCAGGGGCAATAGTGTGGTGATTTCCTTAAAATGAATGATGGCTTTTCTATATCAAAGCTTTCCTGAAGCTTTTTATGTTTGGTTTGGATGTCCAGGCTTGTGTCTTCTGTATGAATTGTCACACTACAAGTTTGAAAGCAGTTTCCAGCACATGAATATGTATTAACATCTTGAGGAGATATGCACATATTTTGGACACAAATGTGATCCTAATTGGCTTCACCTGAATAAGCAATAGTCACACATAAATTTTGATCCACGCTGGATACTACGGCTTAGATCTTTCAAAAATCACAAAGAGGTTTTGCAAGATTTTTCAAGATTGAGGAAGTTGAAGTACCGAGAATACGCCGTCAGTTTCCTGCACAGTGGTGGATTTTAAAAAGACTTAGGAATGGTCTAGCAAAAAACAATGGCTACAGAATTATGGTCAATAATAATAATAATAAAAAAAGACCTGATCGTGGGCCTGGACTGTTTTGCCCTCTGCCATGGCTCTCAGAGTGAAGAACTCAGTGCATCTGTCAATTCTGTCCCTTGGTAGAGCTCCTAAGAGCCTCTTAAATCCTTCCTCTCTGCTTTCCTAATAATGGAATGAAGTGAAACATTCATAAGTTATTACACGATTATTGTTACTCTAGTCTCTAGCAATTGCTGAGATTGACAAGAAACAAATCCTTTTTAAATCCTATTTAAAGGTGCTTGAGACGCAAGTTTGACTTATCATATTCTGGGCGGTAAACTTAAGAAGGCCATCCCTATAAATTAACGACTACAAAAACCAGCTGGGGTGTTAATATACTCAATGAGAATCAATTATTGCATGGTTGCCTGCTTAAGGACACATCTTCACAAATGTTCATGAGACTCGGCCACAAAAATCACATAACTTGATTACAACTTAGGAAAACATTTTTTTTTCAACCTTGGAGTCCTCCAGAGAGGGCGGGGCCAGAAAGAACCTGGCATCCACATCAGCTGACCTGGCTAGACCAATCAGAGTCCTCTGATCACATGCCTGTGCAATGGCTCTATACTCGGCATCTGATAAAAAAGTGGAACCTTAAAGCTACTGATTAAACAAATCCTTTTCTTCAAAATGCTGGCTCAACACTCCCAAGTCTTTCACAACTTCAACATTTTGGGGACCAAACGGACCATCTGTGCAACTATGATGCTAACATGGAACAACTGTGCAAACTAATTACATGTACTTGTTACATAACGCTGCATTTTTCTGAAATAATTTAGATTTCAATTCCTCTTTGGGAAAATTGAATAAACACAGTGAAGGTCAAAATGACCAAGCACATCCTGATTTTCTAAACTGAAAGGGCAGTGGGTGTAATCAGTTGGATTGTTGTGAGCCCATGGCATTAAACGTTGTACATTAAGGTACCGCCTATGGGTAACTAATGCAACCAATAGTCTTGCAATTGACAGAACAACCACAACTGGGCTCAAATCCACACTTGGACAACTCAGCCACCAGTCTGAACTTTAACCAGTGGACCACAAAGCTCTACAAAGAAGGCAGCACAGAACCAACACAATGAATCAGGCGAGGTCCGTGCATCCATAACATTAAATACTTACCGATCCAGTGATGTTTCTTGGCCAATTTGGCCACTGCTGTCCGTCTGCGTTGGGGGTTATCAAACTGGGCCCTCTTGAGTAAACGCCAGGGGTCATCATTTGTCCGGTCCAGGGGCAACTTGGAAAGGACTGTTTGAGGGTAGAGAAAAATGTCTTAAAGAACTACCTCACCAAAAAAACCAGAAGAAAGTCTAAGCTATTGTGTCAACTTTCAAGCATGAAGCTTAACAGTTCTTTTTGACACTTCATCAGTGAATCAGTGCTCAATAATTAAAAGCAGGTTTTGTCTCGCAGAACAGGTTTTTGAGGAAGGTCAATTATGTTCAATTCTTTAGCCAACAGTCTGGTGATTCTTTTTAACAAGTAAATGGATTTTTGGCTGACCTGTCTCGGAAAAATATGCATCATGCAAGAACGACAAGTCCAAGTTTCATCAAACTGTTGTTAAAAGGGCTGTACAATGTTAGCGACAAATCTCCTCAAGGCTTGGTACATTAAACAAATGCAGTGAGACGGCATTGGAGGAAAGTGACGGGGACAGATTCCATCCCTGCCCCAAGCTCTTTTGGGGTTCAATCCTTGGGAAATCATACCATCGGGGTGTTTGTCTTCAAGAAAGTGCTCCAGGATTGAAAGTCTCCATTTCACTTTACTCCTCATTTGAGCAACCAAGTCATCTGATGGCAGAAAGGTTCGATATTACGAGTTAATATCACTGACAATTTATACTTAACAAGCAGAGTTTATTGCTCTTCATTTGGGGACAGTTAAATGGAACACAAAATCTTGTTTTCAATGGATTTCTGCTGTTTAGGTGTGCTGGCTGAGGAATATTGTCTGTTTGGCACCCTCATGAAATCTTCCAGTTATCCTTTTTATTTTCTTATCCTCTTTTTTCTCAGCCAAAGGAAAAACAAGAAAAGTGCCCCTAGTGTTTGTGATTTCTCTAAATACCTCAGTCAACTTCATGCACATGCACAAAGGTCACAGGGTAAAGATCATAGGTTACATCTTCTGCGGGCTACAAAGACATGGTGTGGTTTTACCTAGCCACAATATCCTGCATGAAGACACATATTCCTGTTTTTTCTTTATTGGTGTGGACGGTCTTCGGTTCAATTGGGTGTTGGACACCCACTGGAAATGATTCCCTTTTTGCAACTCGAAGTAGATACCTAAGGCAGGAATTGTGAAAAACTGAGAGTGTCTACGGGGAGTCTGGCAAATAGCGCCACATGCGGGGTCACGCACCTGCAGGGGGAGTTGGAGTGATGTAGATGTAGGTATGCCGCTGGTCTGGAATTGATGGATCCATTTTGTAGTTGAGCGCTCGGTCTAGTCGGAGCCACTCACGATATAAAATGATCCCTCCCCTGAAGTAATTAGAAAGGAAATGCATAATTACTATTCTAGCCTGTTGCTTCACATTCTACATGTACATGTAAATTATTGACAGAACAACAAATGCTTCAGAACTATGAATTACGTATCAAGTAATTTCTGATTGGTTTCTTTGCTTTTCTACAATTGGGGAGTTAGTGGCATCTTCACTTCTGGATAGCATATATTGTACAATAAATGTTGAACTGCAGATGACCAATAAAGCAGTACAGAACTTGCACAATCAATCGGTAACACAGGAACTGCTTGGCCAGCAATGGCCAGAGATGTGGGTAGTTGATGGCATTCTTTCTCTACACAACTGCTCTGTCCTGAGTGACTGGCCATGATCGAGAGGTTCGTTAAGCAGTCACTTTGCCCATGTCCCACTTTGTCTCATTGGTCACTGTGCCCACCACAAAAAAGGACATTTTATCAAATACCCCCCAAAATTCTGCATAACTCCTGAATTATGAAAGTTTGACAGTACTAAAACAAGAAAGGGACATGGAGTAGGCCTACAGCTAAAACCTACACGGGCACCTGTGAACGATGAGGTAAAGTGGTTGTGGGCGAAGTGGAAACCACCAACATGTGTAACAGGGGTTATAACATGTGTAACTGATGGCGGTGTGATCAGCCAATGACATGATTGACTGACTGTGCATCTGCTCAGCAGAATCAACGAATAGATGAAGTATGTACCAACTGCGCCCAACATTTTCTCAAGCAACAAACCCTATTCCAACAGTTGCCACAACTGCCACCCCTCGCAGCTTTCCTCTCCATCCCTTGGCAGCTGCCTCTGTCTTTAATTTACTGCTCAGGTTCCGTCGACAGACGAAGTTGAACATTCAGGAGAGATGACAGATCAATTAGCTGTTAATAATGGGAAGGAAATCACAAAAATTGTCAAATAAAGGGGCCTACACTTTAAACCCTGTACCTTTCACTGAATAACCGAAGTAATTGCTGAATACCCTGCCATGTGAAAATAACCCTAAAAAGGCTTCGTAGTCGAGTGGAGGTTGTTTAACTTACAGTATTGAAGTCATTTTTGAGAATGAAGCACTCACTTGAATTACACACAATTACAACTCACCAGGGGACAACTAAAACTTTTCTAAGTCCAATATGGGTCCCGGGGAGTGGCTACGGGGATATTGGGATATGAAGTGGGCCTTGTGTGTCATGCAATGCAAAGTGGATGGGGAACCGGGTGGAAGAATTTTCTAAGTCCAATGTAGGTCTCGGGGAGCAGCTACACGAATAGAAGTGGGCCTTGTAGAATACGAGGTGGGCAAGCATGGCAAGGTGAGTGGCAGGGTATTTTGCATTTGTGCCGAAAAACCTTCAGGGAACCCATTACATTCTAGACATAACCATGGCTTAAGTTACAGTAGCCTATCCCCCCTACCCTCCGACAAAATCTCCCCACCATCACTAATGCCATGCCTGTAAAGCAATTTCAAGAAGCTTGAGCTTCGTGCACTCGTGCAAAGGGGGGAGTGGGTTAGTGTATAGGTTCTTTCCTCACTTTGCACCAATGAGGCCCGGGTTCGAGTCCCGGCCTGGCCCAGGCTTTAAGTGCATATGGTTTCCAGTCCATACTCGCTCTCGCACTCCTGCTTCTAAAACTGGACCTTCTTCCTAACTCCGTAATGTGATGCTGATTAATAAAGTGTATGAATAAACGTACAGTTATTGGCACAAATAGGCTAGCCATAGGCCGTTTTCCAATACTCAACTTCGGCTCCGTCTCAGGCTTCAACTGTTTTTTAACTAGCTGCCGTTGAAGCTGTAAGCGCAGGAATTAGTCTAATAGTGCCACGAAACATCAAATAAGATGCAAGAGAGCCAGAAGTTACAGTAATCCAATTTAATTTAAACGCTTCAGGTCCACAATCGGGGATTGGTTTTGGGAACGAAGCCTGAGAGCCCAAGTCGAGTATTGGAAAAGGGCCATAGTTGCTGAAAGCGCCATTAAAACAAAACAAAAACAACGCTCGCGCAAATGCTCAAGCTTCTTGAAATTAATAGAGCGTACTTCTGACACAGAAACTTGGAACCTGCGTCTCTTCCGATTAGTAGTATTTTTCTCAATGTCTCCTTCTTAGTTGTGTGTAAAATCCCGATGGTTCGCCAACCATTGCTAACTTTGTTGTTTGTTTACAGAGTAACCTATTTCATGGGCGCCGCCATATTCCGATGATCGTGCGCGCGCGCCCTGGCCTGCCGGGCCCAGCGCGATCAGAGCCGGCCAGAGGCTCGGCACTGAACGAACACAGCAGTGCTTGAGGGATATGCAGACACAATTAAGTACTGTACATAGTGATATTTACTATGCGGGAAAAAGCCGTTTCACTTTTCCCGTTCTGTAACTTGCTACAGAATCATTCGTTTTCTGCCCATTTCCCTACCTCGTTTAAGCAAGATTTCTTGAATTAGTCACGGTTCAAGAAACTGTAAATTATTTTTGAAACAATCAAAACAGGCCTCATCATGTAGCGGAGCGGACGTCGCACCCCACAGTTCTGGATGGAGGTAGCCTAATGTCGGAAAGTGTGGTTGGAAAAGAAAGAAGACGACAAAATGCATTAAAATTGTATCTCCTGCTACCAGTGAAGAAAACATAGGATGCTGCATCTTGTTTCCATGAGGGGAAAAAGTGCCGGATGGCGCCAGTAGTTCTTATGTGGGATTCGAACCCACTACCCTACTGGGTAAACCAATAAACTTTGTACCAAAAGCTCGTTAGAAACGAAGTAACCACTTGGCTGAAGCCGGCACAATTTCAGAAGGGGTAATCTATGCTTATATTCAATTTAATTAAATTACGAGAAAAGTTCGTAAAAAAGAGGTTGCCTAAAGCCCATGGCTTATCACAAATCAATCAAGTTGTGTACACCTGACGAAGAAACTCAAAACCAAAGATCGAATTGCACCGCGTAGCAGTGCAAGATGGAGAATTCTGCCCTAAAGGTGTAATCACCAAGGGCTCCATTCGAGTGTGGACGTTCAAGCTTAGGCGCAGGTATACCCAGGGCCGATTCGGGTGTCTTCTTCTTCCTGTGTGACGTTCACGAACAGCTCGATTTGTTGTTCGTGGTCGGCCGCTCGAACGCCGGGAACAAACAACCGGTTATCGCTGGTATAGTGACAAGCAACATTCAACATGGCGGCGTCCATGTAGGCCACGTTATTCGAGAGTTAATGTTCGGATGGGCTGAATTCTTTTCTATATAAACAGGAACATTCATTTCTGTGTTACGGAAAATAATTAATGTTAGTTTTGCAAAAATTTCCATTTTCTATGGCTTTAGAAGCCATCTTTCTACTTTTTGCAGCTGTTCAAAAATCAAACTCTCACGAGTTTTTCCGTGTGTGCCTGTAAAACCCTGACGAGGAGGTGGGGTGTGATCCTGTTCCCAGAACATGTGTTCTTGAGTCGTGTTCCCGCCGTTCGAGCGCGAGAACAAGAAACCCGTGTCAAGAACAGGCCGCCCGAACTGGACCCAGGGGTGCGAGGGCCGAGCGGGGCTGTTGCATTAACCCTACCCAAATGGCGCCTGCACGATTACAGCTTTAACGTGTATTTTACGGTGAAGGTCTCCATGATTCGCCGCTACGCTGAAAACCTGTGTATCCGGCATTTCTGTTTTCCGTGTTTCGGTAAAATCCCGCTGGTGGTTTGTCAACCTTGTTTACAAATTTCATGATTCCTGCTTGCATGCGGAAGTTCACGCCAATGTGTGTTTGCCGGCAATGAGCTGAAAATCGTAGTATTATTACTATTATTATTATTATTATTTATTCATGCCAAAAATTCAATATACATCACAAGCAAGATGGGCATAGGGGAGACAAAAGTAATACGGAATCACTGTGGTCACAGACCTGTCTCCCCACATCAAGATGTGGGAAATTAACAAATTAATAAAATAAGTATACTGTATATACATGTACATGTAAAAACACTGAACATGAAGACATTAACAATAAATTTTAAAAAACACACATTTATGCACATCCTCGATCCTCCTTTCTCAGTCAGCCATGGAGGTAGAAATAGATTTCTACCTTCACCTTCAGCGCACCTATTGTGATTTTTAAGACGCGGATTTTTCCGTCTGATTAATTGTTCAAACGTTCTACAGAATCAATCATTTTCTACCTGTTTCTTCGATGTGATGATACACCTCGTTTCATACACTCCCTAAAATGCAAGAAATATCCTAGCCGTGGTTTAAGAACTTGACGCAAAATTGATCTCCAATCGTGTCGAAAAATAGAAATGGGGAAGAACAGAAAACAAAATGGAACGAAAAACTTTATCTCCTGCCATCATACAAGGAAATTTATCGTGATGCATTAAACCAAAAAGGAAAAATGTGACGGGTTGCGCCAGTAGTTCTTACACGGGATTCGATCCCACCATGTACGGTTACACAGCTTTTTTCATCGAAGTAACCACTTGGCTGAGCCGTCCGCGAAAACAAATGTTGCGATTTCCATTTATAACTTATTACATGTACATGTACATGTATATCGAAAGTTACGTGCGCAAATAGGATTACTTATATAGGCCCAGTCACCCACTTTTCTTAAGGATAAGCATGACATGCAAGCATGTGGAAAAATATTTCAAACTGGGCGGTCCCAATAGTTAAAAATTCTTACAATTTCATTTAATTTTCGTTTTAATGTTTTCAATATTAAAATTCTGTCGGATCACGCACTAGGCTGCCGGTGCCATGCTGCCAAAGCAGCCCTAGTCTGGTTCCCCGCCTAAATATTCCCTCTTGAGTCTGGTCTCCAGACTGCAGACATGTGGGGCGGGCCGGACGCGTCGACGGGGCCCGGGGCCGGAGGGGCAAGTTGGAAAATTGGATGGAGCAGGCTGACGTTGGCGGCGTCCTTCTTGTCGTTTAGGTCAACAAAATTAGTGAAAAGACGAGTTCTGACGGAAGTTCTCTTTGATTCTGTGGAGGGAAAATCATTTCTTCTGAGCGACATTTGGTTTATGTGTAAGTAATGTGTTCTTCACTGTTTGTCCACATCTACGAAAGTGTTATTACTTTGACCTTTGGGAGTGGTTTTGCGGAGAGTGTGTTGTTGTCAAGGATTCCCTCTGCATTTTCTGCGATCATGGCAATGCCATTTTGATTGTGTTGACATGGATGAGCGCGAACGTTAGGCGAAAGGTTAGCCACGTGAATTTCTTTTTATTCACCTTTCCCCAAAGATACCTCAAAAATAGTAGTAAAACTATGCGCTCAGCTCTGAGTATAGCTGCCCGCCTCTATCCAAAATAGGCCTGCAATTTTGGGCTTTTTGTGAAAGAAATAGGCCTAGGCCTACCCCGAAGTGGAAACTAGGGCCTAGGCTCTACCACCTACCCATTTCCAAATTCGGGATTTATAGAAATATTTCTATAATCCCTCCTGATTACGGCATGTCTTATTGTGAAAACCCCTTGGGATCACAAAATATCAATGAGCTCACGCATAGAAATCCAATGATTTGGTGGAATGCACCCATTAACGATCGGGAGTTAATCGCTGTAGTAAGCAAATGACTGGTGTGAAGACGACCAAATTAAACTACATGGACAAAATTGCCCATATTAATACAGCAATGGTCAGTTGGGATGAACAAGCCATACGCGTGAAATGGGATTCATAGAAGGCATTTTTGCGGAGTCTCCACTTTCAAGACTTTTTGTAGTGGACTGAATTGTGTGGCCAAGGAGGTAGTCCAGTAGATTGGCCCCCAGTCTGGAGCCAACCCTGGCTGTGCCGTGTCGGTTTGATTGTCCAACCTAGACATACCGTAATGGGTCTCTGAAAAGTTGGTTTTGCACGATGGAAGAAAGGCATTCAATGTTTGCTCCTTGTTCCTTCCCACAATGCCTTTCTGCTATTTTGCAAAATCACCCATGCAGTACTTGCAGTAAGGCTTATGGGGAATATATATTTTGGGACCCCAATGTTTTTTCATTTTAATCTTGCAGAGCTGGTCAGTTCCCTCCCAAATCAAAGGTAATCCTCTCTTTATTTCGCTGCCCCTATTTTTTGGAAATTTTGACTTATAAATTGTGACCAGAAAATGTAACGTTACATTAAACCAGCCATGCAGAGTTGAATCCACCGTGTGTCAAAACACTCACACTTCCCCTCATAATTTCCCTCAAAACCCTTCCCTTTTTTCACAACATAAATCCTACAGTTACTGTGCATGAGGTCATAGTCATCTACCAAGGTGAAATTAAAAGTTAAAATGTAGGTCTCCCTTCTATTATAGGCATATGGTCCCCAACTATACAATCCCCCCATCATGCTGCAGTGAAAGGCTATGAAATCTGTTGACCACACGAAGGCCTATGATGGAAAGAGGGGAAGAATTTCTGAGCATGCATGGACATCAGTGATTTTCCCCTAGTCATCAGTCAGCCATGATAAAACAATAACATGTTCAGTCTGGAATATTACCATATTTGGACAGCCTTTTACGTTACAGTCTTGCTCAATCTGACCAATCACAATACTTGTTCTAGCAGCTTGCAACGGATTGCTTGGGTGTTTCCATGTTACAGGGTGCATGTCTTATATGTTGCAGCATATGGAGCAAAAAGAAATTTTCAATTACAAATTGTCGATTGGTTGTGCAAAAAAACCTGACTACCAACAACAACTAGAAGTTCTAAAACATGCTTGTACTGGCATCAGTGGGATTTAAAATTCATCGTTGCCAACTTGAGATATTCAAAATTGAATGTTCAGAAAGTATAATTTAGCAGTTTAGCATGACACACCAAAGATTCTTTTTTTTGTGTTTGTTTAGGCATTGCATGCATGTAAAATTAGGACCTAGGCCTACTTAGGTGGGGCCAAGTCCACATACAGACAGCACAAATTTTTTCCTGCAGTAACCTGTCAGCAATATGAAAGCAGTAAAATGTCCCAAACAGTCTAATTAAGCACTCTTAGTATCATTTAACCCGAGGCTGGTATAAAAACACAGATTTTTTCAGGCACGTCTCATAATAGGCTTTTTCCACAGGGTGTCAAATTGCATGCATAATTCTTTCCCTCAGACAACTCAACTGTTTGCTAACTCGACTCGGAACAACTCAACTGTTAACTGGTTGAAGACAACTCGGCCAGTACATGTAGGACAACTCGATCGTATGTGCTTCAAATGAACCAATAAATTGACCATTGACAACTTGGGTATTTACATATAAGTGAGTGTGCATGCACTTTACAGTTACTCCCAAATTGTTCAAATTAAAATGCGTTTTTTGGGGGGACAGATTTACCGTTTCCCACACAAGAAGACTGGCAACTGATTATCAGTGCAGCCAAAGCACCTGTGCACAGCAAATGATGCGCTGTGCCACCATGTATGCGGCATTGCAGCCTGGCACTGTGCTGGTTGGGTAATCGATGCACCACCCTTTGGCGCCAGTCCTATACATGTGGCGTTTCCGGGTCCCTGTGCATGGCATACCCGGCAAGTGCAGTCGGAAAGTTGCGTGACATATTGCAAATTCACTCAACTCAACGACACGGGATGATATGGTAAGTGATCGAGTTGTCCCACCGGTTGATTTGTCTCCACAAGTCAAGTTGTCCTGCATCTTAAGTACATCGGAAATATTTTGATATGTTTTTCTTATTAGGTTAACATTTCACAGATTGTCAGTATCACAATGAATCATGCATCTTTGCTACACCATTGTGTGGCTATTCTGGACAGCTACGACCCCGATGCTTTTGGAGTAGAACAGCATCTCAAGACCTATCTCAGTGAGAATAAGGTAGGCATTTTTAGCAGAGAGCCTTTTAGACCTCTGTTGAAGAGGCAGACAATAAAACAGTCTTGATAGGAAGAGCTTTTTTTACGAAGAACTGCTAAAGAGAACGAATTGTGAAATCCAAACTCTCAAATCTCCCAACTTTCAAATTCCTTTTGATTTTCTACATTTTTTCCAGTCCTTTTGTAATAATTTTCTGGTTATGACAAGGGCCCAATTTTATTGGGCTGCTTACCACCGAATTCCACACTTACAATCTCCATTCTGCGCTAACCGCTCAAGCAGAAAATTCTCTGCTAAACCTTTAAGCACAGAATCCTTTGTACGTACGCATGCGCACAAGCCAAAATTCCTTGCTAACCCATGAAATACTTTTGGTGTAAGTGCAGAATTTTCTGCTACGGTAAGTGCCAATTTTTTTGCTTGCGGTAAGCAGCATTGTGAAATTGGGCCCAGGTAAGTTGGCTAGTCCCAGTGAATTTGTAACAGTTGAGTTGAGTGTACATGACTCTCCCAGGCTCTACATGTAGCACAATGGTTTTATTCTCAAACATTCGAGGGGTCCAGCGTAGGAAGCAGGAGTGACTAATTTGATTAGTTTTTCTGGCTCACACCTCCAAAATCTCCAGATGGATCTTGGAGGATCTTGGAAGGGCATGGCATCATCACTGTGTATAAAGAAATTACATGTTCAGTAAGGCAGTAGATTCAATTTTGTCAATTTTTTCACAGGCTAAGTATGAATAACCAAGATTTGAAAAATAAAGTACCATTGTATTCAAAAGATAAGGAAAATTGCAATTGAAATAAAAATTGTGTCCATCCACAGAGCGTTAATGATGAGGAACAAGTGTTTCTCACTGAGGTCTTCTCAGGGTGTGTCCGCCACACCCACATCATGGGTGTGGTCATCGATGGCTTTTACATCAAGGCAGGCAAGAGTTGCCTCCGAACCGACATCAATCTCTACACAGGTGCAAATAATTTGATATTGCAAATGTGTCTCAGATTCCTCAGTAGTCTTTCTCAACAGTAAAACTTTCTGTGAACGACCTGAACGTACATGTACGAACATGGGAAATTCCAGAAATTAGGGGTCAATTTTTTTTTTTTGTGTCCCTGTCACATCTGACATATGATGTTGTAAGTTCAAAACACATTTCCTAATTTCCAAAAGTGATGAATTAATGCAAATTACCTGCCAAACAAATAGTAATAGTTTGAAATCAATTCTGGTGATATTTCTGTGTCAAATAACAAAGGTTAGATGTAACACGGACACAAAAATATCACGCTTTTGTACCCTTCTTTCTGGAATTACCCATATATCTTGTTTGAGATACATTTTAATAGTAGCCCACCAACACGCTGTTGCTGCGTCAAATGCCTGTGAACTAAATGGGTAGCTCATGCCGACTGAGTTTTGTTTGAACACATCGGTCCATTCTTGAATTGATGCTAATCAACCTGAACATGGTTTCTTGATTTGCTGGATCAGAATAATTTGGATCTTAATACTTTATTCATCTTTCTATCCCCCTTTTATTTGATAGTGTTGTGCTATTTGGCGCTGTTCAGGCTGGACGAGCTGGAAATGGTCAACTTCAGGAAGTTTGTCCGATCGCAAGACGTCAACAAGATGCACAGGGTATGATTGACTTAGCTACAGAGAGATGCTTGCTGCTGCCGCTGTTGTGGCTGTCAGTGCTGTCAAACGTGCCCCTGCTGTTACTGATGCCGCTGTGACTGCAGTAACTGTTTTTGCTGCAAATCTTTTTTTCTTTTATTGGATGATTTGTCGTGATGCTAGAATCACTCAAGGCAAAGGACTTTTTTGGATAAAAGTTGAGAGGTTTGTGGATCCTGTAGGAAAGATTGGCGGTTTCTCGTTTCATTGGGCAATGGGTTTCACAGATAGTAGGAGTCATTTTGGCGCAGCGGTTCTTTCCTCACCTGACATGTACATGTCTGCAATGCAAAACCAAATATTTCTTCACTGTCTTCTTCATTGCCACTGAAAATCATCCTTTAATTGTCACTTAGGCAGCAATTATTGAAAATAAGAAGATGTCACTGTAACGTCTTTCTCCATCTTGCTCTTCCTCAGTTTCTGGCCTTCTTTCTGGACGAGTCTAACCTGAAGACTTGGATCAAGGATGAGTGGTGTAAGATCTATGAACACAGCTACGTCCAGGTGCAACTCGTGTCCCCCATCCTCAGGTTGGTGTAGAATCTTAAGAAAGAGATGCATGGGAAAAGACAGGTCGTGCCATGTTTTTTTACTTAAGTCAAAATGTACTTGGTTTGCTAAAATACAACGTTGTGGCTGTGTGCGTAATGTCTCTCATAGCTGCATAAGAGGGCTAGAAAGCATTATTTTGCAAATCTCAAATCCTCCAAACTTTGATAACTCTCTTTTGTTGACCCTAGTAGTGTCCAGGTCAGTCAATTTACCCAGTGCAAGTCCCCTATTTGTAGAGTACAAGGGCCAGTTTATTTGGTCTCTTTGATGTCCTTTATTAGCCACCAGTAATAAGAGCTTATGTTCTCATGGCTGTTCTATTTATTCCCTGAGAACGTACCACTGTACTAGTCACAATAGATGCTACTCCTTCCAAATGATGTCATGTCCTTCAAATGTATGCTTTGACCCACCTACTTTGTTCTAACAGTAACATTTTAACTTAAAAGTCCAGACTCAATGAAACTTCGGTATATTCACCAGAGGCCACTTGTGGGATTAAATGTGTGTTACAACATTCAAAAATTGGTTTAATTGTAAAGAAAGCCGTTCATATGATGTCTTATATTCTGTCTTATATTCTGTCTTATATTCTGTCTTATATTCTGTCTTATATTCTGTTTTATGTTCTGTCTTATATTCTGTCTCAAAATGTTCGAAGTTGATCTAATTCTGCCTCTCATTATTTTGATGCTCCTCTTCAATCTCAGATGGCTGCCTGAGTTGACGGAACTGGTCAACCAGCTAGCTGATAAAATTGCCAATAAAGTGAAGACGCAGAGGAAAGTGAAGACCCCCACAGGTAAGCTGCTGGTTATGCGCGCAGGTGCTCATCTCAGTGTCTCAGTGCGAGTTTGAGTGACGACTACAGTGGACCATAGTTTGACTGACGCCACCCAAGCAGTGGATGCTTGGATTACTCCGATGGACCATTTAAAGAGCCAGACCCCGGGGCGTGGGTGCATCGCTTGGTTATTAATAGCTTTTTGCCTGATTCATCATTGAGGGAACAATTGACATTGTGCGGCCAGTAGCACAATGCAAGTGATGGTAGGATTTCACAGAAAAGATTGGACAAGGGTCATTCACGCAGAACCGAGTTACACTTTGGTAAAATGTAGAAGTTAATCAGAGAATGATGTATGGTTTTACCATTTGAAAATGACACCACAAACTGAAAGCCTGTATTGAATATTATCGTACATGTACAAGGTGTTTTCCCGATGCTTTCAGTGGATTTGGGGGCCACTTATCAATTTCACATTCCTTGGCAGACGTGAAGCCCTTCAACATCACGCAGCCTCGGCCCAGGAGTGTCCCTATGCCGGAGAAGATCCCACTGGTGCACAAGCACAAGCCAGTCCCCAAGACCACCTACTCCGGCCCCAGGGAAGAGAAACTCATCCTAGAGGCCAAGGAGAGAAACCGGAGGCGGGCAGAGGTACGTGTAGGCTTGGATGTTTCTTTTCTTCAAGTTTTTGTTTCATAACTTGATATCTGATTTTTTTTTTTGTTGGTTGACAAGAATTTGTATGAACACAGGTTTACTTGTCATCGAGATACAATACTATCTGTGGTTCACATGTTCAGCATGCTCAGAAAAAAAAAATAGTAATAATGGAACTTAATAGTAATTATGGAACTTAATAGTAATAATGGAACTTAATAGTAATAATGGAACTTAATAGTAATAATGGAACTTAATAGTAATAATGGAACTTAATAGTAATAATAGTGGAACTTAAAGCAGAAGCTTCATGGTTGCTAGTGCATTCAGCCAGCAAACCTGTGTTTCACTCGGTGCTGTGTAGTTTGCAGATTTTCCTAACATCATCCGATTCCTTGAGTTTCACTTCCAGTTACAACATTACAAATTTTATGAAGTATAGAGTTTTGCACAGCTTGGAATTTCTTGGTCTTGTTTTTACTTTGATAGAATTTTCTACTGTGCCCAGTGCCAGAATCTTTGTTGTTATAACTATAATGTATCAGGGCTAAAGAAATTTGGCATAGATCTCTTGACCTTGAAGATTGTGTTTTTGTGATCTCGGCTGCTTTAGTGAGAGTGAACCAGAAATGAACCCCCTGTAAAGACAGTGAAAATATAAAGAACAAATACACAGTCAACATTACTTTCAGTTTTGATGGTAGGATCTACTACCATATCTAGACGGGTTAAAAATTCTTTCTCGAAGACTGACACTTGACTGCAGATCATACTGCATGAAACCTAACACCCAAGGCTCTACTCGTTTATACAATTTGCCTGATTTATCCATCTCCCTGATCAACGATGTCTGGTCATCTGTCGGCTCTTGCAGGAGCAACTTTACAGCGCCGCCAAGAACCAGTTTGCCTGCGCCAATGCGGAGAAGTCGGAGAAGACCCAGCGGCGGCTGAACAAGATCCTGGCTCAGGAGGAGAGCAAGTTGCAGTTCGACAAGCAGAAGACCAAGGAGATGCCAGCCGCCATCACCGACAACATCCCCATCAAGCTCAATGCCGCTACCATACTGAGGGAGGGAGCCCTCTACCAGAAGCGGGAAGAGGAAGAGATGAAGAAGTGAGGCTGTGAATGAATCTATCAACGGCTGGGTCTAAGTCTTTACCAGTCTTGGAATACAAATTTGGAGATATTTGGATTACGTGCCAGAAATCTTCTTTAATCATTGCATCACGGAAAATCAACATAACTGACTAAATCTTGCAATTTCTACTGATTAAATATATATTTGTGATATTTGTGACATTGATCGTATTTTAAACCAACCTTTACAGTTTTGAACACATTTGATTGAAAGTCACTGCTAATAAAAAACCACAGTAGTTCGAATTGCTTTGTAAGCACATGGTGGAAATAGACATAGCCACTGTTCAGGAAGCCTATTGGAACCCAAGTCTGATCTTGTTTCTTATCACACCAGTTAACATGCAGCAAAATCCATCCTTTGTTCCCTTCAAAAAGTTACTAATATTAACTAGTCCCCAGTGTCTGAACAGCCCTGAACTTCTCAACAGACAATAAACCTGTATGCAATACTGAGGTCAGGTTTTGGAAGAAGAAGAAGAAAAAAAAACTAGTTGCTAATTGGTGACTGTTCCTTCCTTCTGTGCCGTCCTCAGGCTAGAGCTTCTGGAGGCAGGCGCCAAGGATGCCTCCCAGTTCCTGGAGTGGCAGCAGGAGATGCGGCAGAGGGACATGGAGGAGCAGCTGGCCGACATTGAGCGGCGGAGGCTGGAGGGGAAACTCAGCCATGAGGAGGCCATACTGGCCAGGCAGTCGCTCATCAAGGACAACAGGGAGAAGGTGCTGGAGATGAAGAAAGAGGTAGGCTTGTCAGATAGATTTTGGACAGAAAAGAATCTGCTAATTTATTGCCTTTGTTGTATCTCAAACAGTGAATTTCATTGTTCTAGTTATCTAGTGCATGCGAGAGCAAGAGATGGCGCAGTTTTAAGTAACGGCGACATCTGGTTGATGGAGACACACGAGGCTTGTACTTAGGTTTGTGCATGTTTTGCACAGACTATGCTGAGCATAGTCAATCAATCAATATCTGTGGGTTGTACAGTTTTCGCATGTGGGCCAGCAGGTAAGCAGTTGAACCAATCCCCAGCAACCTACCGTTTCTTTGCGAGTGAGGAAGTTACTGCTTCATTATAGAGCAGATATTTGCTTTTGAAAAGTTTGGTTTAAAAGGGGCTTCATTTTTCCCATGAAAGTCTTTAATTGCCATAAGCCACTCATCATGCCTACCATTCAGTCAGCTGTTGGTGTGGTCTGCAGAGGGGCTGCGTCCAAATCACTTGGCTGTGGCTGAAAGTTAGGCAGGACTCTATGGGAACTGGCTGCAGCCACTTCTCATAGAGGGGTGTGTGATTTCAGGCTACAACCCAGTAATTTGGTCTTAGCCATAGACAAAATGGTGGGAGAGCTAGCTATGAAGTTATAAAAGGTTTGCTTTTAATTATCTGTTGTTGTTTTTTCTGCTGTGATTTTTCGGCACCTACCCACAGGCCGAGCAGATGATGCAGGAGTACGTCGCCAGACAACTGGAGGAAGAGAAGGTGCTGAAACAGATGGTGGAAGACGTCATCTCGGGACACAAGAATGCCAAGGAGGCCAAGAGCAGGATACAGGAATCCAAACGCAAGATAGGTGAGACCTGATTCTAACCCTTTACATCAGACTCCAGCGTGAGGGTATTGTAGCTTCTGACTTGAAAGACTCAGGCCGTGCTTAAAGTGTTTGGCTGTAGCTGTAAAAAATAGAAACACCTGCGACGGTGGCACAAGCATGGAGCCACAAACTAGCATAGGACAAAGCTCACATTTTAGAAATGGTCCAAGGATATGCTTCAAGTACAGATTGTGAAACAAAACTGCTGTATTAGATTCATATCAATCCAAGAAATACAACAGGAGATTATTTTTAAACAAATCCCTGACTTTGAAATTAGTGGATTTGTCTCAATCTTGCAGTGGAAGAAGTCAGTGAGGAGAGCAGAGATCTTCTCCAGCAAGCCTTTGAGCAGGTAAGTTGATTAGTTGTGGTTCATCGTACAATTTTTGCGGCCTGAATTGAGGGTTACTTCAAATTGTAGCAGAATTCAATGGAAGGGGGGGCAGTTATGAGACCATGGGAGTGAAGGTCGCTGTGACCACGTCGCCCATTTCCCTTGTCCAGAGGACACTGCTTTGGAACCTGGCAAGAGTGGGGCCATGCCAACCCAAGCAGTGACACAAAAGTGGAAGCCAGTGACTCTCTTCACCTCGTTAATTGGCTGCTGTTGGCTCACGGTTAAGTACTGGGTATTTGGAAAGGTTAGGTCTTGTCCTCTGTTTCGCCGATTTTTTTAGTCTGTTCCAATTTGTATTGTGTTCGCAGGCTGAAGCAGAGATGAAGCGTAAGATGGAGTTGATCCAACAGATCCGGGCCATGGAGGCCACGCCTAAGAACCGCACCAAACTGATTGATTGGACGGCCACGGCAGGCCACTCCCTGCTGTCCGAGATGTCCATCGCCGAGGTATGAGGAACTTTATGATCAACCTTATCTGTGGGGCTGTGAAAAGTTCACACACTCTGGCACTTTGGTTGTGGGGACTATACTGAAACATGGACATGATTTAGACCGAACAGGTTCTGGGGACAACGTTTTGTCTCCAAAACTCAGTCTCAAATTTCCTGACCGAAGAAATTGTCCCCTCGCCGCGATAACAGCCTGGGCACACATTCTGGCCCTGTAGCTGTGGGGACTACATACATATTGGAATGATATAGCAAGGGAGACAAATATTATTGTGGGATTTTTTGTTTGTCCTCACAACGCAGTCCCAGACCTCCTAACAAAAGAAATCTTGTTTTGCACGGCGAGAGGGCAAGGTCAGGCCAGAATGCATTTCTCTTCATATGTACATGCACCAGGGTCTGTTTAATTCGGCATGGCCCAAGTAGGAACCTGTTGCTGTGACAGAATTGTCCCCCAGAATAACATAACAAAGAAACGTATCTTTACATTTGTTAAGCACCATTAGGAGTGTGCATTTATGAGTATTTTTAGAACTGGGTACCTGTTTTATGTCAATACCGGATATCTGGGTACCCTTAAAATATAAATAACATTTAAATGGTATTGTGCACAATCCTGAAACCTTAAAAACGGGGCTCTTTTTTTGTACGTAGAAGCAGCACATTGTTCTAAATGTTAGACAGGAATCTGCCCCTTCCTGTTATTAACAGAAGTGTTACCTTTAATTTGCAACAAAAGTCGCGCCATCGATCTACAGCGGGTTTATCAGCGGCACGATGATTTTCAGCAATTCTGCCCTTCATTATTAAAGTTCATGTTTTATACGTGGAATTTTTACAGTTACCCAGCCTGAAACTACCAGGTTTTGATATCAACGGGCAGGTACCAGGGTTCCCTGCACCGGCCTAGTCACCCTTGTTGTGATTTGCCAAAATGCATATGTTCCTCAGGTTCAGAATGTTCCACTGCCGTAAGCATCTCATAAGGTTAGTCTGTACATCCATGTACTCTGAACACGTTTTAGTTGAAGGAGCGGTTGGCACTCCTGGCCACGGAGCAGCAAGAGAAACTGGAGAGCAAACGGGATGAGATTTTGGAGAGCAAGGAGGCCAAGGACAGGCTGCTGATGGAGAAACTACAGCAGATATCCAAACACAGAGCAGCTGAGGGACAGCTCTCTGCCGTCAGGTGACATCATTGACCCCTCACCTCTCGTTTCTGAACTCTGACCCTTGACATTATCACGATCTGAATGAAAAGCACCTTCATGCATCATGATTCTGAAAGTTTCACTATATTACAGTTGTTACACAAGATCACTGCCTATAATGATTTCTGTGACTTGTTAATCTCAGAAATCTTGTTTCAGGGGAAATTTTCTTTTTGCCACATAATAATGCAGACAACCGCAATCGTTTTTGAAATACAACTTCCTTCTTTCACCTTTCTTCCTTAGACAAGAGAAGAAGAAGGCGACCAAGAACCAGCGTCCAGAGATCAAGGACCCCAAGATCAGCGACCTGCAGGAGAAGCTGGAAAGACGCAAAGAGGAGAGACTGCGAGCCAACAAAGAGATGAAGATCTCGCCCAGCAAGCAGTCCACGGCCAGGATTCAGAGTCTGAATAAGCAGAAGGTAGGGTCAGAGGAAATTCTCTGTAAAATGCCGACTTGTTAGGCTACTGTGGAGAAGCAACTGTCCAGAGAAAGGAGTCAGGCAAAGATATTTAAGCCTGATTTTCTCCCCTAGATATTAAGGGGGGTTATTGAAGGTCAGAATAGGCTGATTGAGTAAACCCCACTCACTGCAAACCAGGGGTGTGTACTGATGGGTAGTAAGGCAATTACACGTATGTACCCATTGAAGTGAAATATAGGTACTTGAGTGCCCATTAGAAAGAGCCCATCCCTCAGATTCCAAGAAAAACAGGAAAAAAATTAAATGAAAATGCATTCAAATCGGCAAACACGGGCATCACTAGAGGGGGGGTGTCACACTCCCAGTTGGTTAGTTTTGTCGGCAAAATCATGGTCTGTCGGCAAAATAAGAAAACGTCAGGTAGGTGACGGTCTAGGGAATCAGATTACAGTAAGGTCGTTTTGTGTGATGACTGTTGGCAAATTTCATGTGGTACCTCCCCATTCAAAATGGTCCAGCGACGCCCGTGTTGCCACTTTTTCCTCAAATCTCTGAAATGCTCATGACCAATCTTTGCGCAGTAAAAGTGAAATCTGTTGTAGCATTCTGTGTAGCCTGTTTTATTTCAAAATCTCCCGTAAAGAAAACTTTAAAAACTTTCTTTTTGTTGTCCCAAAGTTTTGTCGTATTCGACGGTGTCACACTGAGTGTATCAGCCAAGCACATCGTACGGCGTGTCAGAATTCTTGCATGCTTGTCAGGCACATGCCACAGCTGTGATTGGTATTTAGGGTTGTCAGGGAGGCCTTAATGGATTAGTGTGTCGATAACAAGTCATTGTTTTTAGAATCTGCATTATTGTACCCTACAAAAGAACATTCATTTGGATTTCCACACACCTCACTTACTGGGTTAAAATTAGAATGTGAATCAAAGTTCCATTCATCCCCCTGCAGATGATGACAGAGGAGAAACGATGGAAGGAGCTCGAGCAACGGAAAGAGCGACAAGCCGCTCTGCAGTCCAAGGGGATTATGACTGACGTGGCCGGCCAGAAACTGAACTCATTCAGCCGGAGCAGACAGCTTGCTGCTACCGCTGCTCTGTCATAAAAAAAATGAATCCTGCTTGTGAATTTCAATGCTCTACTGCAATCTTCTTGTGACTCCGTCCATGATATGATGAACCACTGGTAGTGGTCTTACCATCTTTAAAATCTGTCCTGAGAAATAAAGGGTCCAAATCCCTAACTGGCTTCTGAGGCATTTTCAAATCTTCCTTAATCTTCCAGCATCTACCATTGTGTGGAAACCCAATATCACATTCTTTGTACTCAATATTTCAATGGGTATCAAGCCTTGTGGAGGGTCACAGTAGCTGGGCTGCCCGTCTCCTTTCATCCTCTTTTACAAATCCTGGTGGTTATGGTAAAGGAAATGCTGTTGAAACATGAAGCGGTGCTCCTCGTTTAGAAATTAGTGCCTGTTCAATTCTGAATCATGCACTGTTGCCTAGAAATGCCAGGAATTTTGGTGTATAAAAGCCAGTCAGTGCATTTGCCCGCCTCATTGAGCACAGCCTGGTCCAGTCATGACCGTGATAAAAATGGAGCACATTTCTTTAGAGACCAAGCCGTGTCCCCTTATAACTTCATGAATGACAAAGGAGTTGTTCTGACTTTCAAGAAACTGTCCTCAGTTGGGAGAATGTCGTCCACAATGAGTTTGAAGTGCCCCCTCACTGGCACAGAAGAGAGGGGCTGTTGGAAAGTTTTTCTAACGGAGCATGTGCATTTTCACTTAAAACGAGCGAGAGCGCATATTCAAACAGAAAATTAGTCATCTATGCCCAATGTAGCCTTGGTCAAGGCATTCGTAATGCGGCGCAGCGTGCACCTGCCGCTCGAAATTTCTTAGACCGCGTGAGGTCGCTCTTCGCCTCGATTTCGAGCGGCAGGTGCATGCTGCCGTGCGCTGTGCTGTGACGAATGACGAACGCCTTGACCAAGGCTATGCTCAATGTGTCTTGTGGTAAATGTGCAGGACCATGTGCAAGGAGTGAATTTCCACCAAGGAATATCATCGTCGTGTAAAACATTCCCTCTCTTGTTTTTGCTTGTACATGTAGTTGAATTGCAAGAGTTCTCTCTTAAATTAGTTCCTGGCAGAGTTACAATTGCAGTGAATACTGAGAGTGCTTCACCATAATTGCTGCCCTGTTTCCAAAAACAGAGCCTGCTGTCGACTTGCGTTTGGGCATTCACCACTCATTAGCAACTGTTGCAGCATTTGTGGCCCCAGTTTCTAACCCTGCCTGTCCTGACACATTCTTGTCAAGTTACTTCAACAAAGGGATGCAATAATAGCAAAATGTCTTCTCAAGAACACACAAAACACTCTACCTGTAAATCTGTTCCCATGGGAGGGCCCAGTTATGCAGTTCAGCCATTAGCCAACACAAGATGTAACTGCCTTATCCTTCAATGGTGCAGTTCAACCATATTTCCTTGATTGTAGGCGAGTTGGTAAGAGGCGAGTCGGTCAGGGGGCGAGTTGGAAAGGGGCGAGTCGGTCAGGGGGTGAGTTGACCTGACACCATTTCCTTTACCCCAGTGCATTTTAAAGTAGAGGCCTGCATTGATCAGTTTGTGCATTTTACAAACGAATAATAAGAGGTCTGTACTTGTGACAGTGTTGGAAATCGCTGTGCTGGCTCTACTTCCTTGTATAAAACAGATTTTTTAATTCTTGTTCAGTTGTGTACTACATCTTTTCTTAAATTAAAAGGGTCAAAGTTACTACATGTATTTGTCAAATTGTATAAAGAGTACACTATTGTTTTTACTTGATTTGTTTTATACAAAGTATCACAGTTGAATTAAGTTCATTGTTTATTAAAGGAAAGTGTAAAGTGAAAAGAACATAAAGTCCAGGGCTCATTCGTTCGAAATGTTTTGTACCCCTACGAAGGGGTGTTTTCCAAACACAAGTTGGTCGCCTGGTAAAACCAGCCTGCCGTTTTCAAAGAGGTTCTCGCTGCCTCTAGATTTAGCACTCCAAAGCTCAAGGGCAAGTTGTTCATGAGTGACATTTGCAAAAGACCCCTATTTGCCTGATAATTCTTGGAAGTCCAAACTATGTTCCTGAATATAAAATAGTGTTCTTTTTCCTTGCGGTATGAACTAAAAAATGGGGCACGGCAGTTCAAGGTAGCTACACGTGACGAATATCCGTCATGTCCATTCAGAGCCTCCGTACTGTACTATGTCCCGCGTACATAAGAGAAACTTCTCCTTCGGATTACGCCATGGGAAATAAACGTTAAAACATTTAATTCCTTTATCTGTTTTCACGAAAACCTTTTGATGCAATTCATTTGTGCCACCTTTCGTGCTCTCGGCGTGCCCAGCTTTTGCAGGTCTCCGGTGCATGTTTGTAACAAAGCCATGTCGGCGAGATGGAACTCCGACATGACAGCTTTCCGCGAGGAGTTCTCCCGTGCGAAACGGGTGCTGGTGCTGACAGGCGCCGGCGTCAGCGCAGAGAGCGGGGTACCCACCTTCCGAGGGGCCGGTGGTTACTGGAGACGTTGGCAAGCTCAGGTGAATGTATTTCCGCAGTTGTAGTGCTTTGGGATGGGGAATAATATCCTCTCTGTTTTGTTCACCCTTGTTGTTGTTTTGTTTTAATGGCGCTTTCAGCAACTCAGGCTATTTGCGCCAATAACTACGTTTATTCATACACTTTATTAATCAGCATCGATCACATTACGGAGTTAGGACGAAGGTCCAGTTTTAGAGGCAGGAGGAAACCGGAGTACCCGGAGAAAACCTGCGAGAGCGAGTATGGACTGGAAACCAAATGCACTTAAAGCCTGGGCCAAGCCAGGACTCGAACCCGGGCCTCATTGGTGCAAAGCAAGGAAAGAACCGCTACGCTAACCCGCTCCCCCCTTTGTTCACCCTTGAAAATTGAGGTCTTTCTTATACTGTTGTCCGAGGCTATGGCGGTGAAGAAATTGTGGTGGAGGTGAAGGGGGGGGGATCTAGATTGCATGTGGTGTATATTTTCGGAATCTGGAAAATAAAAATTCGTACTATCACCCATCACCCTATGTAGGTTCTAGGCCTAAAATTTCATTTCCATCGCAAGTTTTCAAAATTAAATTTCCCATTTGTTTTGTCACGGAGGTAGTGGGGGGGGGGTTAAGGGAAAGCATTCAAGTGCTACTAAGTACTAGGCCGACTACTAAGTAGGCCTATCACGGTACTATGGAGCCAATAGGAGGCATGTAGCTAAGGAGTATATGTAGGGCTCTACTTACTGATCTGTCCCTCTCCTAGCTTGTTTAAGTTAAGGATAATGAGGGGTTCAACCCATCACTGCCAGGATTTAATTTAGAGACATTTTGACCTACATGTACACTTCAACAGAGCACACGTTGCTTTCATTGTAGTCTACACGTACATGTATGTATAGTGGATATTGTAATTTTTTTCTTCAGGATCTAGCTACTCCCGAAGCCTTTGAAGCCGATCCATCACTTGTGTGGGAGTTCTACCACTACAGAAGGGAAGTGATGGCCACCAAAGAGCCCAACAAGGCACACCTGGTGGGTTTTTGCATCACTGCTGTTGTCTTTTGTCACTTAGTGCTGAATCCTAGATCCGTTGAAGGTTGGATTGATAAAGATATTTATAGCCTGTCAAGCCCATACAACAATCTGTATCGAAAATGGCGACTAAACCTACAATTGGTCTACTTAAACAGATCATCTATTATCATTATTATTTTTAATATTTTTTTATTAAAAAAAATTGGGGGGGGGTGATAATCCCAGTGCTCTGAAATGTTTAAGTCTTATCTATTGGAAGGTAGCAGTGGTTACACTGTACTTATCTCACTGTTTCAGCTTCTTTGTATCGTTTTTAAAAATCTGTGCATGCCCATTGAAGGTAATGAGTGTTTTGTGGACGAACGGAACTGTTTTCCACTGCAAATAATAAATTTTTTCATATTTTATGAACTCTCGTGGGCTCCTTTTGTGTATTGATGCCTTAGGCTATTGCAGAATGTGAGAAGCGTTTAGCCAGCCAAGGACGCATTGTAACAGTTGTCACACAAAACATAGATGAGCTCCATCGACGGGCAGGGACGACCAACCTCATTGAGATGCATGGTAACGTATATTGAATAAGCCACAATGAACGAGTTTTAACAGTGGATTTACTGATACATGTAGCTTAGCCAAAAGGTTAAGTGACTGGTTTATGAATGGGGCCCCAACTTTCTACCTGCTCACAGTTTTACAGCGTAAGGAAAGACATCTCATGTTCATCCGGCATTGAAACTGCTATGCACAGTTTCATACAGGACTGTTTCTCAGAAAATGAAAAGTCAGTCAAAATGAGCCATTTTTACAACTGAAACACGCTCTCTTAATGTTGGCCCTCATAGAATTTGTTACAATCTGTTGGGCCATTTTGAAGGATTTTGGAGGATTCAGCCCAGAGACTATTGATGGTTGATGGTACCGTTTGGGTTCCTACCCAGTCACAGATTACGGACAACTATTGACAATGTCTTAACCATCTTGCAGGAACCTTGTTTAAGACGCGGTGTGTGAGGTGTGGCACAGTGAAAGAAGATAGGAACAGTCCCATAGTACCAGCATTAGGAGGCAGAGGGTAAGTCTCAATAAGGCTCCTGACACATTATTAGCCTCTAGCAGATACATTCACTTTAGTGTCATCAATTTCAGTTTTTTGTGGCGGAGTTTGACATCTTAACCTAGGTTAATGAGGGCAAGGTCATGAATATAGATTTAAAGTGGGCAACCATGTATGGTCACATGATTATATTTTGATTATTTTGCCTCATGTTAGCATATTACAAATCAGTAACTGAGTGCATGAAAGACATGAAGAGTTGATTTTGTTGAGTTAGTTGAGTTAGTTATGTTGTTCAAGACTATTTGTTTAATTTTTTTCTAGTGTGTTACCCTGGGATTAATTAGGGTCCTGTTTCAAAACGAATGACTGTGGAAAGTCCTGAGGCCTGTCTTGAAATCGTAGCATGGTTTTCATGCATGTTGATCATGCAGTTAAGACAGCAAGTGACTTCTCCTGACATTTGGTTTCACTCTGTGATTCAGGGCCCCAGATCCAGATGCAGAGGATGCCAGAATTCCAGAGAAGGATCTTCCAAGGTGAGCCTTATCTCCTTGTGCGTTCGCTTGCTTTGCTTGGATCCTCCAAATTGTAACATTGCAAGAAATCAAGGGCACATCCTATCCAGCCCTCTGTTCAGTAACACTTGCTGGGCTCTACATTCCTCAGTCCTTCAGTATCTTCCAAAGTCTCCGAGGGATTTCTAAGGATCTGATTGGCTTGGGGTAACAGGCACAGAGGTGGATTGGAAGCCATTTGGGGGGGGGGAGCTGAATAAAAGGGGGGGAGCTGTAACATTTAAAAATTTTTTAACCTTTTCATGACCTCGGGGTGGGGTGAAGCTACGTTTTGAGGTTTTTTCATGTTTGGGGAAGAAAGGGAAATGAAACAGACCCCTCTAAAAATGCACCTCCCCCCCATCACTTTTCTAACTTGTTTTGTTTGCTCCTTTATTGGGGTGTGTGGCTCCAGGTGGGACACCCCCTCACCCCCATTCACCAGTGAACAGGCAGTGGAATTCAGTCTTCTGTGAAAAAAAAAATTGTATGCAACATTGACGGGTGCTGCTCTAGAAAGTCCATTTACGTACGTCTAAATCGGACTACTATCTTTTTTCAATCCAACAGGTGCAAGGAGCAAGGGTGCGACTCCCTGCTACGGCCCCATGTTGTGTGGTTTGGGGAGGGGCTGGATCCGGACGTGCTGTACGCCATTGATGTCGAATGTGAAAGCTGTGACTTGTGTCTAGTGGTACGACCAAGATTCCAGAGTGCACCTTTTTTGGCAAATTTATTAAAGCCAAAATTAGCCGAGTGGGACCTTTCAAAGGAAGAACACGGTGCATGGCAGGGTGGTTGGTAACCTGTTTTGGCTGAGCTGAAATATTTTCTTCATGAGGCTGATATCTTGGTGTTCCATTTGACGAGTGGTTAGGGCTGTTCTTAAATACAACTGATCGGGACTTGTGTCTTGTCAGTCACAAGTCACAAAACCTTAGCATTAAGCAGTATGCGAGAATGCAACTGGGACTTCAGAAAAATTGAGAACATTCCTAACTGTGCAAGATTTTCTACAGTGTTTTTCAATTTGTGATGGCATACATGAGCACAATGTGAGGAATTCAGCTGAGCTGAAGAAAAATTGCCTGCAGTGTCATGTTAAGCGACCTCCAAATGGTCTGGCACGTGACCCCTCATATTCCTCCATACCCCCACTCAGATTGGCACGTCGTCCGTAGTGTACCCTGCCGCCATGTATGCCCCGATGATTGCAAACCGGGGAGTCACGGTTGCCGAATTCAACACGGAAGAGACGCCTGCCACCAGCTCACTCAAGTAAGCAAACTTTTGCTGATCTGAAATTGATGTGTTGCAGTTCATCTTCCAGACATTGAACACAAAATCAGTTGATAAAAGCGTTGAGTGGTTGAACAAATTTCCTGACATTGCAAGACAAAGGATCAACAGTGTGACATTGTTTGAATTCTACGCACTGCACTGCTTTTGTCACTGCAGTCTGCTCTGATGACATAAATGAGGTTGTCATCAAAGTTACAGCTCTTCAGAACTTGCCGCAGACCTTCATGTTCAACCTGATCCAAAGCTTTTTTGAAGTCGATAAGAGTTATGGTGGAGGTCATGCTCATGTTGGAGGTGTTGTTTGAGTCAACAGTTGAATATTCAAGATCTATTTAGTCCTACTTCTCTTCAGTCCATATCCTGCTGGTTCTTCTGTAAGGATTTCTTGTGTCTTTCCCCCGAGTCTATTCAGGGGAACCAGCAGCATGACCATAAAATGGCGTCATCCTGAGCTGGATGGTCAGTTTGTTCCAAGCCTGTGTGACACGGTATTGGCATTGTTTTCAGGTCAGTACTTTGATGCTCATTGAGGATTGTTGTCACTAATATTTGAGTTTGATATCCTTTGACAGGTACCACTTTCACGGCCCAGCGGGGCAGACCGTCACAGAGGCGCTGACGAGGCATCCGAGTGAGCCTCCATAATGACGTAGACTCTGAGAAGTTATTCCAAATTGTACTGCACCTGTGTGAATACTCAAGATTTAATGAAATGATGGCGTTCTCTTCACTTCTCAGATTGTAAGAAATCAAAGGGGCAGAAGAAAAGAAAATCTGACCATACTGCTTTGTTTGGGGGGGGGGTTGAAATCTAAGGGTTGGAACAAAAATCCTTCACTTAATATCAGTCAGGATTTTTGAAACTGCAGCAAAGTCAGGAAGTGTACATAGCGTTGATATGCTCATATTTGTTGTGGAAGGAAGAATGAAAAAAATTGCCTGTCTGCTCCATGAAACCTCTTTTTTCAGTAACGATTGCTACCGCCATTGAACAAGATCTCAATTTTTTTTTCAAATGAGCATTACAAATAAATGGCTTGTATATGTCCATGTGGAGAATCACAGGGAATAGCCCATGTGGATGAATGGCAAATTGCCACTGGCATGCCAGAGGAATGTTGGCTGTGCAAAAGGTGGAACGCTGGAGGAACAGTGCCTATTAAATTGACGGAATTGTCACTGTTTTGGATACCATTCAATAGAGGAAAGACGATGGCCTTACACTGTGTAAAGGAAGGTAGAAACTCATGTGTTTCTGTACAGGTTGATTTTGCATGACCCCTCTCAAAGATTTGCAGCACCTCTCCCATTTTTCTCCCTCTCAAGGCTTGCTGTTTATAATACAAGATGCATTTTTATTGTGAACAGTGTTCATGATATCTGATCACGGAGTTTCAAATTTGTTCCAAAAAATGTGATAAATAAACATGTTACTATAGAGCCAAATTACATTTGTCAATACATTTATTTCTAATTTCTTCTTTTACTTTTAAGCCTGTTTACAGTAAAGTTACTTGGCCAACTTGAGGATTGGAGTGGTGTTTTAAAATCACATGTAGTCAAACCTGAGCTTTTTTTTTAAACCTAAAAGTTGTACTGAAAATGGCTTTAATAAGAATACATTTCAAAACTGAATAAAAAGCTCTTTCCAAACTACAATCGTGACATTTCTTGGAAAGTGGATCATTTTGTAAAAAAAGTACTAGATTTGAGTTTCAACTCAAGGGTCATGTACAAGGTTTTGCCAACAAACTACCCGACTCTGTCAATGCTACATCCTTAGCAAGTCCTTGTTGGGCAATTTAATATCTTAAAATTGACAACTTCATGCACACACAGATGTCACCTATGCACTCTGCGTCACATGACAAGTACTTATTCAAATAACGCTGACAATTCTTGGAAGGACGGCATCTCCTATTGATTTACCTCATGCGCCAACGCATCTATTGCACTCGTGCCCCAAACCATAAACACAGTTACAGGTAAGGTTTGCATGCATGGAAATTAGGGGTTGAAAGGCTTAAATACTAACGTAAAGATGGAAATTCAGCCTGAGAAATATCCACTACTCTGTCATTTTAAATATCAGTACTTTTTCAGCCAAAGGTTCAGCCACAGTACTTGTAAAAACTGAAATCAGTCAGAAAAGTTGATGTATGTAGAGAATCATACACTATCTGCCTTGGTTTCTATGTCTGTAAATTGGCCCTGTGTAATAATTTACATTGCTTGAATTTACATGACGGTGCACTCTGAGTGACAAAAGTGAAGCACCCAGTGAAGGGTGCATGCATGTAAGGGTGTGCGACTTACGACCGAGTTTCATTGTCCTTACAATATTGCATCTGGCAGCACAGATCACTCGTGATAAAATCTCACATAAAGATTAGTTACCCTAAAATAAGCTCTGATGCCGCAGATAAGACCTACCCGTGTCTGTGCACCCCTAGTTATGTGTAAACTTAAGTTTGACGCAATAGTTGAGGTCATCACTATCAAAATACATTAATCAGCCAGTCTTGGACCCAGGAGTATTGACGTATCTGGACCAACTTTATCCATGTGCTCAACAGTGAAATTTGCTACGCAAATAAAATATTTCCTTTGCCTAAAACAGATTACTGGCCAAAAAGTCACTCGGTGTACATCACTTGTTGCTAGTTCTCAGTGGGCATTTGCAGTTTCATCAATTTGCGTCCCGTCTGACCAACGAATAACTACCCTGACGGGGCAGGGGTCAAAGACTATGCCACAACAGGGCACTGTCTGTCATCATCATCGGCAACACTACAACACTATGCACAGTGGTATTTACGTAGAAAGCCTTCAAAACACTGGTAAATAGCCAACATAATGAGAAAACAGAGCTACCGACCAGATCCCCATGATGGTGGTAACTGTCAATTGGAAAGGTGATGACCATTATGCTGCCTGAAGAAGAATTCACGGTTTATTTCACCTGAAAAAAAGCCTCTCTGTCTAGTGTGCAGTGTCTAGTTGCTAACTAAACACTTGCCCACTGGAACGGTGGCCAACCCTGGGGAAACCACGTGGTCACGCGGTAACTTGAGATCTTCTGATCAGACCCTTTTCCTCCAATCAGTGAAGAGAGCTATCTCCTGTACGGGACGGTGTTACTGCAAGGCCGGAAGGGCATGGAGGATATGGGCTGCGTCTGGGCCAGGCGTTTCTTCTCCTTAGCCTTACGCTCCTCAATCGTCCTCTCCCACTGCTGGTAAGCCTTGATGCTCCCCACCTCCTTGTTGGCCTTGGCTTGCTCCTCTTCACGCCGCTTCTCCTCCTCGGCAGTCTTCTTGTCCTTGCGCTCCTTGAGGATGCGATCGTCCTTGGTACTTTTCCTGTGTACATCACAGAGAAATGATGAGTCAGGCACTGTGCTGTGGATGTGAAATGCCCCGCATCAAGTACATCAACCATGTCGTAGTTTGAGATGTCAGTGATTCCAGCTATCAGTCACATTTGTCATCAACAGCAAGTATTTACAAACATTACCCATAATCCTGAGAAATTGGTGGGAAAAAAAAGTGTTTAGCACTGAATTAGAATAGTAAGAACCTGCAAAAATATGCACTTTGCTGGAACGTTGGCTACTCTTTCAAATTTACTAGTTGGAACCCTGCTTTGAACTGACGATGAGACATAACCTAAACCCCGAAGAGTGTTGTAAATTACACAGCACCTTGATTATGCCCGGTTGGGGATGGAGAATAACCTGGAAATTTACCAAGATTTGTAAGCGGACTGGGCACTCCTGGCCTTGAATTCCTTCTCCTCCTCGACGCTGTGCATCCTCTCACGCTCGCTGCGGGTTTTCTCCCTGTGTTTCTCCTTGAGCTGATCATCCTTGTCTGACTTCCAAGCCTCAAATGCCTGTGGGTTACAGGGGTATACACTTCTTGTCACTATGGGTGTGAGTTTTCAGCATTTGGGTATCATAGAGAAGCAAGCTAGGGAAGGAATTCAATGAGTGTGCAATTGGGGAAGTCTGAAAACTTCAACACAAAGAAGATTTTGTGCTGCACAGTGTTTTTCACTTCGTAATGTTATACCTATGGGAAGCCCCCCCAAAAAAAATTGATAAAAAGCAAAAAAAAACCCAAACCAAAAGCTAATCAGTTGATCTAATGAGCAGTTGAATGGCTGAATCAAGTATGTATCAAGGAAGGTGGAATTTGACCAGGCGACAGAAGTGAAGTATGATGGGCGAGTTTTTGTCCTTCTCCCACTGCGTTCGAACCTTTGAAAAGAGCTGAAGAGGGACCAGTCTGTGGAACTCGTTACACTTGCTGGTGTGCATTTGTTTGTATCACTCAGTAATCTTAACTGACACAGATTCTTTTGAAGTTTACCACAGGGTTTTGAAGAATTTTTGCAGGACCGAAGACAGTAAAGCTCAGCTACTCTGACTTTTCAACAGAGCTTGCTGGCCCTCAACAGTGAAAGTGCCAAGGACCTGGTACTGGTTTCCTGCACAGTGGTGGATTTTAGGGGATCCAGGAAGGCTCACAGCATACATGTCTTCAAAGTTAGAGTTAATATTTTAAGAGTCCTTGCATATCAGGGAAAATAACGGAACACTGAAATGACGAACAATGACAGCGGTGTTGTTCTGTACTTTGTAAATGACAGACAATTCTACCTGAAGCCTAGTCCCAAATGTGACCCTACCTGACAAAATGAGACAAAAGTCGCCAGAGCAACATTTTGAGAGAAAGGCCTTTATTAAAGAGAAAGAAAGGAATCTTGCACTATGCAAATCAATGGGAACCCTGAACCTGTTCAACCCCCAAGCGGCCACCTGAACAAAGAACTCAATTTACTTTTTCTTATAAGGCATTAAGACTCATTTTGTGGGAGCTGGTCACAAATGTCTAATACAATGGCACTTTAAAACAGTTTCCACAAGTACATACAAGAGGGCCTATCTCATGAATGCAGGAATGCTGAGCAGAGAAAAAAACTAGTTCAATAAACACAGGTTACCAGCTAAAGCGGCATGCAAAGTAAACTGCTTGTGAATGGTTCCCCACTGATTTTTGCTTAGTAGGTAAATATGAATGGAGTAAGTCTATGTACTGATGACGCCGCGCTTTCTTTACATGTGCACTCTCTCCTGTGAAGCCAGCGCGAGGCCGACGGTCCGTCAAACACCACAGGAAAACACAGGCATAAACAGAGTGTTGTGTCATCAGTACAGAGGTCTACTGGCACCAGAGGATGCCAGGCAGTCACTCGCCTTCTTGGCAGTAATCGTCTTCATCATCTTGTCTTCCTCCGCTTCTTTCTCCTTCCTCTTCTTCTGTGCCTCCTCCCGGGCCTTCTTCTTCAGGCCCTCTTTCTTGTTCTCCTTCCAGGCATTGAAGGAGGCAGCGGACTCTGCCCGCTTCTCTCGAGTCTCCTGCAGTAAACAGGGAATGATAGCCCTTTGAAAGTTTCATGCAACTTGAGGATCGGGTCATGAGGAGATCTCTGTGGGATTCCCTTTTAATTCCTGATTGGGTATTAACGAAGTGAATGCTTTCCTGAAAAATTGTCACTGCTTAACATTATCACAGAAGTTGTTTGAAAATTAAAAGATGAAAAGAAAAGAATCTGCAGTTTCTCAGTATTTGGAAACCTCCCAAATAGCAAATCATCAAAAGGTGTTGCCACTGAAAATCTTAGTCTCCAGCACAAACACTAGTCATGATGAAGAAAATCCTCCACCACGCTGTCATTCCTCCAAATCTCTCTGCATCTCACCTGCTCCTTCTTCTTTTTTTCTTCCTTCTCCCGTCTCCTCTTCTCCCGGGCCTGCTTCTCGGCCGCCTGCTGCTTCTGGGCCCTCCACTCCTCGTAGATGGCCTGCCGGATGCTGGCCGAGTCCTCTACATTCATGCTGCTATTCAGGCTGGAGTTCAGAGAGCCTCGGCTCCCCACCGCACTGCCTCCCTCAGTAGATGTGGGTTGTCTTGCCGTGGGCTTGGCGATGGTTATCCTAGCAAAGATTAACAGTAGTCAGAGAGGAAGCCATTATCTTCAGCAGTGAATGAGAGACAACGTACAGAGAATACGCCACCACCACACTATTTTCACTGTCCATACTCACACCAAGTCAAGTTTTTATGTTTCATATTTTCCAAACCAGAACCAATTTCAACACAGGCTACTGAACTGAGGATTTTTTGTGAAGGGGTCTTTAGACTATCACACATTTTTTACTTCTCTGGTTAACATGGCCAACAACTCCTTTTCCACATGAGGTTAAAAAGCTGCAGACATCCAATAGAATTTTTGATGGCGTAGTAAGAATGGAATAGCAATGAAGTAATAAACCGGATGTGCCTTTTCAATCCTTATGCAGCATTCTTCTGTCCTCGCTGACAGAACCTATGCTTCTAATTACAAATATTTAGATCTGGAATAAAATGAAATGTGTTACTTGGGGTAATCAATAGAATATTAGAAATAATAGTTATTAGCTTGAGGCTCACCCAGTTTTCTGCTTTCCACTGTCGTCTTCACCAGCACTCTGGTAGCCCTCCTGTCAGTAAATTCCGATAAAAGTCAACTGGGAAATTCTCTTTAAAAAATCCCCAGAAATGTCAGCAGTCACTTGGTGCTGACAATCAGTGGCATAAATCAGTGTTGGAAATGGGAGGAGGGAGATGGGGAAAGGTGGGGGGGCATTGACTTGCCCAGCCATGGAAATTTGAAAATAAAGATGTACATCTATAATGTGTATCAAGTTCATGCATAATCTTACATCAGAATGGCATACACAGGGCTGTTTAAAATTGCTTTCCCATATTAGTGATATTGCAAGCATTTCTGTCGCTGGAATATCCAGAATATTCATTGCAAGCCACTTCAATTTTTTAGTTTATCACAAAAGGGGGGGTGGGTGATTCAATAGCCAATTCCCCCCCCCCAACGATTGGGAGGGCGGGAAAATTGCTTTTCCATTTTAGTGAGATTGCAAACATTTTTGTCGCTGGGAAATCCTAAAAATTCGTTGCAATCCACTTCAATTTTTTTTAGTTTATCACAAAAAGGGAGGGGGGGAATGATTCGATAGCCCATTCCCCCCCAACAATGAAGGCGGGCATATATATACCCCCATGCCCCCTCCCCCCGGATTTACGCCTATGATAACAATACTGCTGATGAATTTTCCTCATTTGATTGGAAGAGGTTAACAAAGAGAAGTTGAAGACATGTTACATGTATGCTGTGGTATGCATCCCAAGGCCTGTGGCTGACAGGGCCTAATTTTAAGAAAATTCTTGTTGCCTAATGTAGGGTTGCTCGTAATACTGGTCCATTTCAAGTAACATATCCAGGTGGTTTGTGGGAAATGTATGATGCCAGTGCAATCTGTGACATCATCAACATAAAGCTAATCCGCAAAGCATTTTGAATGGCATTTAGTTTCAAATATTTCTACATGAAACAATTTAAAATCGCACATGTAAATCACCTTAGGCCTCCTTCCTGTGATAACAGGTGGTTTCCTCTTGGATTTGCTTTTCCTGAAGACTTCTTCATCATCAGAGTCGGTGTCATCATCCTCGCTATCCTCTAAGAAATTCTTGGCCGATTTTTTCTTCTTCTTGCTCTTGGGTCTCTGCTGACCTTCGAGGGCATCCAGCAGAGATGTCTTTCTGGCTGCATCACCGACACTCTTGTCATTGTCACTGTCGCCAGAGCCGGAATCCAGAAAATCATCCACTTTGAAGCCCTGCTTCTTAGGTTCTGGCTTAGCCATTGACGGTTTTGCCTCGGCCTTAACTGAGGCCCCTCTGGGCTTGGGTGAGGGAATGGCAGCCTTGGATCCCTTTGGAGATGGTGATCTGGACCTGCCCTTTGATTTCACCTTGATGTCAGCATTGTCGTCCGATGAGTCCAGCAGGCCTTTTTGATTTACACTCTTTCTCCCTCCGATATCCTTCAAGTCCTTTGGTGATGGCGATCTGGACTTCTTGCCCAATCTCCCTCCCGTTTCTTCATCTGATATTGAATCCAACAGCCCTTTTCGTATTGAAGATTTCCTACTGCCCTCCAGACCCTCCCTTGTGGGTGAGGGTGACTTCCTTCTCCTATTTACTCTACCCAATTGTTCATCATCATCGCTCCCATCTGAATCTAGGATTCCCTTCTTTCGTCTTGAGTTTTCTGCACGTTCAGGAGAACCATCCCTTGCTTTGAGCCTGGGCTTTGGTTCTGGAGATCCACTTCTCGATTTTGGTTTTTTGGACTTCCCAAGCAGATCATCGAGGACAGAGTCTGGTTCGACCTTTTTCTTTTCTTCCTTTCCTTTCTTGCTGCTGCTCCCATTCAGAAGATCGTCCAAAACTGAGGGGGATCTACTCCGTCCTTTAGGTTCAGGAGAAGCACTGCGCGATTTGGGCTTCTCCCCATGTCCCAGCAGGTCATCCAGCACTGATCCCCTTCTGGTTTTCGAATCAGGGGACTTGGCACCGCTGGAGCTCTTTTTGCGGCTGCCTACCGGCGAACCTTCACCACCAGCTGTGGATGTTCTTGACCTCTGCCTTGGCTCCGGGGTTCGATGCTGACTTTTAGACTCTGGTGATTTGCTGCGTGTTCTCGTCTTGGAGCCCTCCCCTAGTAAGTCATCAATGATTGAAGGCGATTTGGTCCTCTGTTGTGGCTCGGGGGATGATGATCTCTCACTGGCTTTACGGCCAGGTTTTGTTCGAGGTGGCTCATCCTCTTCCGAATCCATTCTCCTGGGGGTTGTCTTCAAGGGAGCCAGTCCCCCCTTTTTATCCGACTGCTCGGACTTCAGCCTAGGGGACTCCCTTGGTTTGGGGAGTGGCATTTCCCTGCCTGGGGAAACAATAGAGTCGTTGGTGTTCCTTCGTGAGCGAGGCTTTGGAAGGGGAGTACTTCCTTTGTCATCCTGTTGTCTGTTGGGTAAGGAGGAAAGTCTCCTCCTGGGAGCATCCTCAGCTTTGTCGATGGACTTGGTCCTGGCCCGGGGTAGAGGCGATGGAAGGCCCCTGGGTGAGGGGAGGCCCCTCGGCGAGGGAGATGGGGAAGATCTGTCAGATGGCTGACGCGGACTTGCATGTGGGGGAGCCCAAGGTTTGGAAGATCCAGCATGGGATGACAAGCCTTTTGAGGTTGAGGTAAACTGGGACAAAAAATCTATGTACAAAACCAAAAGTTACAAAAATCACAGAAAAATTGTTGCTTTGCAAGTTGCTCTTCATATTTAAACAAGAATGCAAAGAAATTACACTGATGACTATGGCTGTGTAGATAATCTATTTATGATTCTTCTTGCTCTAGCTTTGCCAGAGTCATTTTTTGTACAATCTTAAAATGAAAGAGCCGGACCTCTTTTTTTCTTACCGTCTCCAGCAGCTCCAGTGTCCAGGCTATCAGCGCTGTCACTCTCCTCCGCCGTGTCACTCAGCCCGTGGGTCAGCCCCCGTCTCTTCCTCTCCTTCAGAGTATGGCGCAGCTCCTCCTCAAAGTTCCTAGGCTTTGTTTGGGGATCAGTCCGATCACCTTAATCACAGAAATTGTGTGATTAAAACTTACACTTCATTCTTAACAATAAGGGGAGCAAGATGGAAGTAATCATCATAAACCAAGAAAAACTTTTCTCTGATGACTATACTGTGCCCGAATCACAGCAACGAAAAGCCATGAGAGTTTTTAGAGGTTGAGGAAATATCACCTGCAGTTTAGTGCCTGCTTATGGGACAGGGCTCTTTTGCCTACAATCCCAATGAGTGCTGAATCAGTAATAACACAAAGACTGTGGAAAAGTTTCAGAAACCAACATTTAGGCCTACATGTACATTACCTTTGATTTTTGTGGGCATCTTTTTCAGTTGATCCTTGCTCTGAAATCTGTATTACAATAAATCAATGATGCAGCAGATCAGTTGCTATCTCCATGAACTTTCTCAGCAATACTAGATGGAAATTTATATCCAGCACAATGCGACTCGAGCTGGACCAAGAGAGGGCGCAATTTTCTTAGCAACGGAGGCTCCTTTGGTCAGAACTGAACTTTGCTGGTTCATGAACGACTATGAAACGTATGCGTTACGGTTGAATCATTACCAACAAATACTTCCACCCAATATGGCTCTTTTCAACCGGTGAGGGGGTGCTTCTGCTTGAGGCAGATAGGCTCGTGACTTGAATATGACCATATCATGAGCCTACTGCACTGGATATTTCAAGTTTCAAAAAGTAATGCATGAAATCACTGGCTGCTACTGCTAGATTGACCAACACGGCAATAGCCTAATGTCTGTTGACATGTTGCGTGCGACTGCACTGATTGCGGGTTTATGCCATGTAACTGACTACATGTACATGTTGGAAGTTTAACCGTTTACCAACTTAACTCAGGACACCACGAAAACTGAGAAAACTCGACTGGAGGGACAACTCAACTTTTTACAAAGTCGTCCATTTAGACAAGTTGACTTTGACATGGAAACAACTTGACTGTGGGAAATGTCTACCATGTAGGCTATGTGTAGGGTTTCAACAAAGATCACAAATTGATTCTTGGGAGCATTTGTGTGTAGCATGATGTTGCGATTCAACTCGGGACAGCTGCAACGGCAAGTCAGCGTGCAAGGTGGAACGGTGCACCATCCACATTATACAGGCATCCTAGATGCACTCATCATGATCAATTCAAGTCAGCTACTCTGCCGATGTAAACATATCAGCAGCGCTTTTTTATTTACCCTACTGATATAAAGATCAAACCCGGCCAAAAAAATGTTAAGACTGGTTCCAATAAGAATTTGACTACTGAACACTTCACATTCACAAAAGTACCAAAAGATGCCCGAAAAAAAGTACAACTCACTACAAGTCCCAATATTCTGGCTCACCCACATTCACGCACAACCACCTGCCCACACAGCCAAGTCAACTTGTCTCAACAGACATTACTCCAGAAACTGTGGGGTTTGTCGTCTGCCGCATTCCCACATGAGAGTGCAGCGGAAGACGAACCCCACAGTTCTCTAGGGTATCTTTCCATATGCAGCACAGATGGTTAATATGGTCAAGTTGTCCCATCAGATGATCGGTCAAGTCAAGTAGTCGCAATGGTCAAGTTATCCTAATTAGTCAAACTGACACACGCGTCAGAGGAAGTTGTCCGAGTCCCTCTGTGATTGACTGACAACATAGCACAGACCATGAAAGAAGGAAAAGCAACGCGCCGATGTTGCAAAAAATGATGATTATTCTCACTCAAGCTCTTGCAGACTACAACTGATAAGGGTCCTTCGTGAGAAAGGCAGAAACAGCGCCATCTCTATCCATTCCTCTGTGTTCGCAGGCTACATGGGGACATGCGTAAATGAGTGAGGGTGTTGTTTATTTGGGAACTCATTTCTTGGAAATTGTAAGTTTGTCTTTTTCCGCAGGCTCTAGCTCCCCTATTAATATTTCCGATTTCAAAATGTTTAAAATTTTAAGCAAAGCCAGCATTTAATTCATTGAAATAATGCACGAATAAGAACAAATATTTATGAAAATCTGAATTTAAAGCTTTTCATTCAAAATCCACATTCATTTTTGTACGAAAAAATCAGTTTGACCTCTGCAATGCACACACGTACAAAAACATCTCCAAAATACGACAAAATACCCCTGCTTTAAATCAGTATTCCTTTGCTTTGCAGAGTCCGATTTTCGGTTGGAATCCAATCTTATATCAAAATGTTTCTTATTACATCCTCTCCAAGATCACTTTAAAAAGAAAACAGAAAAAATAGGCCTAACTTTAGTTCAAAAATTTACGTTAGGCTACAAAAACACCATAAGGCATAACACAAAACACAAGAAGTGCAACATCCCGAATGGAGCCAAATTATAAAGCAAGTTCTGCACGACGCGACGGCCAGACGTTACAGCAAAGACCCTCTTGGAACTGCAGCACAACGATTTATATCTGGAATTTCATACAATCATACAATTTAAAGTTACCTTTATTTACTGTGGTAGAAAAATCCAAACGACATGAACGAGGAGCCGCCTCGGGCATCTCGTCTCGGTCTCGCGCATGAGGTTGTTGACGAAAAAATTGTGTACGCTAGTAACAGTAAATTCTTCAGTATCTTCGACACTATTGGTCAGATTGTTTCTGGAAAACAAATGTGCTATGCCAGTAATTTTGGTTGTTTCTTTAAATTTATCTATTGAAATGTTGTAAACTGACATAAATTATATGAAAAGTTACATTAATTTTTACTTTATAGCTCACATAGAGGCAAATATGCGAAATAATCTATGCCTCTGGAATATCATAATAGCCAATGAGTATCTGCGTTGTAATTCAATTATTTCAACAAGCTCCAAAATTTAAATAACTTCTCGCATGGATCCAGTGTGTGAACGGACGTGAACGAGCTCCGCGTGCATTTTGTTGCAGGAAACCCTAGTCTAGCTTGACACTTTCCGGAAGGAGTTTTGTCAAATTCCATCGCATCAGTTATTTTGGTTAACTGCATGTACTTGCAACCAAAGTGTGTCGAACACACGGTAGCAAACACGTTTGTTTCAATGGAAGTTTTGAGGAAAAGAAGTCATTATCTTTGTGAGTGCCACAACATCGACAGTGTTCCCGGTAATGGTATTGACAGCTTTATTGCACACCACCAACACAAGGATTTCCACAATAATGTCGACATGATGATGAACCACGACGCTGCCGGCGATCACATCTTCGGACTTGTGCGTGTATTTCAGGCTTTTGAATATTAATATGGATGTTGTGAGGCACGTAGATAAGCCTACCCCTGAACTTATGGGGTTATATGTCCGACCCCACACTACAGTTCTGAGGGTAGCACACGAAGTGTGCCTCATTGAGTAGGTTGATGGTCAGCATGGTCAGTGTAAAACTTGTCATTTATTCTGCCATCAGCCAATGGCCTTTTGTTTACGATTCATGGTAATTGTGAAGGTGAAAGGGGCGAAGGGAAGTAGGCCTAAAGTTGGAAAGTTCATGCAGAATTGCACAGAGAGTTTGGGTGATGGGGCCTAGAGTGCAGATGGGCTGATCGCACCCAATGTGTGGGAAACCAGAAGGCACCTCCAGTAGAACATGGAGGCACATGTACCAGGGTGTTGTGTACTTCCACCGCCCACCATGTTGAGTACAATTTAGTGCAACTGACCAACGTACATGTAAATCGTAAGACAGAAAAAGGAGTAGGCCCCTAGGCCATTTTTAGTAGGTCTAGAGAATGCATTTGAAATTTAAGCCCAGCTTAAAATTCCTGTCCAATTTAAGTTTCATTGATGACATCAGTTGAACGAAGGTGACTGGTCCCATTCCAGCTGATATTTGTCCATCAAATGGATTATGTTGGACATTGCAAGTTACATGCTCCCTTTAAATTAACAAAAATACAATTTAAAGTAAAAATAGTACCAGGACTCTACATGGTTTCAACCTTTGCATCTTGTTGCCTTTTAAAACGCTAGGCTACATTTGGAGAATGATTTTATAACATGCATTGTGAATGAAAACATTTACATATAAGTAAATTATGGCATGCCCAAGGTGTTTTTTCAGAGCCCAGAGTTCGCGAAAAAGATTTTGATATTGCTATCTTGCTGAGCTCAGGAACTATAGTTTAAAGTACTTGGGAATCAGCTGTGTGATTTCTTAATATGTCTGTATGTTTGCAGTACACATGTTCATGTATTGTTCTGAACATCATGGCCTTGAAATGTGGTGCTTCTGTTGGTGTCCCAGGTGTCTTAATTCCACTGACGTGGATTAATATTAATTTTTTTCTTTTAACGCATTCCTCTTTTTCTAGCAACAAAAGCGCAAGTGCAACGGAGTGTCTACTTACTCATCACAAGCGGACCATGCAAAAGATCATGGAGCTCTGCCTGACAAACGTTCGCCTCCTTTGGTGGCATCCATGGGGAATGAAACTGTTGCCATGGCAACTGACACTGTTGCTGTATCTTACCGTCCACACATTCCAGGAAATTCTATACACAGTTCTTGTCACACACCGATGGACTGTGGCGGAGATGCCACAAACACTTCAATATCACGGCGTCCTCAGGTATGCATGTCTTTTTGTTGGGGAAAGAAAAAAATTTGGCTTTCCATTTCCCCACCTACCCTATTTTAACCATTTCCTGCCGGGTGCTTTTAAAAATGCAGTGCCTACATACGGGCGATTTTTTAATATCTTCAGTTTTCAAAAATCTTCAAAAATTGTTGTCTTTTTTTCCTGAACGCCTGAACCCCTCGGAGTGTTTGTGTGAGTGGCTCCTATAATTGGACAGACAACATCTATTGATGCCAGAGTAGTTCAGCCAGGCCTGCTGCCCTTGTAAAAAGAGCCCAGATTGTGTGGTGTTACATAAGTTTCTCTTGTTCCTGAAACTGGCACAGTGCGCTGCTGGCGTCTTTTCAATACGGGCCAGATTATTGTGTAGTGGTATTGTATCGCTCATCTCTGGAGTGCTGGTGCGCTTTTGTCCTTGGTGGTAATCCGCTCGCGCTGAATGCCACAAACAGAGGTATAATCTTTCAAGACAATGACAGATTACCTCCGCTATTGACAAATGAAAAAATTTTGGCAATTCCCAGCAGCTCTGTCTTTTGTTCCGAGTACGGTCTTTTGTTACACCCCGGCTATGCGTGCAAACCCAAGGTACCCAAAACGGGCTCCCCGGCAGGATATGGTCAAAAATGTAACCCTAATGTTCTTTGGGGAGAAAAGTTTGAGAAAATGTAAAATCGGAAATAAAGGAGAAAAGGTGTCTATTGGTATATGAGAGTGAATGCAGTGAAAAAGATTTAACAAATTTAAAATATGCATGCAACTTGTATCCTTTAAAGTGTTTAATTTATTTGAAACAATTTGCCAACTGACCTTTCTTGCTGTTATTATTTTGATCCAGACATTACTTAGTTTAATTAAAAAAAGTGTAGCTAAAGAAATGGCAATTCTTACCACCTACACTTTTTTAAGATGTCAAGTAAAGGGAAGCAGAACTATTTGTTTGCTTTATATTTTCTGTTTTGCCGACAAGAAGTTTCTGACACTTCATGTTATGAATCAGTACTTTAATGCAAGTAAACTGTTTTTCTTGGACTGGCTTCCAAACTTGTATTGAGCTGTGATTTTTTTAGTGCTATTTTAAATCCTCGATTTATGATTTCTTGTGTACCTGAAAAAGAGGTTAAAGAAAGGGCACCATAACATTGGAACGAACCCCACAGTGGCACACTGACTCAATGTCCCTGAGGGATACTGAACTATACCCCACAAGATGTTTGGAATTCAAAAAGGAGGAATTTTCAGGGTGTACTTACCTGTTTACTATAAGAGACATTTGGTTGAAATTTCAACCCTAGAAAGTGATTCTGATGCAGCTAGGAGTGAGACAAGGGAAAGTACTCCACCTGAATACAAGTGGAAGTGTGTGCCCATGTACATGACTGTGTTTATTGCTTAAGAATGAAGAAGGTACTGTGACCGTTAGGTGATTCAAGTTGTGCTTTAATCCATTTTGTTTTACAGAATCAAGTGAGGGGAGTGTGTCAGAGGTGTCTGTCGGGGGAGCCCGTGAGTAACTTATCACTGCCGCCTTTTCTTTCCACAAAAATCTTCGGCCTATTTCAACACTTCTAATTTTTTTTTTTCATTTGACTTAAAGTGTGCCCGTGGAATACAGGCAGCTGCTTACAATCTTCACAATACAGGTACCTGTTTTGTTACATCAACTTCTATTTTTCCCTCCTTTTCTCAGGGCCACATCACGCACATTCTGAGTTAATTGCAACCAATGACCCTCCGTGCTTCTGTGACACCAAGGAGACAGCAGGCTGTCTGAGCAGTTATCGACATGCGAAGCCTCTTCGGCATTTTTAATTGTACAGATTTCTTTCATGTGTGTGTATTTATTGGTAGGGTTTGTTTCTTTATGTGTGTGGAAATAGATTCCGTGTACGCTGTAGTTGCGTCGTATGTCAAGCATAGTGTGTTGAAATTCTAAAGTTTATTTTGCCAAGTTGCATTGAAACCAGTCCACTCTTGATTAACGTAGAACTGGATTAAGTGAAGAGAGCGTAAAACAATTTTGTGGTAATGGAAGACCACTATTTACTCAGGTCATGCTTTGATTTTAAAGGTGGGAAAGCTTGTAGAAAAGAGATGTGTGTGGATTATCCAAGTGCATGTACGTGTTTACTGTATATGAATGCAGTTACATAGCGAGTGTGATGTGATAAGATGAACTTCATTTAATGGTTTTATTCTTCTACGAGCAGCAAACTCAGAGGTCTTTAATTTACACACAAAACAGTGCTTGAAAGTATTTTAGTCATATTTTACACGCACAACATATCTGCAACATGTTTCAAACCTTACATGTAGATAATCACAAACAGATAAATTCAACTGCACCGTAAAACTCGGAAAAGGAAAGTAAAAAGTATTAAAATATTCAGTGAACAAAAATATGTGTCTTCCTTCTGTCCCTCTGAAGTCCCATATTTTTTTAATACCGAAGGATTCTTGCATGGGATTGTACGTTATGTAAACCAGCCTGAGAGTTCTTGCAAATTATGACGCACGGAGGTCGCAGGTTCAAATCCCACTCGGTTTCTTTATTCATGGTTTAAATTAATACATATGTACAAGCACGGCCTAATCAGTTTCCTTATAAGGTCTGATAAATTGACTCTGTGGTCATTATTACACCGTACTGTTATCCTTTCGGTTGCTTTTTACACTAGTGGCAACTGTTTTCTTTCAGTGCCTGTCCATAAAAGAGGAAAAATTTCGGATTGAATTAAGCGGTAACCTGAGATAAGTACACATGACGGGAAGGCCTAACGAGACAGTGTGGGACTGCAACCTGGAAATAAATGAAATTGCCCAAGGTAATTAGGCCAAGGGCGGTCCTTTCAGATTCTCTGCAACAGTCTCTCTTTTTTTCAAACACGGACTCTTCTGGATCCCACAGCAAAAGCAAGTACAAGTTATGAACGGATTTTGTGTCATGTGTATGTATTCCACTGCATATACCTGTACATATGTAATGTCACCCGTTCCGGACCCCGTCTGGGTCAGATCAGAGACGTGCCACTCTGTGTGTACGGCGCCGCCACGTGCTCTGCACCGTGTGTTCATCATATCAAGGCTGCTGGTGGGAACTCAAGGCGTTTTGTGATTGGTCAACTGTGCTGTCAGCTTGTGACGAAGTTGATACTCGGGTGGAACACTTTTGGGCAAGTTGCGCGTGTTGAGCGATGAACAGGCGGACATGATGAGCAAGTTGTGGACCGTCGCCGAAGTTGTCGTTCGTACCGCCGGGACAGCTCATTAATTTAACCGCACGCATATGTGGCATGTTTGTCAGAATGGAGCATGCAGTGGCAAACAAAAACAAGTTGGACGCAACCAAGTTAGAACATCAGAACTGAAGTCTTAAACACAAGGTAGGCGTAGGCTTAACTTTGTCGTCGCATGTTCCAGCTGTCTGAAAGGTGGTGTGCGGTGACTAACCTGAGTAAACTCTGAGTCTGACGCTTACTCTACGAATCGCCCAAAACATTTTGACATGGTCAGGCGATCTACCGGTAGTATCGGTCGCCCATACATGTTAAAATGTTTAGTAGTCCACGTTAATACTCGGACTATATGCGGTCACTTGATAAATTAGGAACATCGTGTCCCACGGCTAAAGGAAAGGAGACAGTTGAAAATTTTACATTAACGTGTAGCCCCCCCATGATTTTTTTTTAGTAAATTGGTAGTCTAGAATATTTGGAAAAGAGTTTGGTATATTCGTCAGTGTGAGTGTTGAATGCCTGTCTCTTAGCCGAGCCCGGAACAATTCACAGACAGTGGTTTTGAAACAAACATAAAACCACTGACCTAGTATTTCAAATACAGCTTGTCAAAAATTGATTCTGCTTCATTGGCTGTTTCGGCAAGAATGCCGAAACAGCTATTGTTTTTGTTAAAGTTTTTTTTTCCTTTTTCAGACTATTTCTTCAGCCAGTCGACTTTTGCACCATAATAATCCGATCGACTTCAAACTTGGCACAATGTTAAAACATCATTCAAGGACAGTCCTAGAAGAAATTTGGCATGATGACCTCTTCAATTTATTTATTATTGATTTTTGAATATTTAATTTTTTCCCATAGACTTTGTGCATAGATTGGAGGCATCATTTTCGTCACTTAGCAATCTCAGATCGTCATCAAAGTTAAACTGAGCAACTACCTTAAGACTAAGACAATACTGAAGTAATAACGGCATGATGATGTCATCACATGATTTATTTTTGAATTTTGAATATTTCATTTTTCTTTATAGGTTTTGTACAGGTTTTTCTTCTACGCGATGTTATCAATCTTAATGAGAGTAGTCCTGAACTTTGGCTGAGGATTACTATGAAAACAAAACAGAAATCACTTTTTTCTTCTTCTCCGTTTGATTACAAATATACCCAAGAGTCCAACTTTCAAATGATATTTCCTAATTTTTTTTTCCAGTATAAATGCAAATCATGTTACATGTACATGTATGTAGATGACTTTAAAGCTGCAGTTTTTTCCATAGGTTTTGTGTACGTTTTTCTAAAGTCAAAGACTGGTGCACTCATACATCTGACTGACTTTGTATTGGGAGCATATGTAGTCATCAATCCCTGGGGCTGTCAAAGTAAATTCGTCACAATGACGTCATCAGGGGTCACGTGACATGAGATTAAAGTTGAAGTCTTCTCAATAAGTTTTGTATACTTTTTCACTTCGCCCTTTTATCGATCTTATCGGTGGTTCACCTGGGGATTACTGTGAGAATTTCAGACAAATCAGAGGAAACTTTACCTTACAAAAATGATAAGTCTAAAAAATTAAAAACTCCAAAACAGCTCTGTGTTTGTCCACAAACACATCTTGTTTACATATATTTCTGTTCATTGTCAACTTTCAGGCAAGTTGAAACCGCCATCATGAGTTCTGGAAAGCATGACATCAAGAAGAAGGGGCGCCCCAAGAAACTTCGCTCCCAGGTTGCCCTGCCTGGTCCCTGGCGCAACTCCTCCTGGGTCAACAGCTTCGGAGGGAAGGGGGCTAGCCCTCTGAAATACCAGGAGGTCAGCCCTGGCTTCGTCCTGAGACAGCTCCTGGTCTTGATTGAGAAGGGCAAGTTCATCGACGCCTCGCAGCTGGTCAACAAGATCACCATGGATGCCCTGAAGGACGTCGTGAAGGACATTCCCATTGAGTCGACCATTGAGTGCATTCCACAGTCGCTCATCCTGTTAGAGAGTCTGTACTCACGGCTCTTTATCAGCGATGCCGACAACTTCCCCGTCGAGCAGTTCCAAGTAGAGGTTATGGTGTTCCACATTGTGCGTTACTTGTCTATGCTGCAGAGCTCCATGGAGTATAAGTATCCAAAGCCGGAGGATGCCAAGAAGTCCATCATGAACATTTTGAGGATTGTCCTGCACGTGAACCCTGACCTGGTGCGGACTCTCTACAAGCGGAAGAAGCTTATGGACACGGCGCTCCAGGGCATAGGGGAACATGGCCTGATTGAAATGAACGGGTCACTCGTCAGCCTCCACGATGCCTTGAAGCGGGAGATTGGGAGGAACATAACAGCCTACCGGGGTGCCGTCAACACCCTGGAGCACTTGAGCTTCTCCCGCACCAAGCCCATCTCGCTCGCCCTCAACGGCGACAAGAAATCGAGCCACGGTCACAACCACCAGGCCCTGACAAAGCTGAATGAGAGCCAAGTCAAGAGCCGCCTATTCAAGAACAAGGCCCTACTGAACGCCATCGAATCCAGCATCAACAGCCAGCTGCCGGCCCTGGTGGCCACCCTCAAAAACCGCATCGAGTATGACAAGAGTGCCCTGCTGGCCTTTGGGAAACTGAAGTCGGAAATCAAGACGTTCTCCTCCCACACCAAAGTGGTCCCCCTCCTCGCGCAATACTCCAGCAGCCTGCATTCGGTGCTTAACATGTTCAAAGAGCTACTGGACGAGCACTGCGTGTCAGACAAAAGCTCCTATTCTACCCTGGGTTACCATAGCGATGAGGAAGACATGCTCAGTGTACAGGAAGCGGCTGATGATAATGTGAGCCCAAAGCCAGTTGAACAACCAGAAACAGGTAAATTAGATGCACTCATATTATAGCATTTAACAGGCATCCAACTGAATATTCAATTGAATAGATATTTGTTTTGAATTCTCCGATCAAACAATACAAAGTGGAAAAATATAAAATAAAGTACCAGGCTATTTTAAGTAATAAAAAGGAGGTAAGTACCACCAATTATAAAATAATTAATTAGAGCTAATTAATTAAGCTTTGTTTAATATTTAGTATTTGGTTGGACAATCAAAGGGAGATTGTAAATTTGGTAACCCTGTTCCTTTAATACAAGGAAGAGCTACATTCAAACTTTTGACATCATGCTCAAGAACTGTTAGGGTTGATGATGTCAAAAAAGGGGCAGGGTTTTGAGTTTTGAGGGAAATAAAGGGAAACTGTGAATGAACACACGACACATGGTGGATTCACATTTGCATGGCCAGTTTATCAGTAAGAAAGTCAAGTTTGCTCATAATTTAAAACTTGGAATAGGGTCAGCACAATAAAAAGAGCTTTGCCTTTGTTTTTTGGTGGGACTGACTAGTTTTACAAAATTAAAATGACAAAAAAAATGGGGGGTCCCCAAGTATACAATCCCCAATCAAAATACCGTACAGTGTGGATATTTTTGAGATAAAGATGAAGTTAATTTTAAAGGCCTCATAGAATGCATAGTATTGATGCAGTTTTCTTTAGGTACAGGTAGAACATTCAGTGTAAGTTGAATGTACATGTGTAGAGTACATGTATATGATTATAAATGGGTCAACCATGAAAGGGGGTCTTTTTATCACCTCCTTTCAATCAGAGCTCACAAACAGTTTAAAAGACTAACATTGTTATTGAATTGCTCCTGTAAATGCCATGTGCAAACAAGTGTTCATGTAACACATCAAAAGCTCCAAGCCACTGTGACAGTTACATGATTAGATCTTTGGTTTAGCCATAAAGAAAACAGTGATTTTCCATCCTGCACAGAATGTGGATGGTAGCTGGGATGTGTGTTTTGTGGAAGGGCTGAATGCGAGTTTTGACTTTTTGAGAACTGTTCCCCCACAGAGAGAAACTCCTTTCTAGTGTAAATTGTACACGTTCAAGGATTTTTGTGTCAATTTGTATCAATTTCTTAAGAGAAACACACAAAAGTATTTGAAAAAAAGTTTTATCCCAGGCTCCCGGCCTGGGGCCTCATTAGAGCAATTTAATCCTGTCTAAAATATTTCAAAATATTTCTGACTTTTTCTCCATAAATCAGATTCTTAACTTAAAATGATGCAGTCTTGGGAGACATTTTACATGCATGTATTTTCTGTAGCACTGATATCGTACAAAATATTTTGAAGTGCTATACAATTAAAAAATAAATGGGATGTGATCAAATTAAGTTTACACAGAAGCACAAGAGCGGAGCACAATTACCACAAACATTTACCAAGGCAAAGAAAAATACAGTGCACAAGGACACCTGTAAATCACAAAGTCTGACTGATGTTTACTGCACGCTCTCATCTATCAGTAACACTCCTCCTGAAAGTACATGTAGAATGTGATGCAGCTGCAATCAATGGAAAGCTTTCACAGTTCACATCTCATTAAAAAAAAGATTAAGTAAGCGTTAAATTTTTCACTTTGAACACTGGAGAATGTGTATGTTGATGTATTGTGTGTGTTTGTACGTGTAGCTGAGAGCTGAAAGTTTAATACTTTTTAGCTGTTGAAATTTGAAAAGCTAGATTTCAAGACTGAGACATTATTACTGGGCAAAGAGCCTTTGAGCTAAGCTGGTATCAACATGTGATAGGTTCTCAATTCTCAGTGGAAATCTGCTTTCTCCTTAATCTGCTTCTTTTGGGAGCTTAATTCTAACTTACCATTTTAATGACAGTGGTAGTCATACCAACTCCATGCATGTGTACTAATGCATACGTTGACCCCAGGGACTTGGACAGGAAAGATAAATTGGGGTTAGATTAAATGGATCAGTGCTGCTTTCCGTACTTGTGACTTTATTTCCTCATCCTCTGTTCATGTTTGTATTATGAATGCTTTGAGGTTTAAAATTTGCTGCGCAGGGTGAGCCAAAGCTCAATTTTGTTGCAGATTTCATCCACAAAAGGGTAGCCTGGGGGAAAACAGTCTTGAAATGTAGCCGTAGTCCTAGAACTTAAAACCAGTTAATTAGCTTGTATATAGCAACCATCAGAATGTGTTTTAATGAGGGATTTTGTTGGCTTTCATTTGGTAACTTATGGACAATGATAAGGTAGGCCTGCTATGTACATGAACTTCGTTATTTGTACAGTGCTGTCAGCATTTAGGAAGCTTCGGTCATAACTTGCTCGCGATTTAACTTAAACACAATCAGTAAAAAATACTTGAATGCTGCAAAAGGATGTGGAAGATCACAAGCAGACAGATACCACACATCTAGGCCTATACCTTCACATCTATATTGTTTCTTTTAAAAAAAAGGAGTATTCGAGACAAAGGAAATGAAACTCTGCAGTAGATGAGTTAGATCAGAGCTTCCAAAGTTATACTTTAAAAACCAGTGGATGGTTAGTTGTCACAAAAACATCCAGCTCACATTTTTACCCTTGCCAATACCAACTGAAGCCTATTATTTGGGGATTAGGTTACTGTGTACATGAACGTACACATGTACGTCTTTATCCCAATCTGTTTTCTTTATAATTTTGCAAAGACCAGCTGATCAAAAGCACACCACACAATTCTCCCCGTCCTTGTGTCTATTCTTTGCCTCGCCCCTGCTGAGACCAAACTGATTGTTGGCCTTTGCTGTAAAGGGAGAAATAGAAATCTATAAAAGTGACTGAACAATGCAGCGACGACCTCCAAGGTCTTTGGTATGGAAGTATTTTCTTTTATTATCTGGCTAGATAAAATGAATGCAAATACTTGTACACTTTGTGTTCATACCCGGCCGACCTCCAATACTTTGTGAAGGTAGTTCCACCCGATGAGCAATAAAATGTCCAGTGAAGACACAAACTCCAACTATGAAGATTTTATGGCACATTCCTCTGGCTAATGTTAGTCTACAGTACCAGGCTGCTTTGATGTTGAAGTTTTTCACTTAGATGTAATACTACTGATGTCCCCCAATGCACAATTTAATGGTCCATAAAAAAAACCTGCACAGTTTTTAACCACTCACTTTATTGCATGTGGTGTATAATAAGTGTGCTCAAAGGAGAATGAAGTCTGGCATAATGTCCTCTGGAATGCACAGTACCCTTCTCTTAGCTAACTATGAAATGAGATAAATGTACATTTATTGCATTTCTTTGAGTAATAACAGGCAGTTTACTCCCCATCATCACTCGCAATAATCGTAACAAATGATGCGGAGACTATTTTCCTTAAAGGAGAGTTGGACCTGTAGGCACACAATTCATGAATGACCTGTCATCATTGGGTGGTCATATAACTGTAGTTGTCTCATGAAAGCTTTTACTGGGCTCTAAACTTTGATAGCTGCATGTGTAGGTAGTGGCCAAATCATATATGGAGATGGCTTTAAAAGAGGACCATCACTGTAGAAATTTCTTTCTTTCTTTTTTCGTCGGAAGGGCAAAACAGTCTTTACCCTGAGCCTTTGAATTAATCTGTTTTTACAATGTTTTGGAGCACCATTTAACAACATTATTTTCACAGTGGATTTAACCTGAAAACACTCACTTCGTCAATGTCTACCCTTTTGGCTTCACCTTTGATTTGCAAAATCTCCAAAATGTGCCATTCTGGTACCCATTAGCACCCATACCGTCTCCTTATTTGTCTTCAGCCAGGTTTTACTGGTTTCATTCAGTTAAGCACAGCAGAATAAACTATTGATAATACACTGAAAAAGTAAGTTAATAGGGACCCTTGATATACTGTTGTTATTCTGGAACTTTTTGTAATATGTGTGTGTTAAATTTTTCACTTTTTCCAAAATCCAAAATTCCGAATATGCAGCACGCACATTTTTGGAAGCACACTCTTTGTATTTTAGATACAAGTTTTTCACACTTCCCTACCATATTCAAAAACTGAAAGAATGAAGTCACCGTGAACAGTTTTCTTTTACTTATGATCCTCCACTTCCCCTTATGCTTAGCTCATACTTTTATATTTTTGAATTTTGGGAAAATTCTTTGAAATGTAAACACCCTGCAGATCGTACATGCAAATAAATGACAGGAAGCTTTACTTTTCCTTAATTGAAATAGTACATTTGTTTCATGGGGAGAGACCCAGGTCAGAGTTGTCATTTGATCCGATACAGACTTCATTTTGCAGTATTTTTGGCAGTGTCAATAATTCTGCATATCAGTTTGTATAGTTTGCTCTCCTATCATTACCAAACTGTTACTATTCCAGGGGCAAATATAATTAGTCTGTCGTATCTGCCCAGTGTATGGATCACAGTAATGCATGTCTTTGTTTTGCTAGACTGTGACTCCCATGCCAACTCAAGCATGCTCAATGTCACCCATGGCAGAAATTTTTCTCACAGGGAATGAACCATTCACGAACAGAGATGTCATTGTGTCCCTCCTTCACAGTTGGACGGGTCCTATTCTTTACCCATTTTTCCCTCCCAACGTCGCCCACTTTTAGGACACGTCCTCGATTGTTGCCCTCTGAAATAAATGCTGAATTTGAAAGCTGTTTGGGCTGAATCTCGAAGTCAAGCGCAGTGGTTAACCTGCCTGCTTGCTATTATCCAGGCTTGCCAATCACTTTGATTGTGTTCAATGAACGTGGGAAATATCTAACCTTCAAATACCCATGAAAGAGGGGTTTTTGGTTAATACATGTGCTGGCATTTTCTACCATAAACATGTAGGATTGAAATAAATCCAGGAAATGTGATTCATGTATCTGGAAAAATAAAGTGTTACAAACAATCAGAATGGAACTGAGGCATACTCAGGAATGGAAGTGGTACAAACTGAAAGTGTCCGCAGGTTTATTCAAGTCGTTCCTTAAACTTCTGAAGTGAAAATGATAACCAAATACTTGTGTTGTTACCTAGTCATTTTTTTACATCAAGTCACAAGTTACTTTTCCACAAGTCAAATCAAGTCACAAATCAATTGTTTCCCTAGTCAAGTCACAAGTCAATTTTTCAAGAATACGTGGCTCCATAATTGACTCTGTATTTGTACACTTTTGCTGAAATACATGAATGTTATTGCCCGTGTCACAACAGATATTTAGCAGAACTGGTATAGCATGTGCCTCATGTTTCTGTCATGATCTGATGTTTCGTGTAATGAAAAATCATCAAGGTAATAGAAATGGACAAGTTTTTCTTTGCACATATCAAAATCGCAGACATTCTTGCATTTATATCAACAAAAAATAGCAATGTCAACAAGTCAAGGCTAATGTCCCAAGTCAAATCCGATAAAGAGACCTCTTTGTGCCCAGTCAGGTCAAGTCTCAAATCAGAAAACAACATTGCATTTTGAGTCTTACTCAATTCCAAGTTCTGCAATTCAAGTTGACAACCACATGTAAGCTGACCGGGTATTTTGTACATACATTTTGTACTTGTACCCTTACATTTATATCAAGCGCTGTCGGTTAAAAAAGGAGCATGATCTTGCTGTATGTTTTCAGTGGTTTTCTGTATTAGTAAGATTCAACTCCAATAAGCACGAAGCATCATATACCAGGGTTGTAATTGAACTCTTCTCTGGCATTTTCTGTTGAAGGCAGTCCCCCTTCTTTTCTTTTTTAAACTTGACCCTTTTGCAATTACCAGTTGGAAAGTGGGCTTTCACTGCAAGTGTTTGTCTAGTTGTTATATGTTTAAAAAAACAGCCAAAGATCGGGCTGTAAATGTTACAATTGCACAGCAAGGTAGTGCACACAATTACTTTGGAGCACTGTTGGCGTAGTGTGTAAGCGTCCAAATGTCTGACGTTGTGTTGTGTCATTTCAAATCAGAACAATACTGGGGTAAGCTTTCTGTCACTACTTATAATAAAATACACCCAGTCCCAGATTATTGAACAGGTCAGGCCCAGAGCTTATGAAAAGTTCAGGGGCCTACAAAAAAGTTAGGGGCCTACCACAGGTGGTTTGCTAGAAACTGGCGGAAGTCTGCTTGTAACAATTATTTCACATATATGTTTCGTGCATGCAGGAATTGTTTGAAAAGTTTTGTCCTTCTGAAGCATTTTGGTACATACATGCTGACTGACTTTCAAAGCTGCAGTATCAGTTAGGTCTGGCTGGGGAAAACCTCAACATAACAATTTTTGGATGAGGGTGATGTTTAATCTATGGTTGTTTGAAAAGTCACTTTCCTTTCAGCAAGGTTTCGAAAACGTTTCTTGTAAAATCCTTCCAATAAACAAGTTGATTGGGGGACCTGCCACTCTTGGATTATGTATTGAGCATCAGGGTACAGGCCTAGCAAAAGATGTTCACCTGATCTTACAATGTACATCAGTTTTGATTGATGAGACGGAGAGCTCAAGCTCAACTTATGCTCAATTACCGTTAAATTCCACAGTTGCTTGATCACACATGTACTAGATCACTATATGGCTGAAAAAAAAAACTCACATTTCAAACTATTCAATACCAACTTCAGTTCACAGACAGCCTTAATATCAAGTTCCTGATCTTCTTTGTTTGTACTCTGTTCAGTATTTCTCAATGTGCTTTGTATTTCTTTGCAGAAGAAAATACCCCCAAGGAAACGCCCCCGGCCGATCCGATCGAGCAGATCCTGAATCCACTGCTGGGCGAGCAGACTAGCCTGGACAAGCTCAGCCTTCCGGGGGAGGAGGCTCCAGAGAAGCGCTCGCGCTGGTGGAATCACCACAAGCGCAGTCGCTCTGTGGACGTCGGTGGCAACCGCGGGGGCCAGCGCCGCAGGCTGTCAGCTGGCAGTGAGTCTGGGGTGCTGCGTTCACGCAGCAGGTCCGCGGACCGCATTGCCATCTCCAAGCCGCGCCGGGAGAGTGTGGAAGAGAGCCAGGAGTTCCAGACGATGATGACCAGGATCCGGGACATGTCTGCCTCATCACCAGGTACAGTGGGAATGAGGAACAGGACATGTAAAGTAAACCATTTGCTAACGTCAAATGCGTGGAATTGATTTCATGTATAAACTCTTTGCCTGCTTGCAATTTAGAGCCACAAGTCTTGCCAAATTGGTGGCAAGTTCACTTGTGCTTGTTCCATAGCACTGGTGGTGGAAATTGGGGGGGGGGACAGTGGCTCCCCCCCGCCCACTTTTTTGACTGGGAAAGCATGGTTCTCCCCACATTTTGTACGTCCTATAATAGAGTGGGACCTAATAGACTGGCGTATTAATGGCAGATGTCTGATGGTCCCACAACTCCCGCCGCTTACAAAATCTTTCTGTCATCAGTGTTCCATAGTTGAGGATACCACGTACAGTGTACTTGATGAATAATACTTACTATGTGGACCCAAATTATTGTGGGAACAGGAAAAAGGGCTCAATTATGATGATGTTGGGGTAATCTCCAAAATATAGTCCTTGCAAAAAGAGGCGTGTTTTTACTTTACCATAAGCAGCAGACAAAGCTTCCTGACCGGCAGTGATGAATGCATTCATTAGCTCAGTAGTGTCATTCTGTGCGTAAGGACAATGTGCTGTCTTCAGAAACGTTTGTGCCAGATCGGGTCTTTATTTTGTTAATTTCAAAATGACTTAAATTTATGAAATGATAAAACTAACAAGGTCTCTTAGGTGGTGCTTTTTGAGTAGGAGCATGCATGGAAGTGTGACGGATTGGTTCCTTTTTTTTAGCAATCGGCCGTCGTCAGTTGGAACGCCGTGGTATCAGCCAACCACGGAGTAGAGATTCCTCCATCTCGCCGGCTGCTCTCCGAAAACATTTCTTTGGGGGTGGATCGCAAAGCCCTTCCATGAGTTCTCAGAGTAAGACATCTGAATGCCTTTGACCTGGAATTTACATGTCTATGTTGATAATGTACCACAGAAAGTAGAAATTAACCTAATAGTCTGATTCAGTAAGCCCCGCCCACTGCATACGTGAGCACTTAGAATGTGTTCTTCTCAATGGCACACTACATGTTCTGCGCGTGCATGCATGTTGGGCTTTTATGCACGCATGTCGGACACAAATCACGCCTGGCCACGATTGGTCAGAAGACAATGGAGCGGGGCCTAATGGATTGGTCTGTCTTTATACAGGATGATTGATGATCTGTTGGCAGTCAATGTGAGCCATTTTGTGCTTCGTTGACTCAATATTTCTTTGTGCACTCGGCTAGTGGCTTCCATTTCACCTTAGTCTTGCCTAGGGAAATACACTGTATGGATTCTTTTGCACAAGTACATCCTGTTTTCATGGTTCATCCATACCCAGGTGCATGCCTATGTGAAGAAGCTCTGACTTTATGCACATTCAGACGAAAAATTGGAAGTGTGCCAAAGACCCACACTTGAATTGTCTCAGGTTTAGAGATATTTAAGGAATGTGTCCCAATGAAAACCTGAATTGCTGAGCTTGCCAAAAAGGTTTTGATCTTGTTTTATGGCAATTGCTGTGAGGTTCTCTTTAATGTGTTGTGCTTTTCCACTCAAGCTGATTTGAAAGACGATCTTGATCCTCTATACGCCACCATCAAGCCAAAAAGTCAGAGGACCAAGAGCTCCGACAAGGAGGCCTCGAAAGATGACAAGGACCTGTCCCAGAGACTGGAAGATGCGCTGAAGGAGCGAGATCACCTGGCCGAGCGAGAGAAGAAGCTGGCAAAGGAGAACGATCGGCTCAAGGACCTGCTGCGCCTGGTCACTATGGAGATGGAGAAGATGAAGGAGGGGCGGAGTGAGTCAGCCAATGATGAGTGAGTCGGTTGAGTAATTTTTCAGGGTGAGGTAGAGCGAGTGGCCAGCGTTTCAGCTGAGGCCATTATAAGTCCTCTCACAAGTCTGGTTACGAGTCTTTTCATAGGACCAGTCACTGAGTATTAGGGTAGACAGTGACAAAGGAACGCTTTTGTCACTGTCCATTTGAATTCCTTGTGACTTTTGGGACTGGATGGCTCATGATGGACTTGCGATGGGCTTGTAGGAAGTTTGTGATGGCTTGATTTAGAACAACGTGAGGTGCATTTTCATTTTTTGGGTCGGTGCATGTAGTTCAGATTCTGACGCCCAGGAATCGTGACTAAAATGCTGTTTCCTTCAGAAGAGGGAAGTATGGTATCAGGCAAAGCCAAACTCAGTTCGCTGAGTTGATAGTGAGACTCAAATGTCACCCTATGGTGGCCGAGGCCCTGTCTTTGTCACTGTGCTTGTGCACCGGTCCTTCAGAAGCAGCTCTGTGCCAGCAGCCACGGAGTGGTGCTTGCAAAGTGAGCATGTTTGCAAGTTTAAGAAATGTGTGTAGAGAAGTGCATCCGGGCAAATGCACATATTTGCAGTGCCCGGAGCAGTCTGCTGTGATATCAGTGAAGTAGAGACTAGCAGTATCTTTTCAATGACATTTGATTTTTCTGCCTCATAATGTAAAGCATGTGTTTTTGTCATTTCGGCAGAGTTTTCCTGCTTTCACCCGATTCTGTTGAAAATGGGCCAAGAGTAGCAGCTGAGCTGGCATTAGTGGCAAATCCAGTGGAGGGATTCGTTGTGTCTTCCGGTGCTGGTAGTAGTGTCTCAGATGGGGTCTCCCCGGTCTTGTCCGAAGCGATTCCTGTCCCAGAGCAGTTTGCAACTCCAGACCCGGTTGCATCAGCTGAATCTCCCGATTCACCTTCAGAGCAAGTGTATATCCTGTCAACAGATCAGCCAAACCGGTCGCCACCCCAGTCAAGAAAGACGGCCTCCTTTGTTGAGCAGCAGAAGGCTGTCCTGCGAGAGCAAGCTGAGCGTCTGAGTCAGTCTTTCTCCAAAATTCACCACCAACCACCAGAGGAGCTGCCTGAGTCTATTGTCAAGCAGCGGAAGGCGTCCTTTGAGCGACAGGTACAGGCTTCTCAGCAGGAACCCTCCAAGTCCCCACCTCAAGTCAAACGCCTTGCTAATCTTGATGAGAAGCCTGATGTGCCAAGTTTAGCCGCACCACAAGAGCAAGTCTCTTCTGATAAACAGGAGGAAGGACGTGGAGATCTAGAAACAGTCAAGCCATCACAGAATGAGACAATTCAGGTAGGGTCTTCCTCTGATGATGAACAATCACCTGCACCTTCTGCCGGAACATTGCAGCCTGATAATGAGCCACGAGAGCCTGTTGTAAAGCAGGAATCACTAACTGAGCCCACATCCTCCATGGACTACCAGGAACCTGCAGAATCTCCGGCCCCAATTGATGAGCCTCAACCCACTGCCCACAAGAATGCTAAGTCAGCCGTGTTGTTCAACCAGCCCCACCTGGCCCCAATTCCCGAGACCTCCTCCCCGGTTCTCCACCTCAAGTCCGCCAGCCTGGTCAAGCAGGCCAGGTCACCGGACGGCTCCAACAACCGTCCCTCCAAAAAAGTGGAACAGAGAAAGAGCAAGACTACCCACACCAACCGCCACCTGCCCAAGAATATCATCCGCGGTGTGATGGACGATTTGCTATACGACTACGACAAGTTGTACTCTGAGCAGCGGGCCGTTGCCTGGACAGGTCTCACCATCCCTCCCGAGGACAAAGATGCCTTGCTCTTCTCAGTCATTGTGGTATGCTCTTCAAACTAACATCATTTGAATTTTACATTCCTTTCCAGTCACAGCCCTCTGTCCCAGCACTGGAAAGTTTCCCCAAGAGTGTTAAAAGAAGACATTTTGAGTAAAGGGTGTTTAAAAACACTGACTACTTAAAGTGAAACATGACACATGGTGTTTTGTCAAGTAGAAGAAAAAAATTGCTGATAAAAAATATTAATTATAAAACAAACGTCAAATGAATATCAAAGTCCTTATGAAACCAAATTAATTTTACTGTGCGGGGGACCGATTTCGTCTACTGCTTTACCATTTGGTCTTTTAGTCAAGGATAAGACTAAGACAAAACTGCAATAGCAGTAGCCGCTATAAAGTGCACTAAAAAGTAATCTTCATATTGTTTCTTGCTTTTATTAATGACAAACAACTGAAAGATTAATGGAAGGGATTGCCCAATGATATGGGAGGTCCACTGTTGACTTGTTCCTCTTTTCATCTGACTGGGTTTCCTATGTGGATATTCTGGCAACCAGAGAATGAATGCAAGTGACTGGTCAAATGCTTGCACTAAACTGTGCGTCAGACTCGCCAAAACTTTTCTTTGCCCTCCCCACCTTCTGTCCTCTTCCAGTTTGCCTTCCAGAGTGCCCAGACCACCATCCACGAGCTCCACATGGCCAGGGCCCGGATGCTGCTGATCCCTACCACGGACGATGAGGAGAGCGTCAGCAGCTACACCATGGACATCCGGCCGGACAACAGGTCGCAGGTGGAGCTGCTGGAGCACCTGCGCAAGATGGGCGACTCTTTCGACCTCAATCCCATGATAACGGTGAGACTGCTATGGTCTGCTCCAAGGAGAGGCCGTAACCAGGGTGGCCCACAGTCACAGAATGAGTTTGAATTTATCTATTCAAATTCTCAAACTTTTAACCTCTGATCTGAGAGATCTCACTGGCATTCAATAGCAGCACCTTTGGAACTTCCAAGTTACTTTTCTTTAAGAAGGGGTGAAATTTGAACCGTCAAATATTCTGCCAACCTCCGTGAAAAGTACTGCTTCTAACCTGATGTCTTGCCACAAGAAGTTTGCTTGGTTTTTAGAAAAACCATAATTCTATCTAAAAAAAATAATAAATGCTTCATTTTTTGTAATCTTTTTTATGGCACACAGGACATCCTGGAGCGGCTGTATGAGACATCAGAGCATGCCCCCCTCCTGCAGAGCTCCGCCCCACTCACAAAGTTTGTGACCAGCTGCGTCAGCCTGGCCTGGCAGCTGTCTATCCAGAGCGCCCCCTATGTCATCGACTTTGAGCTGCGATCCTTTGACGCGTCCCTGCACCAGCGGGCACAGGGTTGCAACCGGAAGAGCGCCCGGGTCAAGGAGCACATCTGGCCCTCGCTCCTGGAGTCCTCCAAGGGCATGTGCGTTTACAAAGGGGTGGTTATCACGTGATGGCAGACCGCAACTGGAGCAGCAAGGCCTGGTTTCCATATCAACGGAAAGTTTGGCAGATAGAGCATTGCTGAGCAGTTTCCGACGATACGCAACCATTTGGAAATATTTTATCCCTACTGATGTAAACAGGGACAGCGACAGTTGGCAAAGTTGAACTTGGTTCAACTCTGCTGTCTGCGTTCAATCACCAGAGTAGGCCTGTACAAACACCCACGCTGGTATGACGGTCATAGTGCCACTCATTTTGCCAATTTTGTCTTTATTCCTAACACATGCAGGACCCAGTTCTGAACAAAATAGCTGACTTTTTGGGGGGTGGAATGACGTCACAAAGCATGTGTTCTGCAACTGTGTTTTTTTGGTCTTGCGTGCGGTCGGCAAATGTGACAACCATATGGAAACCAGGCTTAACTTGGGTTGAAGGATTTAAAAAGTGGAAGCTTGTACGGATGCAAATGTTGATTGCATACAAATCTGTTGTCCAAATAGCTAGGTCTCGGTCTTGTTTCCACTGGAAATACGTGAGGCCATGCTGACCAGAGCTCTAGATGCCCATTTCCGACAGTTTTTGTCCCATCAATTTATACAAGAATTAACTTTACTAGTCATGGAATCCTCCGAGCTTGGTCTAAGCTCTAAGTAGAGACAAGTTGATAGACTACTCTAAACATTTAGTTTATGGTCCCAGGGTATAATTATGGTGTCTAGCCTGACCCAGACCTGCAGAGAGAGTAGTGGCAAGTTAACGTCAGACTTCGGAACCAAAATGGCTGCTCATTTAGTGTGCAGTACAGCATGCAGCTATTGTGAGCTAATTGTGCATTTTCACTAACGCATAATCCACGATATTGGTTCCAACAATTGAGTCATGCATGTCGCAACTCTCTTTACATGCAGTACAGCTCTTGGCCTGACCTTTTCCCATGCTGGAAACCGTTCCTTTACATTCTGGTATAATGGCCATCACTCTGCGAAGCAGAATCATTCTATTCCCGACTTCATGTACATCTAGTTCAGCTGATTTACAGTAAACAACTGCCACTTGTGAGGAACTAGCTCAGGTGCACACTTTGCAGGTGTCTCTTTTATATTCAGTTGCCTCTTGGATTTATGCAAATCTTAACAAAATTGGGAAAAAATTACCATGACCAGAACATATCTTGGAGGTGTGCTTCCAATTCTGTGGAAGCACGCCTCCACAGTTAGATGCACGAACGTGTAGAGTAATATCATATCTTTATTTGCTAAAACTCTCAACAGCTAGGGTGGCCTATTTTTGAAGTATAGGGGGCGGTATTATTCTGACCAAACAGAAATTTCCAAGAAGCAAAAACTTTAACTAGATTTTTCTCAGTTTCATATCTGTGTGGCATATCAGGTTCAAGCATGGGGCCACAGAATTGGTTTAGTGCTTCTGTCGTACACAGGTTCTAATAATATTGCTCTCCATCAGTAGTTTTTTTCAGCAACATCTATTTCTGTGATTGTATATCCATTGTTGTAATCTCACTGCAAAATGCATATCATGGCAATGAAGGTTTACATTTTGTATACAAGGAAAATTTGGTAATTATAAATTGATTATTATATAGCGGTTTTGATACTTGGTACAAATTCCAGCTTTGTTTGTTGCATATGGGTAAATATTAGCAAAATCAGTCGGTTCAGTTTGGTAAAAAAAATGCAGATAAGAACAGATTTCATGGAAGAATACTCAGAAAGACTGGCTTTGCAGTGGCAAGAGACTTGACATAATTGTAAAGGCAAGTTATGAAACTTTCCTGCAATTCGACTCTCAAGACCTTTTTTTAGCAACTGCAACTGTGCCCTCATTTCTACTTGTTTAACCACAGATATTGAGTTAGCATGACAGTAACTGTCTTCGAAAACAGTTTCTGAAAAAAAATGACCCAGAATATTTCTGATTCTTGACAGGTTCAAGGGTGCACTAGCTGCATGTTGTGCACCTTCGCTGAAAGTCAAGCGTTGACAGATTTAAATCTAGCCTTGAAGATAGATACATATCTGTTTACTTGGGGCTTTGAAAAATGCATGGGTAAGGTGTTTTGGGAGTGCTTTAAATTGTAGTTTTAGTATACATGTACTTTGGCAATTTCAAATTATAATTTTCAATATTTCTGTGGCAATTGCATTTTCCCAGAATTTTTTTGCCAGGCAAGGCCTGAATATGAGCCGCACAACTTTCTGTTATTTTTTTGAGAAATATTCAGGCTGTTTTATTTTTTCTTATGCTAAATTAACATTCAAGAGTTATCAAAATTTTTAATTTCTTGGCAATTCTGTTAATTTTTTTTTTTACGTTTTTGTTCTCCAGATGTCCTTGGAATATTTCATTTTCTGGCAATTGAAGTATTTCATTTCTCTTTACAGACAAGACTGTCATCTTGTAAATATGTTTCCCCCATATTTCTTTGGATGTGAGCTTTCCTGTTTTCTCTTAAAACTAAAGACAATAAGACTATAGTCTTTGAAATATATTTTTCCTCGCCTCCTTGTCTAAATACATTATAGTGCTTGCTGAAAAATTAAGCGCCATTTGCTGTTGTTTTTCCATATTACCCAACAAATTCCACATTTACCAGAAATTTCATTTCCATATTTCCAGTGAAGCACAATTTTAGTGTTACACCCTTGGCAGTTTAGTTTTCCCGCAATCTTTAACTTAAGTCCAAGGCTATAGTCTTGTCAGTTTTTAAGCTCTTTGAAATTTCAGGAGTTTACTTCCAAACGTAAGGCTGTTCAGTCTTTTCAATTCTATAATTCTATATTTTCATTGCGATTGCTGATTTTTCAGTTTCCTTGGAGACACAAGGCTGCATTCTTGTTAAAGTCAAATATTTAAACAGTTCTGTAGTGAAACTAAGTTCACCAAATTTTATTTCAACAAGACTATTATCTTCAGACTTCCAAGGTGTGAACATTTCTACAGCAATGTTTTGGTTTGTTTGATGTTTCTGAAAGAGACCTGTTTCATCACCAATGATGCAAAAGACAATGAAAGAAAAAGTAATGCAATCAAGATTAGTCTGCCAGCTGTTGTTTACCCTTTTATTTAAAAAAAAAACCAATTCAAATATGCCTTACAACAGTACATTTACGGCTTGTGCACAAAGGATCTCTGAAGTGATAAGGAACAGCAAACCTAAGAGCTTCAGACAGCCTCACACCAAGACCACAAACCAAAAAATACAATACAGAGCTAGTAATCGATATGCGTATTTTAACCATTCCACCCAGCATGTGGTCACCCCATTTATGAAGACTGGGCATGTTTGTACCACAAATGATAAATGATGAATGTATGATTGTTGACTCGTGAATTATCATTTGTAAATACTTTCATTTTACCCTTAAAAACTCCAACTGTCTCAAATTTCATTGGAATTACATGTACATGTGCTTGCAGCAAACCTGACAAAAAATACAGTCTCCTTGTAAAAAATCTGTGAGAATTCCGTGCTTTTCAGATGCCATTACACCTGTATCTGTGGGGAATTGTTTTTAGAAAAATATTTGACTGGTTCCTTGGTTTACATTTCTATGAGGTCTTGAGTTTTAATCAAATGTAAATATCAAAAAGTGATCAACTCTCATCACTGTGCTCAGAACTTTGTAATTCATCGAACCATGATGAAACATTAATTGTGAATATATTGGTAAAGTTGCAAATGAAAACAGTTGCAAATGAAGAGAACTTTCCTTCATGAATGGGGACACACCATTCAGCTCTTTTCACACATACACGTTTGTACTGCATGGTGTTTTTAAACACTTAGAGAAAAAACATTCTTCCGTTTGTGGTCAAGCACACCAAATTTGGGAGACACTTTGCAAGTTGAGATGTGTACATGATAAGAAAAGAAATTGTTACCTCCATTGACCAGCGATGGCCATCTATGACAACTAAACCATCCTTAAAAACATCAACGTGGTGGTGCTTTGTGCTATTTAAATTGCTGGATGATAACACAAATCAGCTTCAGTGACTGACACCTAATTACCGTCTCATCTGGTTACATTTTGCCCAACCAGAATGGCAAACAGCACCAGCTTAACAGTGGCAACAGAAGCTTTGCATGGTAGCTGTCTTGCAGGGCACTTCTTTTGTTCCACAGGGAAACCTCCTTTGTGCATACCCTGTGGAACAGAAGCACTAGCCTGCAAGATGGCAGCCAAGCAAACCCTCTATTGGGTCTCAATGTGAGCCAACTTTAGCCCTCAAAAAGAGTCTCACACACCAGAAATACAAGGTACAAAATTCTAAAGAGTTGTAATGAGAATCTACACAGCCTAGGATGCATCTGCCAGTGGAGTCACTACACCAAAAGAAAACTATGCATATTGCAGTGAAAATCTCAATGAATGTCTCAATTTCTGTTGAAATATACGAGTACCTCAAGTTGTTGCTTTCAAATGACAAATTCTGCAGAGAATTCATTATTTCTTCATTTTTCAAGTCCATATCACACAAATATTTGATTCAAACCCAGCAAAAGATGAGCATAATACTTCTAAATCCTCCAAATGGATTTGAAAAATATCCTCCAAATTCATAATTCCATCAATTCACACAAAATACAATCCCTTTCATAACAATAAAATCAAACAGGTACTGAAAAGTTTCAAAAACTGTTAACTGCTTCCAAACTTAAGTATTTGATCCAAGGTCCACAAAGCCAAATGAAAGTTTCATAAAAACTATAAATATTGTTTATTATAGCTATACAAGAATTATATAATCTCACACATAGATCAGACATCTCAAAAGTTATTTCAGAGGCATAAAAACCTGGACACATTTCTTTTGTGTAAGTTGGTAAAGGACAACATGCAATAAACCAAAACGCCAGTGATGTGTTGAATTAAGTGGCCACCTAAAATATTAAACAGGAACGCCGAGTTTGACATGCGCCCTCTACAGTTGATTGCAAGGTAGTTTCCACTGCAAAGCAAGTCAAACTAAAAACACAGGACTTATGTATTTTGCTAGCAACACATGAATGTAGACAATCTTTATTTTGTCCATCACCATGGAAAATGCTCGGATTTCCACAAACCAGGGCTTCTTTGCACTAAACACGGACTTCTATGCCTTGACAATTCATCAGCAGATTAGAAAACGCACACATTTAGTTTTAGATGTGAACAGGCAAAATAAGGCAGTGCAAGCCATTTGACATTTCACAGGCAAAAGTAAACTTGATTGGGAGATCCGCTAATCCAGCAAGTTTGGCAGTTTCCCGTAGCTCTTCTAAATAAACTGTTCTTGGATCACTTCAAGCCCGGCCCAGCTCAGTTTCTATTTGCTAATTCTGTCAATCCCCCCATTGGGAGGAGTAGAGGCCGAGAATGAGGCAAACATGGCCTTTGATTGAGGAAAAATGCCATGCATGGTGCAACACATGTCTACAGAGTGCTGAGACAGAAATCATGTACGGTATAATGAGAAGGAGTGTGGCATGTTTTCCCCTTGTTTTGGCTGACCAGGCTGTGTCTTGGATCAAATTTTGACCGTTGTGAAGTAAACAAGTCTGGGCAAGGTCTGATGAATGTTGATGTTGGTGCACAGCCCAGTGATACCCTATCCATCAAAGTGTAACCAATTGCAAGACACCATTCACCAAATGCACTTCCAACTAATTGGTTAACAATGCATTTTCGTGAAGCTATCAAAGCACATGTATGTTGGGATCCATACTGCCCACATCAAGTTGTGGAACCAGTCTCTTTCGGGCAAGGAATAAAAAGCTCGTGGTCACTAGTTATCACATTTATTTAATTTGGCAACAAGCCACTCCAGCATGTCACATATTATAATTTACGCATGTGAACGAAGAAATGCATTGATAAGTTCCTTGAACTTCCTAAAAAATGCATTAACACCGAGTTCATTATTTCCCGTTTCTAAGCTAGAGCAATTCAGTGGCAGTAAATTCTGGTCGACCTCACAGCTTGTAACAAGCGTAACTTTCAAAAAAGCAACCTCTTGCCTTTCTGTACAGTCCCAAAGTATATCTTTCAACTGAAGCATTCTGACATCCAGAAAATAGTCACTACATAATACATATCTCTATGCTTTCTCTGTACAATAGAAATATTACATTAGAGCCTAAATTTACAATAGAATTCGAACAAAATATCTTTTGTTCTGGCCCACACAGTTGGCACAAAGTTTCTACAAACACTGAAGACACCGGTTCATACAATACGATAGACAAATTAGTTTTCTTTCTCTGGTCAATTACTCTACAACTAAAGCAAAATAATGGCTCATTGTGACGACAGCCGACAACCGTGTTGCCCTGCAGCTGGTCTCTGTGCAGACCCTCTGTGAAGCACTATACAAGTAAATGGATACCTCTTCAGACCTTAATGATGGTATGCAGTGGAAACAACTAACGTATAAATTTTTTCTCGCTCGACTCAGTTCACTGAAGAGACACCTGTCTCCAAGAAGGGCACAATGGACCAGTCTCGATAATCTGCACAGCGTCCTTGCTTAGTACGGGAGAAAAGCACTTTAAAATGAAGTACCTTTCACTCATGAAAATTCAAGATACCGTACATGTACCACACACATACATCGTTAAAAAAAAACAAAAAATTCCATGTAGACTAACACGTCATGAAAAATTCAATTTCAACTTATTCAACTTGCTACCCCCAGAGCATCTTCAGGAATTTTCTTTGAGATCCAAAAATCACTGCATGAGATGCCGAAAAGCTCTCATTTTAATAAACATTTGGCTACATGCCACCAAGCCCGATGAAATAAGAAATAAGGAAATCTTGGCTTTTCTTACTCTCGGGTTTTTGCATGCACTAGAGACGGCCATTTCTGCCACACGATTCGACATCCCGATGAGTATTGACAGCAGCGTGGGCGGAGATGTTGATGGTTCCAATTGATTTCCACGGTGCAAAATTTGATCAAGGGCCTGCAATTCAATGGGGACTCTGTCTGGTGACTCCTGGCTCATGTCGACTCATACATGTACATGTACAATGACATTTTAACATTCTCACAACTGTCAGCAGGCGGACCGCTGCAGGTGCCATATGCAGGCTTGAACGGGAAATAAAAAAAATCTACGCATAGAACATGCAACACAGAGCGGAAGAAAGACGGGGAAAAGACTGATCTGCTGTGCTCAAATCATTACCTCCAGCATGGGTAATTACAGAAATTCAAACAGCTCTAGGTGACTGTAACCACCCCCCCCAAAAAAAAACTTACGGCAGCAGAGAAGTCTGCTGAAGTCTTGGAAGATTCCAACTTTCTTCAGGGATATCATGAGTGAGAAACATTAAAAACCTCGAGAACTACAACTCGCTGTGGATGATTTGAAATTGAGTTTGTGTCTCATTGTATGTTTGTTGTATAATTACAACCTGTCAAGAGTAAAGACACAAATGTAAAAAAATAAATTAATAAATTAATAAAATTGACTATGACTCTAATTGTCTGCTTCATTCTTATAATGTATTCAATGCTGTCTTCCATTTCACCTGTTCCTTCTCTCTGGGTGCAGTGAAGATGTCTCAAGTTACCCTTACTGCAAACACTCGGTCCCACTTGCAGGAGAGGCAAGGGGAAATAGAAGAAAATTGGCTTCCGCAAACCATACAAACTCACTCTTCACTGGTGTAACCTGACACAAGGTCAGACCGAATGGTGCGGCATTAATGCTTTTCAAGAGATCGATCAGCTAAATAAAAAAAAGAATACAAACTTAATTTATTTTTTGAGTTTTCAATCGATATGTCTGCAAATTCAATTTCAGTTTTCCTCAAAGTTCTAAAAATTCCTAAAAAAATCTAAATGAATATGGCAACCTGCTCTTGTTTACACCTTTAGTCATCGAGCTGAAAATATTAAATGGGATTGATGTTTTGTGCCATCTGAAATAATGTTGGCTTTCCAAGGACTTTACCACACACAAAAAAACACCACAGGAGAACAACTAAATGCCAGAGCTGCGGGAGGAACCACTCCATGCCACCTTGGTCGACATCAATTTTGTCCAGCATGCTACATGCATTGTGAAAAACAATGGAGAAGAGAAACTATTCCAAGTCTTTAACAATTAAGACTTCTTTATCTTTACCTGGAGGGAAACAGTCTCTTTTTGATGGATTTGGGTCCTTCTGAGGTTTGCAATTGTCAGCCAACAAGCTGAGAACTGGTCACGGCGTTGGGAGTGCCAATTCCAAAATCTCTTGTGGAACACTCTTGAATGAATCAAACTCATCTGACCTCTGTGAATGTGCATCCTAACAGTTCTAAAATAAAATGGCCACTAGTATCTATAGCAACTACTTGACTGAAAGTCTCCATAAACAATTTTCATACCAAATTACTCCTTAGGTCTATGCATTTTTTAACTACGTTCCGACAAAATCAGATCAAATCTACTACTTCACAGTGCCAACAGTCAGTCCTTTGCCTTACAGAATACCAACATGCAACTGAAGAGCAAACAGATGCCTTATGAATTCTTTCTTTCTTTTTTAACTGTAAAAAAAGGTTCTTGAAAGAGGCAGCAAAGGTCACGTTTAGTTAGGGGGGGGGTCGGTGACATCATTCATACGGTGTCCAATCGCTGCCTTCTGATTCCTCTGCCGACGGATCCGGCTCAATGCACATCGTCTGGATGCCCTCTTTGACTTGCGGAGTGCCCTGGTCCTTACCTGCAGAAAGGATATGGGCGGGGGGAGGAACAAGAGGGGGAAAAAAGGGAGGGAAAGGTTGATCACATCAGGTTACCATGGAGACAAGATCTCACACAAGGCTTACAGTGCTCCAAGCAATCAGGATTTCTCTAATGAGGATGAGCGCTGTACTCAAGTGGGTTTTTGACATTTTTACACTAAATGCCAGGCACTCATTAAATAGCATTTTTAGAGGCGTACGCAGCATAGTGGCAGATCCCGACTCGTTAAAAGACAGGAATTCAAACAGGTTGAGGGTGCCATGACACTGTGTGCTCCACTGCATGTATTTCAATAATTCCAGATCCAACCTTGCAGCAAATGTAAGTATTGTAACTATACATCTATGCATCTGTATGTATTTAACATCTCTCCAAATAGATGAATGCAGAAAGCAAGCGCAGGCTTTCCTACGGAACGTTACGCTTGAATGACTGCACAAGTGCCCATGAAACACTGATCAACAATGATGGAGGAAACAACCAGCCACAAACGTACACGTGTGTACATGTACTGGGTGACAGTCAAGCAACTTCTAGAACTTTTTTCCAGCAACATGTGCTCAAAAAGCAAATGAAGGCGGCAAAACTCCTTTGCTGCATCCGCAAAGGCATGCACTCATTACAGATGGTGGTACTTACATGTACCTACGACTACATGAAAGTGCAAGGAAAAACACTCAGCAACAAGAACTAAAGCCGCCATCTTTGTCTAGTACCATGACCTCTCCCATGATTAACACACTGCCAATGGGCAGAATATTCTAGGGAGCATTCTATCCCCTGAACCTCAACTTTTCTTCTTCTAACGTGTAACATGATGGCAAACACAAAACCAAGACATTTACACTTTATTTTGTGCCCAAAAAATGAATAAAAATTAAAAAAATTAAAATTCACACCTCAAAGAAGTTTCAATCTTAAAAAATGTAACGCACCTCTCATGGGAACAGTCAAAGTACATGTGTATCTGATGTTGGGGAATAGCAATATATTTTGTAACCTCAAACAAAGCATTTCTGGCCCATCTTGCACTGAAGCAGTGCTGCACTGCGTGCCCCTCGACGACGCGCCTACATTCTGGTCAGCTGCACTTTCAATTATTCAAGCCCTCGGCAACGGCACGGTCTCTCTGGAGATGTATAGGGTGCTTCCATTAATCTTCGATGACCCCCCCCATCTCTTTCTCCCTGCAAGACCCTTTTGCACATGTGCGTGTCATCATCAGGATCGCCGGCACTCTAAAAGCTTGGATAAGATCGTCAGTTTTTGACGCTATCTTCTGTTTGCTTGTCAAGTGGACCGTACGCGTATTTCCTTGTTAAGTGGATGCTGAATGCATGCTTGTATAACAGGAGACAATCTGAAAAATAACACACCCCCTTTGCTTGCCCTGAATCTTGATAGCGTTCCATCAATTTTGTAACTTCTTCCCTCTGCCCCATCTCTCAATGGCATGTGCTGTCTAAATCTGATAGCCATTTATCTGAGTTTTACTGAAGTCAAATACTGCAATTCATCAATTAGGTCTCCTAAGGATACTGCGTGACTGAACGTGTGGCTCAGAAGTACACACCCACAATAGATAAAGGTTCAGAGAGCAAGTGTAGACTTATCAAGAGTACAATTCTGAAATATTTTCGTGGACGTAAAGACTTCTGTCGGTACGCCATATTGTTACTATTTTGGGGGCTGCCACTTCATGCAAAAGACATCAAATCATACGGAAATTCTGAGATGACTAAAATACGTACATCTACATACAGTGCGTTTAGACTGATCATTCTCACAGCTGAGTTGAGGTTTGAAGTTACAGATATGCATGTGCCAACGATTTTAAGTAAAATCATGGACTTGCCGACTGCGATCCCTCAGAGTGATCTTGCCCTCAAAATCAAATATCCAACTCCCAAACTGGTGAAAGAGATGGCGAGAAAGGCAGAAGGGAAAGATAAGGGGGGGGGAATTGGCAAGAGTTTCTTTTAAAGCTATCCTGCCTTGGCTGCCGCTTAAGTGCCAAATTAATCTCGAGGCAACTGTGCAAGCGACAGATGTTTGCGGGAGAAAAACAAGTGAATCCCGGGGAATCCAAGGCAATCCGGTCAACTTGATTTTCTTCTCCTCGACAGAAAGTGAAGATCCCCCGAGCTATGCGAATTTGCCCGAGATAAACACTGAGCAAGCATTGTGTGTGTGGGTACACGTTTCCTTTCTCTCTTTTTTCTTGATTTTTTTTCTCCCCTTCCTCCCCCCATTGGATTCCCAATTCAGGTCAGGTGCCTGGACAACGGTTGCCGGCTAGCTGGCTCATTTTATCCGTTAATAATTGAGATATCGGAGGGGTGGGTATGCCCAATGTCCAGAGGTCATGCCAAACAACGTACAAGACAGGGGAAAAAAGTCCTGGTCATCGCGGGCAGAATACCAAACTTGTTGTCGGGAAGGATTTGCAACAATCAACAGGATTCTCTGCATTCAGAAAATCATACGTACAGCCTCTATCCTGGAGGGAACTGCAATTGGCTCAATCTGGATATGCAATCCCTTAAATCATTTATGGCGTTGCACTGCAGCACTGCCACATGCTTCGAGCGGAGACGGACTTGTTTAATTGTTTTTGTAAATTGATCCAACGGCAATTACAGATGAGTTTCCTGTTCCAGACTGCACTTTGTAAATTCTTTATCAGTCAATGCCTAAAATAAGGGAACCCAAGCAGATTGGTTTCAATTTTCTAAAGGTGGCATCAAGTGATGAAAAAAAACGTAAAAACTGCAAAGACTGTAGACCACCGAGTATCTCTCATCTGAGATCCCCCGATATCAGCATTAAAGGTGCCTCACATACGAAAGCAGTGTTTACTCTCAGCGATCAAAATAGCATATGAACCTGTATGCCCTTTTGAATTCTATTGAAAAAAACAACACTTCAAGAGGTGCAATGAGAAGTCAGAGTATGCAGGTTGGAAAAAACTTTCTCTAAATTGATTAAAGTGTGGCAAATAATTTAAAGTGCTATAGGCGTAGACATTAAATTCCAAGAAGTCTTGAAACGACAAAGCACCTCTTATATTCTTGGAATTAGTCCAAACACCAGCCATTCCCTTTGGAAATTTTTTCCCAACACTTTCACTTTTTATGCAATATGTAAGCACTGTGCATGTGATAAATGTACGATACATGGACATTCTACCTGTTTTGACAATGGACTCGACCAACCACCAATAAACTGTTCTTTAAACCAGCAAGATAAAAAAACCCACAAAACTACATGTATATATACAAGCCAGGTTACGATTTTCCAACATCAACTACAAAAGACACTCACCAACGTACATGTATAAACGGTAAAATAAATCACTAACAGCTCTGACAACAAATTGAGAAAATCCAGAAAGCAAATACCCCATCTATAGAAAAAACCTTCAATGTCAACAACAAAAGTCATCCGAGAACGAAAAATCTCTACGTGTTTCTTCTGAGCACGCTGAACTTTTACGGTATTTCTGACGCTGTTGAGCGTTTTACCGCATGCATCACTCTTGGTTGTGAGTTCACTGGCCTTTTTTTTTTCTTCCTTTGCCGACGGCACAGAAAGAAGTAATCAGGTTTCAGAGAAGCTGACAAGTTCCAAGGCTGCGGGGCAGCAATTGGTGTAGCAAAACAACACCAGACTGACGATCCTGATGAGTCTGATCAATGTGGCTGGCATGGATGGTGTTTTGGACTTCCCCGGTCACTTTGCCAAATGCTTGTAGCAACTACATGTGCATGAACATACAATATTTTTTCCAGCAAAGTGTCAGTGCCTGATTTTTTGCAAGACTGATACAAACTTATAGCATAGTTTCCTTTTTTGGGGGTCAGCCCATGGGCCTGTTCACTGCAAACGCAAATGCAAAGCAAATTTGACACCACGAAATACAATCCTTGCACAATCTGCCGCAGCTGAAACGCATGAACTCGGGCACAGGCATGGTACTGATCCTTCCAGCAATGTTGCAAAGTCGCATTTGTGGTTAACTCTTGTGCCCAGTATGAACCGACCTGAATCTGTTTCGCGTCTTTCTTTCCATCAGTCCTTTTATTGGATTTTTTTACCCCCCCCTAAGCTGATTTGGGAATTCTAGAGATCAATGAAGTAAATTAGGACAGGATTGAAGACGAAAATAAATGCCAACATTGGCTGTCAAGACACCGATCCTTTTGTAAAATTAGAGACCAGTCGCCTGATCATTTGCTGAAAAAAAAAAGAAAAGAAAAAAAAAATGCTTTACATTTTGTCACAGAGCTTGTTTTGTTGTGTTTCACTCTGATTTTTTTTGGGGGGGTGGAAGAACCAGATGGCACCTGATCAGAGCAATGACCGACTGGACAGACTGTGTGAGCACGAAGCTGAGAGGCATCTTTGCATAAGCACATTGGAACGGTGGGGTGAATGATGAAAGCATAATGCCATGTGACCACATGATTTGCCGGCGAGTACATGAACGGTACACGTTGCTCTAATCGACCCAAGCTGCCTAGTCTACTGACAACGAATAGAGAACAACAATCAAAAACACTGCATCAAATTTGAAGGCTCAGGAAAAAACACAGACAAATAACGAACACGAAACAAATATCTCCAGCCTGCATCAACATTTTGTTAATTATTACAGCATTAGCCACACGTTAAACACTGCATCTTAACTAGTGCATCAGCCCCAAAAACACATGCCTCCACACAACAGCAAATCCAAATTCCTGCTTAACTTTCATTCATGCAGAAGTCTTCCCATGTCAGAGCCCACCGTAACATTACAAAGCAGCAAATGCAGCACACAGGTCGGCTGAGGATGGAAACTGCATTGGACAATCTGTATTTGAACTGCAACACTTCAACAGCGAAGGTTCAAGCGCCTTGGATCCAACTGGCTATGCATGGTATCGGTAATATTCGTGATGGTACAGTCACCAGTTCCCTATTCAGCCATTTTTACTGTTCAACCAACTAGGCGTCACGATGGGTGGTGAAATACGTAGGGACCTGGCGACTATACAGTCACGGATGCTATACTAATAAATTAAACCTGCTCTAGCTTGATCAAAATTTCTTAGCAAATGCCTTCTTTTTTTCAGGTTGAGTCGCTTCACACCAACCTCAATGCATTTGACAACTGACTGAACTGACGACAAGCAACGGAACAAAAAAGCAGAGGAAAGCCGGCCAATTCCTTGGACAGGATGCGGTGGAAAAGGTGACCATAGGAATGACTGTGAAGCTGACCAGATGAAAGAGCCAGGTCAGCAAGGCTGAATGAAACAACCGTGCGAAGGAAGCGTGTGACACGCCCTATCAACCCCAGCCAAGGCACAAGGGCAATTGGAAGTGTCCCTACCCCCCGTCCCTCTTCTTTGCATTTTATGCCAAATATCCACACAGGCGTTTTCGTGTTCAATGTTTCAATGTGCCTTGAAAGGATGGCAAAAATGCTTTGTGTTTTTTTCTCCCTCAGTTGTACAAGCAGCCAGGGACTCTGACCGACATGCTTTCTCGTATTGGGCACTCTGACCCATAAATCTGGCAGTGTGGCGTCTGCCTTTTGATGATAACCATCATTTTTCCTGTTGAATAGTCAGCCTCCCATGGCCAAATTCATCACATAATGTTTGCAAAGCCACTCATTCCTGTGGTGTTATCGTGACCATTCATCAACAGTATGTGTAATCGCTGTCTGTATTCACAAATCTGGTCGGTTTCTGACATCCATTTGACTGGGTTTTTGTGCAATAATACCCACTGACCCTCCAAGCAAACTACAAAATGCCAGTCAGGCTACTTTTCAGGAGGTCACTGAGTAAACAAGAGCCAACAATCACTGATTAAAAAGGACGCACGTACCTTTCAACTGTCAACATTTACACTTAACAACCTTTGCACGGATTTGATAGAGCGTGTCCACACTAACAATTGCAATTTGACAACACGTGCACACCTACCTGGATCTAAAAAGTCAAAGACAGAAATCGAAGAGGGCTGAGACGCTATCCCGGGAAACTCCGACACACAAACACAAACAGGAAAAAAAACAAAAAAAAAACAAGAGCTACAACAATGGGAAAAAGATTCTGCAACGGGACTTTGTGAATACTAAACACATTCAGGAGAGGGAAAAAATATTTAACTTGAAGTTAACTTGTAAAATCTGTTATGTCATGAGTGTTCAAAGTGAAACAGTACGTAAGTGTGTCACAGTGTCTGTGCAAGTGGAAAGAAAAGAAACCAACACCACAAACATGACAAACAGCAGTGATGACTTATTTCTATAGAAGGAGATGGGGTTACAGTAGATGGGACCTGGAAGGGGGGAGGGTCAACTGCATACGTGAAACATGCACGTGGTACATGCATACAGAGAGGTGGAGCGATGAAGCGGTAGGCACTGCCGATATCGTATTTTGGCCGATAGTGATAAATCATATTTTTTGTATCGATATTTTTGATACATGTATATCGATATTACCAAATAACTAACATCGGTGATACTGATATCAAACCCATATCGATATATCGGCGGTGCTTATGAAGGGGTCAGTGTTGGTTTACTCTACATGGAAAAGGGAGAAATCATTTGAACAAAATAATGTTGAGGAGGGGTTATAAACAAAGGGCCGTTCCAATTTTGGACGTTACACCCTGCTGTTGAATTATAAAAGTAGGAGAATGACATCAGCTCTACAGGAACTTGACCTTAGTGAAAGTACCGGTCAATTCCGTAATACACAGCCCTAGCAAACAGCAAGTGGGCCTGTTTTCCTCGTGGTGCCCGCAAGCTTCTTCGAAGCCCAGAGCATGACAATATGGCCAGAGAAGTCTGCAAGGACCTAGAGGCCAGAAACAAGCTCAACATCATCCATAAAAGAGCCTGCATTCCTCTCTCCTCCACCAAGAACACACAACAGCTTGGCATTCCCCAGCCCTTAACCCTAAAAGAGCGGGGAGGCAGAAGGGGAGGCAGAAGGGGAGGCAGAAGGGGAGGCAGAAGGGGAGGGAGAGGCTGAATCTCCCTTGACATTTTCCCTGATGTTGCCACAATGCATTTTCTTCCCCCCCCCCGGCACCGAGCCTTCAGGCATTTTTCCATTAATGCCTTGCAATTACACCTACCGGTACTTCGACGCCAATTTTGTGAAGATCAGAGATGCCATTCTCACAAAATGCCAATATTTCCCAGGTCAGCCTAAAATGTACACTTTTTTGCCACTGACATGCTCCATGCATACGGGCAGACAGAACCCGACGCCATGAACTTCAATTAGCCATAACGTAACCATATACCGTATGTACGTCAAATGGAATTGAAACTTAAACAGATGTATTTATAATGACTGTTTCCACAAACATGCCAAGCTCTAAAAGGATTAGGCATTGGACGGTCGAGTTCTTAGGGAGGCAGAATCTGCCTCTCCCCGGCTGTGAGATGGTCCCATTAAAAGCCCAGGTCTTTTAGGGTTACATGCGTACAGCCCCTTTTCTTCGTGAGCCCTGTCTCGCTGTGCGTGTGTACACTGCGCTCAAGTTGTGTCCCACTCTAATATTGACCATTCGTGCAGTTGACACTCTCTCCGCTCAACTGCCACCCGAAATACACCTCATTTGTCTGGGTGAGCGGTGGTGTTTTCTTTGCAACAAGCGCATCCGTTAGAAACAAGCAAACAAAATTTCTGAGGGCAGGTTTTCCGAGCACCACGGCAAAGATTAAAGGAAATTTACACAATCTATACAGGTGCTGATAAAATCGGGGGCACTGAAAGGTGCCATTAATTTCATTGCCTGGAATGTGGAAGAATACGTAAAACTTGTGTACACATGTGTATTAGAACTTTCAAAACAAAAATTTTGTTCACCCTGACACCCTGAAAAAAAAAAATCAACTCCTATGCAGGTGAAGGATATCATTTATTTTGCAACTTTCCCATGTTTGTGTTGGTCTTTTGCTTACTTTGGAGTGCATGTACATGTGGTACCTTAAAAACAATTCACTTAATCACACGCAGATCTAGTAACAAGTGGTCACTAGTAGCAACGATATTTTTTTTTACGGAAAAAACAAGTCACAACTTATTTGAAATATTTGCCAAAATGATTCAATAAGAAGCTTTGGGTCAGCAATCACGATGCAAATTGAGCACATTACCAAAAGCGTGTACTGTCGTTCCATGTACTGCACCATACATGCATGTACATGAACCAGTTCTAACCCTTTAACTTTTTTCCATTCCCCTCGATCAAATGAACCAAATTGTTGATCTGACTGTGATATCCTCTCCCCCATCCAACCCATCCAATCCATGCAATCCATGCAACGATTTCCTAGAAGATTATTTCCCTGCCTAATGCCAGTGCCGGTAGGTACTTTTTGGAGATGGGCACAGAAATCAGAGGACTGCTATCTGTGCTTGGAAATGACAAGTACAGTACAGTCTTGACAGGGCCCATGTGGAAATGGTCTAACAGACCACATCCATTCACATTCAGCAAGAGACGGGGGGTAGGTAAAAAAAGGACATTCATTCGCTCGTTCACATGGAAAGTTCTCTCTTCTGTAGAAATGAATATGGACAGCAAATCTGTATCTTAAACAGGTACATGTACATGCACAACGTGTAACAATTCTGACGATACTGTGGTGCGAAGCATTTCTTAGACTTAGACTACGACACCGTGCAGAGTTTCTGAACAGTGGGCAAGCCTTGAAGGCTTTGATCAAATGGCAGAAAGTACAAGAAAACTGCAGAGCTAGCACTCATCGTTGAATTAACATGATAATGACGACCATGCATGGCACTCATAGTGACCATACCGGTTCCATTTGGTAAAGAATTCAATTGCTAAGGACACGCCTGCCTATACCAATGTGGTCCAATCATCAGGAAGCCTTGTGGTCATGTGGTATTACCACACCCTCTGATTGGCATCCGCTATAAAAAGCGTACATGTACAGGTCCTACACTCATGTACATGTACCATGAGTCAATCCGGTTCGTAAGTGTGACATCACTTCAGTTTAAACCACGCCTACTGCACATGTGTACTGCACATAGGGTTACGTGCATTGATCGCCGTTTACATGGAACCATGGAACGGGAAGTTAACGTGCAACTTTAGCCATTGTCCAATGAAAGCCTGCAAATCGTGGCGTGTCTGCCTTTGTGACAAAGTCACTTACGAACTGGATAGATTATCGACCTAGCAACCAGAATTAGAGGTGACTGCAGTGGCACACTCTCTCTATATACTTCAAATATAGAAACTGCTTGTTGCTAGCTAGGTGGAAAAAATTAAGCTACACAGGCAGACTATGAAAATTAATTGTTACTGAGGGTTACAAAACAAAAAACACAAACAAACCTTCTTTTTGCAGGTGGCCATCTTAGTGAAAAAGAGTTACTCTACGTGAATGACTGTGAGGAGCTAGCCACCTACACATACCGTACACATTCATGTATGAGGTGGATATGTGGGATCCATGCTTCCTTGTGTATGTACATGTATCTCAAGAGAGCCTGTATTACGTTGAGGAAAACAGAGTTACTGTACGCAGGTCTGACGACTATTGAGGAAAAAAAGAGTGAGATTTCAATGCATATTGCACGTAATACGCATGCATGTAATCTTCAGCCTCGGGCCATCTGGAGATGCCATATCTTGTGCAAACACCACTCGTATTTTAAACCGTAACATTTCTCCCTCTTTTTCCACATGACTGTCCCTTGAAAAAAAAAAAGGATTTTTTTTTTAGCCTTGATGAGTGCTCAGCGCGATGCATGCGCCACAAATACATGTAGCTGGATTTCCCCACGGTGTTCACTGTCCATGCCAGGGGCATTTCTCTCAGGATCATGGATCAGGCGCTTTCATGGTGTTTTTTTTTTTTTGGGTCCATTCCAGGTTCATACCTTCTGACGTTGAAAAGCAATAACAGTGCATTCATCAACCTGAAATACCGGACAGTCTCACCTAGAAAACTGGGGCAAGTAGGAGTGTACGAATATATGAGAACTCTCAAAATGCGTGGGATACTCTGCATTTTAACATGTTTAAGAAGACTCCATCTCACACACTTGAATGTCTGACACTTTTGTTCATACGGATACATATATTTGTCTCAAAGTAGCACATTATGGTGAACCTGCCTTGATCTCCCGAGTGTGTTTGACATCTGAACCTTATGGGGGGGATGTAAATGTCCTCAGGCAGGACCCTTTACAGTGATGCTATTAAGGTGCATTATCAGGAGTGTGTTCCACTTCTGTTTGTCAGTGTGCGCCGCTGTGGGGTTTTCTTCCCAGCACTTAATGCACAGTACAAAAAATCGAAGATCATTTTAATATGAGCCCGTGTTTTTGAGCCCATCTTTGCAATCTGTTGGAGGCATGCACATTTCAGTAGCCAAAACACATGAAGGCATTTACATCGACTGAGAACCAAGAGTTTCTGGTCAAATGTCTTGCGCAGGTACTTTGCACAGGTGCCTGAGAGCGATCATTCCATATAAAAAATAATACTTTATAACCTCTGAATGGTTTGAACACTTGGTGATCACACAAAATCAACACGTGACGGTGGGCTCTTACAAACCGATCTCATGGCCTTAGTTTGGCCAGAACACAGACAAATGTCTCTCAGAAGCAACATGCAGACTGACGGGAGTACACTCACACGTAGTGCCTTAGAGTGGACAGAGACTGCGAGGAAGCTGGAAAGACAGGGAGCCTCAAAATATCCGACACATCTTTAAATGTCATAAGGGAAGAGGGGGGAGAAGAGAACTGCAAAAGCGATCCAAATTTAGAGCTGGAAATCAATGCCTCCAGCCCTACATTTTCCTGTAAATGTCAAGTAACAATGGACTCTGAGTGAGTAATTAGCGCTTGTCAGGCTTGTCACTCGCACAGCCTTTGCTGTGCCTCCCCCCCCCAATGTTCTGGAGGTTGTATCAGCATGGGGGATGTCTTCCCCCTGTATTTCCCTCGTGGTATCGACCGACAGTTAATGCTGCAGCCAATAAAAGCCACTAGTCTTGACAGAAGTGGCTGGGGAGCCACCGGCACGCTCCGACTGCAAGTCTGCATTGGTTTGGACACCGATGGCTCCGTCAAACTCCATAATTGCTGATTTGATGGGCAGCGTGTAATTGCGAGTGGCTTACAATTCTTGCCTAGAAGAAAATAAACATGAAGCTTCATGTTTCTAGAGGTATACATTTCTTGTGCAACTACATTTATCTGTTTAAGAGAACTTCTGCACTGTGATTTTTTGTTTGACGAGAGGACAACAGAGCACTTTGGTGGAAACAAAGTTTAAAAGAGGAAAGTCTATTATCTATACATGTGCATTGACAGAAATATGATATATGTACACAAATACACATACGATGTACATACATATGCAAATCCTTGTAGCTCTTAAGTGTGACATATATTCCTGCTGAGAGCGAACAGTCTGGGCTTATTTCTCTGCTGCTGCCCTTAATAAACCTGCTACATGTACCAGGGCAATCAAGCAAATCTCAGATAATCCAGTATAACGGGAATGGTGCAAAGCTGCGCACAATTAGGCAGAGGGAAAACCCATTAACCGCGATCCTGTAACAGCGGTAGAACGCAGCCAACAGGAGGTGAGGCGATGAATTATGAGACAGGCAACGATGCAATGCGGTGGAGACAGGAGAGGATAGAATAAGGGCTCAGCATCCATGAGGACATCTTGAGTATTGAATGGAGGATATTTTTTGGGTTCTCCGCTTGAAGAAAGAAAGTCGACCGCAGTAGCATTGGAAATGAATATAAAACCTGATAGTTCGCAAGGCCAACAACCACACAGAAAGAGTCTCTGCATGAACTCCACATGTTGCTCTACCGGTAGATGCAAGGCAAGGTCCAAAGTTGGGGACACCCCAATATGTGCAACCCTCCGGTGTGCGCCCATTGTAGAACTGCCCACATATGGCACTGCACATGTAGTTGTGAGGACTGCACACCAGGGCCCAATTTAGCAATACTAAGGACACAACTCCGGTAGCAAAAGAGGAAAAATTGCTTCGTAATGTGACAAAAGAATGGAAATCTCTAGGCGCACACAACCGTAAACATAACCACTCCCAGCACTGCCACACGTGAAATAGTGCTCACAGTTAGCAAAATTGTTTTGCTATTTGAAGCATGACTTGTCTGCTGTTACACCGAATCATGAATCTGCACCCCACTGAACAATAAATATTGCGGCCATTAAATCTTTGTCTCCGCAACTCAGTTCTGACTTGTCCAATGAAAGAAATTGTCCCAAAAATATGGTAACGGCGTCGGCCAGTACACGTATTAGCTTACATTTAATTGCACATTTAACAGTAACTGAAACATTTCTGCATCACAGTAGCAAACCCATAAGCTTCAATAGCCTGGAACAGCGCATCTCCAACCAAAACAAGTGCGTGACGATATTTAACAAGTGTACATTTTCTTGAGATGAAAGTGGACTCTAGCCTCACCAGCGAGGAAACTGCTTTGATTTCAAGTGCAACTTAAATTTGGATAGCTGGGGCAAATCTGTTTGAGGTACGCGGTAACATTGACATTTCTGTCAAAAAAAAAAACTTTCTTAGAAAATTCCCAGGTTGGGACGGTAATGGATTTTTGTCCCCCTCAACTTTCCTTGGGACGCGCTTAATGCAGTCCACTCTGGGGATCGGATTGTGTTACACGAGTAAGTGGCCGGATGAGTGTTTTCTGTGACAACACAAAGTCTCCTTGTTTTCCTCCAGAAAAAACAACGTGTTCGGCGTACAATTTCATGATTTAGCATTTGTTTGTGAGATGGAAAAATTGTGAGAGGAGCACTTAATGATCAATCCGCGAAACACGGGAGGCTTCAAACATGTCAGCTTCTGGCGGCAAACACAGTACTTGTATCGTATACGTTATCTGTGTTTGGTTAATTTTACTATCCACGCACCATATACACCATCTTGTATGTTCAGCTGTCCAAAACCATTACCAATGGCGGTGATGACAACTGCAACTCAAAGCATCTTGTCTGCAGTTGATCTTGCTTGGAAACACAAGTGACACGTATGGTACTTATCACACTGCACACGTACAGCCCCGTACCTGTTAAGAAGTTTATCCCTTTCAATCCAAATTGGATAGTGCAGGGGAAAATTGACACTTTGCAATTGCTACACCATGAAGCGTAACCAAGCGAGACCCATGCCGTGAATAGGCATATTAGATGACAGCGCTGCAAGATGGCACTATCTGATGACCTGTACTGGTATACATTTTAGCACCGGTATCTCTTCCTGTGCACAAACTCAGTTATAAAGCGTAACAAGTCTTACTGTCACTGGACTGGCCCTTCTCAAAAAAAGAAAAAAAGGGAACTACGTTCATGGGTGAATGAGAGTGGTAACACAGCTACAAAAACAAAGCCAAGCACGTTCCCAAAAATTGATGAAAACGAGCAAAAAAAAAAAATTAATAAGAATAAACAGAACAAGAAATGAGCAACAAAAATGCAAGCAAACAGAACCAAAATGACATGGGTCTGAGGAAACGCACACTGGAGAACAAAACTCAAACCAGGGGAAAAAAAAGAGAGAAATGAGATTCTGCAGAATGAGATGAGTGGCTGTGCTGTATCTGTGGAGACAGGAGATGCTATTAGTTATGCACAAACCAAGGTGTTATTTTCCACAGACAAGAAGTGGCAACAACCTGGAAATTGTCCTAACAATATCGGATTTCTTACATGTACAGGTACTGTATATTGAACCTAATTACTGTCTATGCGGACAGTTTTTACACTAGCTTTGTCAGGCATCAGTTCTACGGGCACATGTACATGTAGATTGCCCGGAGGTTGATTATTTGTGCTTCGCAGAATGAAAAAGCTTTTGGCGCAATAAATGTCAAGGATACATGTTTGTATGCCCTATCAGTACAATCTCGAGCAAAAGTGACATTTTCTTCATGAGTGCATCCAACACAATTTGCGCTATATTTTGAATGTAATCAAAACGACAACAAAACAGGCAGCTCTACTACATGTATTTCTGAGAATGCTTATTTTCATTAAATTTTGTTGACCTTTGAAAAATTCTCTACGTAATGAGCACATACCATGCACGAACCCTGTTTTGACATTTGTAAAAATATTTCATTCACAGTAGGTTTTTTGAAAATTCAGACAAGCTTTGAGCCGACTTACTTATGAACCGACAGTGGAGTATAACTTTGACAACGTTGCTGGGTTCTGTTCGGCTGACCAGCTCAAACTGTTCCGATACGACACCGTCTCTGTGGTTGACAAGTTGAATAGTGATATCATGGCCCTCACCTGAAATGAGAACAAGTCCAAAAAGCTTCCAAATTATTTTTTCAGTAACGAAGGGCAAACTTTCTTTTAAAGAAAAAAAAAATCCACAATAATCAAACTCTCACAAAATGCAGCAATGTGAGTCAATTTAACTGACAATGTTTCAAACACAAATTACTCTTTTTGATGTAGTGGTGGCTACCCGTACTGTACATCACAGTCATGGAGGGCCACCCAGTGTCCCCCCTCTTTTTTTAACAGCTATATTTGTATATTGTAACTATTTAAGGGGGATACCTTTTTCCTTTCCCCCTGTTTTTTTTTTATTTTTATTCTCAACCAGTTCAAATTATCACTAGAAGTAGGCCTCGCCTAGGTATCTTTGGCTAGAGCTCATTAGGGAAACCCCTTGTAAATGCTGCATACCCCCCCTTCTTTGTACCAGTAAATGCTCAATCCACCTGTGCATCCTGCAAGCACTGGTTGTGGTCAAATTCTACACTGAAGTGTCTGACAAAGTCAACCAAAAAATATACTAAGCATACCTAGGGGCCTTTACACAACTCTACAAGTACTAGAGGGTTCTTAAGTTTTGGCAAAAAGACAGAAGGCCTGTCTGGAAAGGGATTTTTTGTGATGCACTTTGCTGTTAGCAGGGGGTTCAGATTCATTAAAATTGACAAGTTTTTTGTTGGCTTTTGCTAAGGTAAACTTCCCAAATCCATATAAAAATCTGATGAGCAGAAGCACTCCCTCATCGGTTGAAAATAGCCACGTATGGGAAGTGTTGGTGGCCAATCTACTTTAGTGTATGCATTTCGTAGTCGTTCGTGGACCAGCAAAATGCGGTTCCCACCAAAGGAGCCTCCGTTGCTTGGAAAACTGCGCCCTCTCTTGATCCAGCTCGGGCCCATGAAACAAAGATTTTTCAATGGCCAGTTACCATTAATGTACACATACACATCACCCTCTGATTGATTTCAATTACATGTAAATCAAGTACAAACAGGTAACCATTTGTAGGGCCTCCTACATGCAATGTCCTTGAACACTTGACAAGAATTGTATAAAAAAAATGGTGACAGAAGATGACGAAGCCTGATAAACAAGGCTAGCAGATAGAAAGGAAGCCATCAATCCAAGCCACTGAATGAGATAACAATCACAAGCTGTCACTGGCAAGCCGGTGACATCGGGATGCACTTTCTTCGACTGCCCCGTCTGATGGTATCTCATGCTTCGCCATGACAACCGCATCATTCGATCATGAGGCACACCTTACATCACGCCAGCTGGAAATAACATGATCAAGTTCTCTGCAGCTATAATCTGTCCAAAGCAGCCTTTCATCGGCGCTAAGCTAAGGCAATCATCGTTTCCCATAAACAAGATGCAAATGACAGACTTTGACGAGGAAGGAACAGTTCAAGGTGTAGAAACAACTTGGGAAGACACATATGCATACATCTGGACAGATTTACACACAGGTGGAAACATGAGTTTTTACCATGATCTGCTGTATGCATTGAGAGGTGATCAAACATGTACCCTCCCCCCCTGGTACCAGTCCACAGACATACAACATGCACCGGTAAGAGAAGAAAAGTTTGGAGTGGTTAAACTGTCTACAACAGGAACTTGGTGCTGATGTCACAAATATCTCTATGGTGAAAAATGCGGGGGAAAAAAACGTTGAACAATTCTCAATCCCCCCATGTGATGCATACATGTTCATGTATATGTACATGTACATGTACAATGTACATACATGTACATGTACATGTACATACATGTACATGTATGTACATGTACAGTACGCTCTGAACCAATGAGACGCTGTATGCCTACCTTCCATTTGTGTTTTACCAGTATACATGTACATGTACTTGTGTGAACCATCTGCATTTCCTGCCACATACCGGTACTGGTACATGTACACATGTACGTGCCCCCTCTAGTGAGAGTACCTGCACATGTGCATGTATATTAAAGCTACATTATTTACACTGTATATCAAATGGGGTAATTCCTCAATTTGCCAAAGGTTAAAACAACTTCAGATAGTGTCTGCATGCCTCACTATTGCGTGTGTTTATTTTGGACAGTAATGATTCACCTGAAGGCTAAACAGCAGATGGTAAACAAGGCCAGTCCACGGCCATGAATTGGCCCCAATACACTCAACTGAAAAAAACAAAAAGACAAGAAATCTACCCACTGAAGGTTAACAACACAACAGGCTGGGCCCTGTCAGTTTTATTGCTACTGTGTACCTGACGACAGGATGACATATTCATTGAGTTTTACGAAAAGCACAATAATCGCTTTGGTTCAAATAAACTGTGCCCTATGTGCTCATGTAAAATGGATTTCGATATAATGAAGTTAAATTTTAAAAATCAAAACAAGCTTCAGGGGAGAGTGCTATTGCTATTCCGTATCGACTGCATCTGAAGTAGCTCTGCTTTTAGGACAATATTGAATATCATACCCGGTACCATTGTGGTCGGTGCCGAGATGCCATCAGGCAAGATTTTTAACCAGGCATGTCAAAAGGACGGATGAAGTACATGTACAGAGAGGCAAGGAGGAGATCAAACATCCGATAGCGTTTTTTTATTTTTACTCTCTTTTCGTCCCTGTTCAAGGATTAGCGTCTCATACTCATCCCACAGCATCAAGGGGAGGGGGTGTGGATTACGAGGTCGACTTGCGAAAACGTGCCGCAGTTTCATTTTCTGTCCTTTCTCTTGCTTTCTTCTCAAACCGGGAGTCTCCTGGTTACGTGGCTATCTGCAGGCGGTTCCAGGGAAGTCAGGCAGGCTGTATTTTTCCTCTTTTTTTTTTTTTTGTCTCTCTTTTCGGAAGAAGCGAGTTGGAGATATCCGGTTTTGTTTGCCCTTCGTGGAGGGTGTTCTTCCTATTGTGTACATCCCGGGCCACGGCGGAGCGCTCATTCCGAGGGGCAGCCCGGTTAATTATCAGACAGGGCTTTTCTCCGGTACAGTTTTTGACTACCGCAGCTTTGCCAAACCTGCCCACGCTGGTTCCCATCATTCACACAACTGGCATGATGGTACACTGCTGTTTTCTTTGGCCAGCAGGGATGGTTTTATTTGGTGTTTCAGGTCTAGATAAACAATGGTACGCTTTTAACACCCAAACGTTGGTCAACTACAATATGCCGGGTAGCAATGAACAAAATTACATGAATGGCATCTTTTTTTCCGGGGGGGGGAAAAAAAAAGAAGAAAGCAACAAAGATGACTTCAACACAGCAAAAAAAAAAAAATAAACCTTAAAAAAAAAAAGAGAAGGCATTGAACAAGTCAATGTAAATGCCAGCACTTACATGTACATGTAAAATGAGGGGGGAATGACATAAAACAATGTTTGCTGCCCACAGAAAGGAAAAATGTCACCTGCAGTCGAACTGGCTCCGGGGAAAAAAACCCCAATAATGTATTCTCCAGCACTCTTTGGCAGTTGTTTATGCACGTTTGGAGTTTTACTCATCAGAGCATTTTTTTTAAAACTCTTTTATCAAATTCATTTTTTGGGCTTATCAATGCATTCACTCGCACAGACATGACTTACGGCCTCTCTCTACATTCTGTTCAGGATGAAATGAATTAAGGGATCTGAAATTTTTTTCCTTGCTTCTGATGATGGAAAAGTATTGCTTGTGAGCATGTAACAGAAAGTGGGTGATGTGGAAACATTTAACAATTGTAAAGGTACAACCTTTTAAAAAAAACCCACAAAACTCACAACTGTGAGTTTCATGACATTAAGTTGCATTTATGCTTGCAAATAAAGTATGCAGATTTATGATGGACATGCACCGGGTATGCAGAAATGATTTTCAAAGCAGGGACAACATTTTTTGCAGCACTGGTAAATGGACAAAGTGCGAGGGGAAAAATTACCTTTCCTGAAGCAAAAATGACGGCTTTAGAAGAAATTTACAGTGTTTCTACTAAATGTTTGTACTAAATGAGTCAAAAGCAATCAAAACAATGGGGGGGGGGAAACGACTGCAAATGCTCAGAGATACCAGTATAATTTAAATTTACGGCATTAGAAGCAGATCAATGTCAAGTTATCTGCAGTAAACACGCCGTCAAGAGTGAGTGTATATAAATTCGTTACCTTTTCATGCAGGGGCCAGAGGAAAAAAATATATAATAAAAACGAACATATTGATGGTACGGTACGTGCATAAAATAGCCTGCATTCCCAGGGGAGAGGGATGATGGATGAGACCAGGGTATATAATTTGTCTGGTGACCCCCCCTCCCTTCCCTTTCCTGAGTGCCAATTAAAATGTTTTCAGACTTTAGCGTTGTCTGATCGGCTACAGGGCGTGAGGGCACAACCCAGGGATGGGTGGCCGTGCACATCAAAGAAAAATAAATCTCATTTGGGGCTGACAGTTAATAAGCAAGCATGCTTGGGAGTACCGTATAATTTGCTTGATTGCAATAACGTGAGGATGACGAGTGTCCTCGACTGAAGCTAATGCCGTCTCCGGTTATATTTTCTGGGATGTACATGAATCTTTTTATACACAAGGAGACCCACAGAGACTTTAATACTTCTCGGGAGGGGAATTCAAGTTATTACTCGGTACATGACAACAAATCAAAACAATTTCCCCAGATACAGGTCCCAGGTACAGTAGTGTACATGTGCAGGGTTAGTTAAAACATAACCAAGAGGGAACACACACATGAAGAAAGCTACATGTACATGTACAGTAAACCAGTTTCCAGCATGACGGATATATTGTAACACCAGCCCACTGTACATGTACATGTCTGTAAGTTTTGAAAATGTGCCCAAACATCCTGTTTTGTTGCCCTGCTGCCAAATTTTTCCAAGTCTAACATGCCACAGAAAATCTAAGGGTACGAGTACATTTCAGTCAATGCAGACATGGAGATATTCTTTTGAAACATACATGTACACGAAATATCAAACAGACCACGGTGCCATTTGTAATTAACCAGCTCATTAAA